GAGAGAGACGGACAGTGAGAGTCAGGGAGAGAGAGAGACGGACAGTGAGAGAGTCAGGGAGAGAGAGAGACGGACAGGAAGAGAGACAGTGAGAGTCAAGGAGAGAGAGACAGTGAGAGAGGTGAATGGGTCACAGCAGGGAGGTAATGCATGTTTGGCTTCACCGAAGGCCACCCGCTGACTGTGCCACTCTGCTGTGCCCCAACACACACACACACACATGCACACACACACACATACACACACGCATACACACAGCGTGCAGACATATACACACATACATACACACACACACACACACACACACATACATACATATACACACACACATGCACACACTCACACATACACACTATGTGCACACACACATACACACAGCATGCACACACATACACACACACACACACACACACACACATGCACACACTCACACATACACACACGTGCACACACACACACAGCGTGCACACACATACATATACACACACACACAAGCACATACACAAACATACTTGTACACAAATGCACACAACCACATGCACACACTCATATACATACACATACACACACATGCACACATAAAGACGCTGACGCCTGTATTATTAAACAACATCTCTTGAAGAGGGTCCTCAAGTCGAAAACGTATTTTAAACTCGAAGGACCTTTTACAGGAACGCACGAATAATTGTGGTGGCAGGAAAACGAACTAATTTTACTGAAATTTGTGAGGTAGCTAGGAGCTGCCTTTTCTCACTTTTTTTTATAATTATTTTGTTACTTTTATTGATTTTTTATAGTCAGTACGATTAATTTTATAAATCTAATTTTTTTTACATTATTGGTTTTACTGCCCATATTATGACATTGCAAAAGCTGTTTCCAGAAATTTTATAAAAAAAATGGGCAAGAATAGGTTCAAATGTTTGACTAAAATGTGTAATTCTATGCATACTATACTTCAAAGGAGACCTTCCTAGTTATTTAAAAAAATCAGTACATTATTTGTATTATTACCTAAAAATCCAGAAGCCTTAGAGCATTTTAAGACAATTAGCTCAAGTCATGCCTGCAAATTTTATTAAACAATTTTAAGTACCGATAGATTAAAATTTATTATAGACCGAGTTGCCTAATCAAAATGGATTTAGAAGGGGAAAGGGAACTAGAAAATCAATATTTGGTTTAGGAATTTTAAGTGAAAGGGCTTTAGAGGTCTTAAAGATTTGTATATCTGCTTTGCTGATTTTTTAAAACGTTTTTGATAAAAAAAAAACAAATAAAGGTCTTGAAAAAAAGGTAGGCATTAATAAAGAAGACATCAGAATTCTAATACTGTATATCTTTACTGGCAATAGGAGGTTGCAATGTAAATAAATAATGAACTTACTCATTAGTTCAAAGTTAGACAAGGAGTAAAACAAGGCTTTGTTTGATCTCCAACATAGTACAGTATAATATTTATCCAGAATTCTTAATGAGAAAAGTTATGTGACAATGAAGGGATAAAAGTTAATGGTAAAGTAATAACAAATATACGCTCTATAGTTGACACTGCTCTTAACAGACAGTGTAGAAGCATTACAAAAACTGGTTAACATATTAGTGGAAAAGGTAAAATATGTGGTTTAAGAGTTAATGCTGTGAAGACTAAACTAATGGTTGTTCCAAAATAGGAAATAAATCCTAAACTTAAAACTATGGTCGGCAACAAGGAATGTAAACGAGTGAAACATTGGTGTAGTGTACAGTATGTGGCCAGTTGTCAATTACCCCTTTGTATGGGCACACAGACGTACGTACATGTAATATATCTCACACTCAGGATTGAGGTAGGATAGAAACTCGCAATGAGTTTTCTGTATATAAGTGTATATTGTTGTACAGTGCAGTGCAGTGCTAAGGAGTTACTAGGTGATGAGTAGTTTGCTCAGAGGTCCTGTTGGGCGAGGAGCTTTGTGGGGGAGCTGATTGGTGAGGCGCTGTAGAGAGATGTTGCTGGTCCAGTCTGTCAAAGTAGAATGACCTCCCCGGTCAGCCTGTCCCGTATTTATGTGATTCTGCCGCATCAGGAATCGAGGCGCGCATAGCACGAGAGCCAATCACAGGGGAAAATGCCAAAGGTGTGAAACTCTCTGATCCTGAGCTTGAGGTGGAAGTTCAAGACTAGGTCGGCGATCGTACCCCTACATCCGCACCATAGACCTAGTCCCTCGGCGTAGCTGGCTGTACGCTGATTGGCTGGTAAGCGCGCAGCAGGAGCTCAGTCGGTAGTTGTAGGGGGGAGGATCCACAACAACAGTAGTACGGATTATTTGTGGATTTTTGTTACGCGGTCCTCTATTATTTGCAGATGACGCCCTGGTGGAATGACCACGGTCATACATGTTAGTTAATGTAAAATCAAACGATTCAACTACACTCAGTAGCCCACAAAACATGACTAACTTTTTGATTGGGTCCCCCAGCTGGGGCGTCCGTTTTTTTACCGCTTCAAGACGTCCGAGTCCTCCGTTTCTCAATCATGGAGTGCACCCGAGACTGTTATTCCTTAATATCTCGGGGCACGAAACGAAATTTGAAATTGCAACTGTAATTGTATATGTTAAATCAAATTAGATACAGTGGGGTATGCTATAACGAATATAATTGGTTCTAGAACCTTGTTCGTTATAGGATTAATCCGTTCCAGGCCCCCCAAATACAACCACTTAACACTGAAAAATATAATATAAAATTTTAAATTGTAAAAAAGTGCATTAATATGCATCTAAACCCCTGAAATAAAGAATATCATTAATACTTGTAATAAAAAAACAATTAGTAAGAAAAAATTTAAATAATGTTCATTGTAGGAGTTTCGTTCGTTATAGCATTCTCAATTTTACAGGTAAAACCGTTCGTTATAGGAATATTCTTAGTAGGATCCGTTCGTTATAGCACACCCCACTATGTCTAATTACAGATGAAATATTCAAGATCCCTTGTGAGTGATGTTGAAAGCTTCAACTGTCTTTATTGTTGGTAAAACTTGTCAAATAAGTGAGTGTTGAGTATGCCAGTAAGAATGGCATCTCTTAATATCGTCCATGGGAGATATCCAAGAGTTCCAAATACTCCTGAAATTAGATCATTTTAATACCCAAACATCAGAAAATCTGATGTTTGTAGTTGAATTAGTGTGTTAGCTAGTGTGAAAGTCATTAATCTCCTTAAAAGAATGTCAAACTCCTGATCTAAAAGATCTGAATATATACCCATAGAGGGCCTTTGTGTGTGGTTTTGCCGAGCCTGTAAAAGTGGCATTGTTAGTGTGTATTTGACGTCCATTTTACTTTTTTTTGGCAGGCTCAATCTCCGATTCGATTATAAAAATACACAAGAAATTCGCCTGACCCATGGCACTCATTTTCATAGTTAAATGTACAACAGCCGATTTAAATGTAATTTTTGACATTGCGTAACTAGCCTTGTCTGGCACAGGCCCAAGTTGCCAGTTAGCAGTATATAAACGCGTGTGCGAGAAACCTCGTCACATCTCTGACGCTGCTCCATCATTATCTCAGGTATGTGTCTTAGTCTCACGCCGCCACATTAAGTCAGTTTAACTCTGTTGAATTTTGTGAATATCAGCATTCATGTTGTAACTTGGTAAAATTATCAAAACTGTGGCCTTGAGAGGACTACATTGCCACCAATTCATGTAATGAAAATAAGGCATGGAAAATGGGACTTAGAAATATAAATATAAAATACAACAATAAAAGAAAAAATTTAGAGCAGGGGAGCAGGGGTCCAAACTGTATTGTGTGTGGAAGGTGAATCTATGTATGGGTGCATTGCAAAATCTGGCTAACTACTCTAGACAAAATATTTAAGCTGAAATTGTTTACATCACTCCACACACATCTCCAGTACTGTACTATAACCTAGCAAGAATACCACAACTACATAGCCAAAACTTGCAAAAGGAATGCAGTTTCATTTGCTTAAAGAAGGGTTTACAATGTACTGTATCCACACTGCCCTAAATGAGCCTCAAGGTATACAGGTCCCACTTTCACATAAGGTAGGAGAAGAGAAGAGAATTTTACAAAAGGATTTATTAACAACGTTTACAAAATCCACAAAATAATCTCCAGTGTTGTTGACTTGTTTGTGCTACTGAGAAATTAAAGATAATATTCAACTGCAGACAAGCAGATTTATTCAACAAAAACTAACTGAAGCAAATTACTGTGTGAAGATCAAGTCACAGGTGTCAGCATATGCAATAATTTCATATCAAGAGCTGATAAATTTTACAAAAGGAGAGTTTACACAATATATAAATGCTGTAATTCAAGAATCCATTAGTTACTGTATCTTCATGTTCTTGGTAACACTGCAAAGAAATATATACGATATAAATCTTCAGCAAAATAACTTGTTTAAAGGAAAAATTCCAATCAACGCTGCACAATTTGTTAACTATTCAAATGAGAAGTTGATCAAAAGTTGTGAACAAATTAGTTATTAAATATTAACAGCTAATGCACTGAAAATCATGATGCCAACATCCACTTCCACACCCTTGAACAATGAACACTTAGTACACAATGCTTCAGTTTTTTCACCATACAGTACTGTTCTTCCACTTTTTTTTATAAGTTCACCAAGTCTAAAATGCCATTCACAAAAATAAATATGAAACAATAGGTTCTCAGTCTTCCTACTTCTATCCTCATTACAGTTCACGTCGCATGTACTTTGGCTTTAGATGTTCGATCCTTTTGATGTAGTCTCCCTTCTCTAAACAATCATCACAGGACTCGTCCCAATCATTCAGAATCCGCTTGAGGTCCCGCACCTTGAGCTTCTTCAAATCCACATTGTTTAGATCAATCTGCTTCTCTGTGAAACCAGAACATTAATTAACTTCAATAAATAAAAGCTTAACAAATATGTGCCAAAAACAAGTATGCTCTCAGAACATTCAAAATTTATTAACACAGTACAGGTACTCCACAACAAGTTTCATTCCTGAGGCTTGTTCATAAGTCCATTTGGTCTCAGGTCCAACTTCACTCTTTGTAGATACTGAACAGACAGTACCGGTATTTAAGAAAAATAAACCAATAAGTGGTAGTACAGTACAGCTATACCCAGTACCCTACAATACAGCCTAAAACCTGGCATACTTTTCTCTTTGGTAATGTATGAATTCTATCAGGCCTTTTCTTCAAATATAATCCAGTGTCGTCCACATTAAACACCGGCTCTAGCAAGTGATGTTCACATCAGGAAAGTTGGCAAGTCAAATACCAGAGGAACACTTGTACTTTACACAACCTTTCAGTAGAAGATGTAATAAGGAGTAATAAGAGTGGTGATGGACCAGCATAGAGTGGTAGAGACTTGAACTTGCCACCCTAGACAGTCTCTACCATCCTCAACACAAGTAAACAACAGTCAATTTACACATTAATTATTTAAGGCTCATTATGCTTGCTTTATATGTCTGCTTTATTTTCTTGCTCGACAGTTTGCACGATACATCAAGGGTAGATGGGAGTTTTTGGAGGGTGGCCAGTCCCTAACCCCCTGAATTTGTTTTGCTCTTATGGAATTAATTGCTTCAATAACCGTCCATTCACTAACCAACGACTTTTTCCAGTCCCTATATGAGTTGGTTATCGGGTTACAGTAGTCCGGTGTTGCCAAACTGGCTGCTACTCTCAGGTGTATTCCACTTTCCACACACTATACCTCAACTCTTAATTTTTCTTTATATGGTATCTTTAATTATTGTACAGTATACAGTATAGTATTTTCTTTATTCATAAAGCACACTGCAAATTCTGTGGTTATTTACATAACAATGGCATAATTTGCTGTTAAGGAGCTATCACTTCCAAATTCACTTGGCAAATCTAACCGTTCTCCAATCTTACCCTCTCTCCAATTCCCGAAGTACAGTATTTTACTTATCTTTCTTGGGTGTCAAGGCATCACTACTGCACTATCTTTGAGGTGGTGTACTTCAACCTGACCCCAAAATTTCCATAAAAAGTAAACAATATAGAAATTCAACCTTTTACAACCTTCTACAAACCTCAAAGGTCCACTTATTACTGTACAAACATGTGCAAAAATAATTATTTAAATAATGCTTTATCTTTCAGATTTTATATCCACTTACCATATCTGAGGTCACAAATTTGTGCATCCATCTTCTTTAGTTTTTCACAAATCTTGTCCATGGGCATCCCCCATGACATTGGCTTGGACATTTCTCCCAAGATGCCCGTGGCAGACTCTTTCAATCCTCCAATGTAGTAGCAGAAGCGATTTTCTTTACCTTAGAAAGTAAGCAGGAAAATACTTTACAATTAAAGTTCATTATAGATTAACAAATATAATAATATCCACATACCCGATAACATAATTACAATAGCTACATAAAATATATATCCAGGTGCAAAACAACAGTATTATTTATAAATCTGAAACCTTAAGACAAAATATTATCCCCAAAACCTCTTAACATTACAATATGTAACCATTACAAATTAATAGTTAACATTGCTCAGTCACTTACTTTTAGACTCTGTACAAGTTTCTCTAAATCTTTCTTCAATCATTTTGGGATCTGTCTTTTCATCAGATGACAGGGATGAACTGAACCTCTCCAAGAAGCTCACACAAACTGTAAACGAAACATACATCTGTAATACCAAAAACTACAGTAAGCAGCCTTTGTTTATCCAAGACAATAATAAACCTGGTGTGCCAATGGTCATTAGACCCAAAACAAAATGTTTACAAAATATCTTAAAACTTAACCAAATATTAAAGATTGACAATGTTTGTAAAACCATAGATAAGGGATCAGAAGTTTTGGATTTCTCTGGTCATACCTTGAGGTGATTGATGGGGACCTTACTAATGACTGCAAGCAATTTGCAAGAGTATAGCAATGATGTTTCAGGTGAAAAGCTGGTAGATGAGATTTTCCACCTTAAGACGATACATAAAGCCAATCGAGATGCCTCACGGTCTCCACTTACAACTTAACAAAATCACAAAACTGAAGCTGATCAAGAATTACCTGAGAAGAACAATGGGACAGAAGAGACTGTCTGCTTTAACCATTTTAGGCACAAGGTGAGAAGGCAAGAAAGATTAATTTTAATGAATTTATTTATTCTTTTGCTGCCCAATAAAGCTAGTAAAGACATTTTTCTTTAGATAATAAAAAAGGCAAATATCAATTTAAATTCAGTGCATTCTTTCATGGTAATACAAGGTTTCCTTTATACATTAATTTCAAATATCAAAGAATACAGTTATTAATGTAACCTAGCTCTTTCTGTCTTCAGGTTTATGAAATATTATTTATACAAGTGTGTGTGTGTGGAATCATGTACTGTATATTTGTAGGAACCCATTCAAAATAATGATAAACCGGAATTTCTTGTATGCAAAGCACAAAGTAAAGTTTTGGAAAGTTGGTTTATTTGCTACCATAAGTTTGCATTTTTTTTAATTGATCACTGAATCTGAATCTTGAGTACCTCACTTGAATGCAATTTTATTTACCACAAAGCCATTTCCTCATTTGAGCTTGCTATGTGCAGAGGAAAACATTTTTGTGATTTTTGCGTTCGTCCTGTGTCAAAATTTGTAAGATTCAATTCAACTACTGTACAATGACAAACATTAAAAGTCTTGTGGACACAGGTGAGATAAAGCCAAGGTGAGGCTAGGCCTGGAATAATTAGGGGGGGGTGTTAGTGGGAGGCCTGTAAAACATGTATAGCACCAAGGCCCTGACAGGTCTCTCATGGGACCTGCTTTGAATCTCACCCGACAACTCCAGAGCTACAACCCAACACCTGCAAGTCAGCTTAGAATGGCCTGTGTGGAACCTGGCCTGGACCACTTCACATCTCAAAGGCATTCAGGTATACAGTATTTGTGAGTTTACGATTCAAGGCAATCATATGGTGGCCAACTCAAGTCTGAGTTACCCCACAGCACCTCTACCATTGCCTGCGATGCGTCATCTCTCGTGTTGTAAACAAAAAAGTGTTTTTTGTGCAAAAAAGTCTCTTAAAAAAACTTACTGCTAGTAATACTAGAAAAGTGAAAAATAAGACATTCATTAATAACCCTTACTAAGAAAGTTTAATTCTTATACAGTACAAGTTAAAAGAAGGAGAGGGGGGGTTTACTATATCAGGGGAAAAACTTGTAGCACCAGTGACTACATTAAAGTCACCCAACATTATCTTACCTCAAAGTACAGTTTAACTACACTTGAGTGACTACTGTTACAAAAGGCACAACATAAAACTGAACTACAATTGTAGGGGAGCTGTAAATCAAAGTGAATTAAAAGGATTATCAAAGCTCCATACCAGTATCTTTCATTATCAAATGTAAAATTGTGATGAGCACTGATCTGTATAGTATAGGGTGGCAGAGTAAGGTCTTGCACACTATAGGTAGTAAACAGTGTCCAAAGACCTCCAGTGCTTGGAGCTTAAAAAGAGCTCCTCTACCCAATATAGACTACTACAATATCACTGTCAAACTGAAAATACAGTAAAATACATACCTTCACATTCCCCCGGTTTTAGCGCTGTAGCTGCAGAAAAGCTTGCAACTACCAACACCGCCCCAATGAGCCAATTCATCTGTCAAGGAGAGAACCACAGCTCAGATAACAATACTGTACTGTACACTATATTATCAAGTACTGAATCTACACGTGAATAAGACAAATAACACCATAACACAAGCTTGGTGAACATGAAAGTGGAGATCGGCATCAGATTGAAAATAAAAAATTTAAGTGATATTTCACAAAACTTATTCCTCTTGCACTGTCTGTCTCACAAGCCAGGAAATCTTTAACTTCTAAAGAAAAAATTTCCACAAGTTAGTGCTAGGGGTGATTCCACTTTATCCAGTACAGGCCCCCCCGTTTGCATATTTTTATTTTGAGGTTCTCTATTATTCACGGATGATGCCCTGGATACCCAAGAATATCTGTGGCTAGTTTTAAAGTTGGCAGCATTTTCGCAGCTGGGACAGGGAGCCATTCGTTCTAGACAGTAATTTCCTTCACCTGTATTGTAAATGTGAGCGCACGTGTGTGTGTGTGTGTGTGTGTGTGTGTGTGTGTGTGTAGACACACAAAACCCATACAAATAAATTATAATGGGAAAATCATCTCAAATACTCAAACAATTTTCTTAAAAATGCGAGTCTACCCTCAAGTCTGTGCTTTATTGCTTTATTAATAAAGAATGGACTTGAGGCAGACTCACATTTTTAAGAAATTTGTTTGATTATTTGAGAGTATTTTCCCAGTACAGTAAGGTCGGGATATGTCACGAGATAGGGTCCAAGGATGTTCGCTATATACCAAATCGCAATGTATACAGCTACTCCCCGACTTACGACCACCCGGACATACAACCGCCTCAGTCTTGCCAAAAAATTTTCAAAATACGTATTTTAGAGTCCCGACATTAGTGATTGTGCTGTGTACTGACAAAATGTTTTTTGCAATTCCCTTTAAAATGGCTGACAAGCTTAAAAGTGAGAGTTTTGTGGAGCTGAGAAGAAAAAGAGACTCATTTTAGATTTTCTATGTATTATCTTCGCATATTCGACTTACGACCAATTCAACTTACGACCTGGATTTGGGTCCCTAACCCCGTTGTAAGTCGAAGAGTGGCTGTAATTACATATACGTAATCAATGGGGAAAATAGGGTTAGGTTCTGGAGGCCAAAAAACATGACTAAACTTGACTTGACAAGTTCATTTTCTTACTAACTAAAGCACCAATAAACACCAGACACAGGAACACCAGACTCGGCAGCTGATGCCACACTGCCACCCTCACTTGACAATCCCACGCCTACATAAACAAACACCAAAAATATTAGTTACACCATTAAATCTTTTCCATTAAGCTTTCCATTATCTTCACTTCACTCGTCACTACCAACACATTTACCCTCACCTTAGAAATCGTAATCTGCAGCCGAGTCGGCTGCTTTCTCGTCACTCACTCAAAGACTGAGCGGGCGAGTGTGAATGCTTGAGTGAGCAGCCACGGTGGCGCCTCTAGTGAGCAAATAACGCATTTGTTTGCCATAGCGGTACATTTGAAATAATTCCTGCCCAATTTCCCTCACGAAATAAAAAATTTATCACTATATATATATATATATATATATATATATATATATATATATATATATATATATATATATATATATATATATATATATATATATATATATATATATATATATATATATATATATATATATGTGAAAATTTTGATAATTTTGGTTGCCACGATATAAAATAATCGTTATATAAAGTCACAATATATCCTGATCCTACTGTATTATTTATTTGTGTGCGTGTGTCTACACACATACTGTATATACAATACAGGTAAAAGAAATAATTGTACTAAGGGCAAACACAAAGGGAATATAAATTTTTTGTACACAATTAAAAATGTAACCCCTCCCCCTTCCCAGCCGCAAATATTATTCGTTGATTTGGCGATTCGCGGCCATTTTGAGAACCAATCGGGAATTTGGGGCCCCAGTACTCTAAAATTTTTCTAAGATATTTAACTCCATGTGTTGTACTGAGATTGCACTGTGCTAAAAGTGGACTGGGCTGCATACTTCAAAATATTCTCGAAGACTTGCAGTGCAGAGATAACCCAGCAAAATACAGGAATCATTGTGAGGGTTTTTCTATACAGTAATTACTAACTTACTGTTGATATTTTGTGTTTACTACAAATGTACTGTATTGATAAATGAATATCAATGTGTGGATTGATGTAATCTGTCTTTAAACAACAGCAAATGCTACCCACTTGCAAGTACTGTATATTTGTTAATACACGTACTCGACGAGAGAGGTCTGGCCTTGACAACAGACAAAATTTCTCCATAGATTAAATTTTACAAAAGTACAACAAATGCACAAGGATACATTTTGTGAGATCAGTATTAACGTGAGAAATGGGCAGAGACAGACTGCCAAACACAACCTTGATACAAGCACTGTTTAGAATGGAGCAGTGGTTGTTTTGACAAAGGAACTACGGGGCATACAGTATTCTAGAATATTTTAAAAGGAAAAAATAAATATTTCTTCTGTAACTGATGGAGATTTGACCCACCACAAACAACAATAAATGCACAAAGTAGGTAGGGCTTTGAAATCTTGGGAAATTGTGGGGTAAAAATAAGCAACACTGATCAGACCAAACATGAGGAAACCTGACCTAGCTTTACCTGACAATAACTTTACTAAACCTTACCTTATTTAACCAATGGTGGAGGCTGACCATGTGTATATCACGTGATAAAATAAAAACAAATGCACTCGCCTATGAAAGAACCCCTAAGTTATACAAATTAACCTTACTTTATAATTGTTAAGTCCAAAACTAAAAATTTGACAAAAAATACAACAGACTAAAGTACAGGTGTACCCCAAAAACCAACATCCAGTTGACTGCCACTTCGCATGACCGACTATTACAAATATTGCAGTATTAATACCCCGCAAGTTTCATTGATACCCCAGAGATCCAACAACTGGGAGAGAAGCAGCAGAGCCGTTTTGAATTTGGTGGGCGGTGGTGTGGTGCGAATTCTTGCCAAGAGGGCTCTGCACATTGCCCCGACTCTTGTTTTCACTTGCTATATATCCGACTTAAGTGCGTTACTCAATCCTGCCAAAATACCTCTTGTGCTGGACAGCTTAACGTGATGTAATAAGGAGTAATAAGAGTGGTGATGGACCAGCATAGAGTGGTAGAGACTTGAACTTGCCACCCTAGACAGTCTCTACCATCCTCAACACAAGTAAACAACAGTCAATTTACACATTAATTATTTAAGGCTCATTATGCTTGCTTTATATGTCTGCTTTATTTTCTTGCTCGACAATTTGCATGATATATCAAGGGTAGATGGGAGATTTTGGAGGGTGGCCGGTCCCTAACCCCCTGAATTTGTTATGCTCTTATGGAATTAATTGCTTCAATAACCGTTAATTCACTAACCAACGACTTTTTCCAGTCCCTATATGAGTTGGTTATCGGGGTGAACTTGTATTCGGTAATGACCATAATGAGAAAGTTAGATCAGGTTGCCTCATCTTGAAAACCCTGCCTAGTTACTTTGTGAAGAACCATTGTTGTCACCACAAATATACTGTACACCTACAGCACTGAAAATAAAGGTTCAGGTTCTTCTTATTCTCCATCAAAAACATAAGGAAACTATTTTGGTTATTAATTTCTCTTTATGGTCAACTACCAATTCTTTACCAAGTATTTTTTTTCCTCTATCCTTTCTATAATACAATTAATATAGCTTTGCAACTATGTCCCCAACTAATGGCTAATACAGTGCACTACTGGGGAAGATGATCAACACCCGAAGTTCTTCCATTTTGTAAAAAAAAAATCCACATAAGTTCTTAGTTATTTTTTAGTTTTTCTCTACAATTATAAATCACCTGCAGTGGGCAGGACATGAAGAATGAGGGAAATTGCAAGGTAAACAATGAAAAACTGAACACGACACTAAAATGATGTCTACATGCTTTGTACGTGAAGAAATTACTTATTTACCATAAATACTTATCCAAAAAATCTGGCAAGTAGGCAGGTGTTGCCATCTGCTCTGTTTACAACAGACCCACTCAGTCTGACCGTATCTCACATCCACAAAAATCATAAAATTACACCAGGACATTTTAAAATGCAATGTTTACATTGGTACGTGATATCAAAATAAGTACTGTACAGGTTGAAACTCTAATGGCAATGGATTTACCAGCAACTCACTTTAACGGCAAAACTGAGATCTTCAATTTGAAAGGCCCGCCCCCAATTTCCACTAGTTCCTCTATTTGTTTCGTCATTAAGTCCAGCTGGTGCTGTGCTAGTGTGTTCACCTTTAAAATTTCTACTTTCTTTGCAACCTGACAACCCTACCCGAGTTGCTAGTGACCCAAAGAAGAAAGGTGTTTCCCTGAGCATTGTGCACAAGGTTGAAATATTTCAGAAACTATATTGTGTGGTGTCTGCTCCTCAACTTTGTGAAATCTATGGTGTTGGTTCCTCAACAATTTGGTCAAAACTTATTTTTTAACTTTTATATCCCCCACCACTTCGATTTAACAGTATGGTCCAGGTCCTGTCGATACTATTAAAAGAGGTTCAACCTGTACATTGTTTAATATGGCAGGGGGGAGGGGGGGTTCTACCCCCTGCTTGCACTACTTAAGTGAACATTTACCACAGCGTTTTTAAAATTCGTTTTCTACGAAGTCGGCCGCTGGTCAGTCCTCGATAATTGCCTCAAAATTCTCCGTGTAAATTAAACTTTGGTCAAATTGTGATAGTTGTCAGGTTTCAATTTTGGTATTTTTGCATTTGCTCACAACTTTCCTGCCCCAAATATATTATCAAATTCGAAAAAGACCTCTAATTTTAAGATAATTTTCTAATACAGTATTACATTACCGTCGCAAATGTATAATAACATAGCGCATCCAAAATCTTTATTTCTTCCATTAATCTTCTGCCATTATCGCCTACCTCGCCTCCCACACTGCTACTTCATAAATCGTCACGCGCATGCATTCCCGTACACGTCACCCAGTCAATCAAAAGCGTTTGTTTTTTGCAACAAATTAAAATGATTTGTGGTTTAATTCGCAGTATTTTTGGCCCAATCAAATTTGATTTTTATTTTGGGTCTCATATTTTGAAATTCAAATTCATTTCCGACCATGGAAGTCTGCGATGGGTGTCACTTCAATTATATGGAGCCGATTGAGAGTTTTGGGGAAAAAACCGAAGAAACTATAGCATTTTTTCGATTGCATGGTGTTCTTCCAACCTCAGTAAAGTGTCTTAAGTGCAAGACAATGTAAATATCGCAAAGAACATCATAAGTGGCATTGTGTAAGAATCTCAGAATCCAACGACGTACAAGAACCAGCCCAATAAGCTAAGAAATAGGCGATTCCACTATGACGAGAGTCGGTTAGGTTTGGTTTTTGTTTTTCTAGTGTGTTTTGGTGTATTTTTTATTCGCTTAGCAATTTTTTTTTCGAAAAACGTCCCACAAAAAAAAACGATAAAAAAACCCGGCCAATTTCCGACGTAAATGAAGGTCATATTCGGTCTAAACTCACAAATACGCCAGAAAAAGTATATTTTTAACTTTCTAACAGTGGGAGGTGGAAGTGCAAATTTACCTAATTCAGACAGTTCTAAGACACTTTTCCTCTTTAGTTAATAAAATTACCAACAATGTTACTTGCTTCAAGTGGACAGGGCTTTGAAGTCGAGGAAAAATGTGAGGTAAAATACTAAAAATAACCCCAAACAAACCTATTAAAACCTCACCTAACGTTTCGTAATCTTTCAGAATCCTAAGTCTATATTGTTCATGTTTTCGGTGTTTAGTAGGTGGTGTTCCTTTTGTATGGTGTTTCCGGTGTTCAAATGAAGGGTTCATAAACTCTAAAGTGATTCTTAAAATGGTTACACTTTAAACAAGTAATATTGTTGGTAATTTTATCGATTCAAATATCCAAAAAATATATAATTCCCGACGGAAATGTTATAGAGGAAGTGTTTGAATAGTCTGAACTATGTTATACCGTAGTGTACAGCAGTATATGAGACTACGACATTGGTCATCTCCCATAAAATCAAATCACATGTCCTGTACAATACAATAATAACCATCATCTTTATAATTAACTTCAGCTAGAAAATGATGTATAAACCTCTCTCTCTCTGAACCACATAACTAGAGTTCACATCAACTATACACTTACATTTATAGAGGGGACAGATAACTCCTCAACACGCAGATTTGACGAGTGAGGCGAGTAAATGAGTGTAGGAGCGAGTGAGGCGAGTTAATGACTGTACAGGGTGGAGGAGAGCGACCTGCTGACTCTACACACAGTTGGCGGACTGTGATTGGCCCCGGCACCTGTCTCACCCACCACTGTTCATTACTTTCCTCCCACTTTATTACTGATACATAGGTGGATAGTTACATATATGGATAGTTGCATAAATAGATGGATATACATACATACATGCATACTTACATACAGTGCAAATATAAAAGTAATGTGCATAATATAGATAGATACATAATTATTGATACCTTAGTACTTATTGACATTATGATGAGAAGAGGTCATCACCGTTGAATGAAGATCTTGTGGAGAGTTACAGTGAATATCAATACATTTCTCCCACGTAAATTGTTTTATTAAACATTTATTATAGAAGAGAATGAAGTAAGGAACAAAGCAGACAACCAAGGACTGAAATTTATCAAAATGTTTTGGTGAAATATAACTTTCTTTGTTGATTTTATATTGCTGGCACTACATAATCTAATGTAAATCCTGATAAATGACTCGTATAATAGTTGTGTGAGTATGTTATATGTTTGTGCAAAGGACCTGTTGTTAGAATAGCGTAGATGTATCTAACTGTGCCACTACAAATATTTATGTTCGCCGTTTCTCGTTTCTCTGACAACATAAACTTTCAGAAACGATACAAATATTTTTCATTAGATTAATAATGGCTTAAATTTTTATATTTATACACTATGATTATTTTGAAGATTATATATTAATGCTACATTAAAGTTTTTGTACTGCTTAATAAGTGACTGCACAAAAACAAATTTCGTCGGTATTTTTACCAAGAGGGTTATTAATCATCATTTCTACTTATAAAAATCCAATTATAATAGTTTAAAATAATATGCTGTTCATTATTCAGACAGTTTGTTACTTCCTATATCCATGAGGTGTTAGAGATGTGCCTCTCCAGGCTCCTTGTACGAGGTGACCAGTGTTGGAAAATAATGACGACTGATATTGCAGCGCTATTCATTTTTTTTAAGTAGATATTCAAAGAAAAAATTAATCTAAAAATCCCTATATATTTATAGTAATTTTACGCTATATTGTTTCGGTTTATATTTTATAAAATTTACATAGTTCCATGGCGGTGTTCGTGGTATTTTATTTACATTAACTATTTTGCCTTAGCAACGTGTAAAATTTGTTCTGTTATATCAAGATCACAAAGTAAAAATTACTTCAGGGTATATTTGTGTAATGATTACTAATTGATATATTTTTCAAAAAAGTTATTAAAAATATTATGAATTTATATTTTTAATCGGTACATGGATGAACACAATACGGGTAAAATAAGTTGATTTAGTATCATTATTAAGTGACGTATACAGACACATAGACAAATGTCAACAACAGCAGAAAGTGAAGTGAAAATGTCCTTTGAAGATTTAAGGAAACGAGCTCGACAGTTAGAGAGTGAAATAGATGTTAAGTTGGTATCCTTCAGTAAAATAGCTGCCAGTTATGGATCAAATTCGGCAGCCAATGCAAACAGTGAAACTGTGGCCCTGCTCTCAGGGGACCAAATGTAAGTGTACACTAATACTTATTAACAAACTATTATTGTTTTGTGGGGATATAAAAGTTTTGGCTTGCATGAAAACTAAGGTAAAGATTCATTTAATGCCATAAGGTCCTTATTTGGGTATTATTGTGTTTAAACATTCCCATTTCCTACCACTAATCTATTATCATATTCTAATAAGACGTCTAATTATAAGATCATTTTCATCTATTACATTACCGCCGGAAATGTATATTAACGGAGATAACAAATCCAAAATTTTCTTGATTTTCTTTCATTAACTTGGGCCATTTATCATGTACTTCACCTTTCACATTGTGTCTCCTTCATGCACATGCATTCCCGTATAAGTCACACGACCAATCAAAAGCCTTTTTTTTTTGGCAACCAATTAAAATGATTTTGGGTTTAATTCGCAGTTTTTTTGGACCAATCAAAATCGATTTTTATTTTGGGTCTCATATTTCGAAATTTAAGTTCAGTTCCCACCATGGAAGCCTGCAATGGGTGTCACTTAAATTATATAGAGTTGATTGCGAGTTTTTGGGAAAAAACGAAGAAACTATAGCATTTTTTTGATCGCATGGTGTTCTTCCAACCTCAGTAAAGTGTACTAAGAGCAAGACTGAATGTAAATATCGCAAAGACCAACATATGTGGCGTTGTGTAAGAATCTCAGAATCCAACGACGAACAAGAACCTGGTCTCCAGGCCAACTAAGGTAAGAAATAGGTGATTCCATCATTTGGTGAGAGTCAGTTAGGTCAGGTTAGGTTAGGTTTTTCTAGTCTGTTTTTGGTGTATTTTCTATTCGCTTAGCAATTATTTTTTTCGAAAAAGTCTTGAAAAAAATTAGATAAATAAACCCGGCCAATTTCCGCCGTAAATGAAGGTCATATTCGGTCTAAACACACAAATACACTAGAAAAGTATATTTTAAACTTTCTAACAGAGTGGGAGGTGGAAGTTCAAATTTACCTTTATTTGTTTGGGGGCTGGATGTTTAGGGAGATATAAACACTCACGAACAACAACAATGGTTTACCTAAGGGGGAAGGGTTTTGAGGAAGATGTGGGGTTAAAACACTATTACCATAAACACAGGTTAATATATATGACTAACCCGCCCACGAGTTATTTTCATTGCTGTTTATTTTCTTACATTATTTTCATCAGTGAGTTGTGATATGATAACCATTTCTTGTAGAAATTGTTCGTTTCATGGATAATTAGGCACCTAGGCAAGCACTAAATTGAATTAGAACATAAGAAAATAAGGAGTCTGCAATAGGTCGGTTGGCCTGTGCATGGCAGCTCCTGTCGAGAGTTACTACCACTCTCTATCATCCATGAATCTATCTAGCTTCCTTTTAAAACTTTCCAGTGTTCCAGCACTTACTACAAAGTTGCTAAGCTTGTTCCACTCATCCACCACCCTATTAGTGAACCAGTTCCTTTCTATCTCCCTCCTAAACCTAAACTTATCCAACTTAAAACAGTTGCTTCGAGTCCTATCCTGCACGGATATTATAAGAACTTTATCTATATCTTCTTTATTGATTCCTTTCGCCCACTTAAATACTTCTAGCATATTTCCCCGCACTCTTCGGCCGGTAATTTGACGCTGATGCTCTTTCTCCCTTCTTGAATATGGGTACTACATTTGCCTGTTTCCACAAGTCTGGCACAACTCCCGTGTCTAATGATTTTGTAAATAAATTTACGAGGGGTCCGCTAATCTGTTCCTTACATTCTTTCAAAACTTGAGGGAAAATTTGCACAAACTAAAATAGTGTCCACTATAAAATAACAGTGAAAGTCCGGCATTTTTATAATCGTATTCAATCAATTTCGGCCGCGTGTTAGTCCTATATAATTACCCAAACATCAAATAAAACTTTGAAAACCTTACCTAACTTTCTGTAAAAATCGTAATACTATAAAATGAAACTTGGTAATCCTTGAGGAGTATTTGGTATTATTTTAGTTTTGGTCATCCTGGGAGACTTAGGAATTTATTTATTGAAATCAATAGTTTAGAAAATTTTAAGACAATTTTTCTATGACGTTTCCTTCACAAAAGACATACATACAGTATAGTCTCGGTTTACTCTGATTTTTTATATGTGGTTGGTCATTTACGCGGCACCTGTCCAGACGCGCCAATTATTAGTTACGCAGTACATTCCTGAATTTACGCGGGAAGCGGCGCGGACAAGCTGCGCGCTAGGTCGCTCATATGTCACCGCTGACGTCAGATGACGTTTCGGACTGTGATTGGGCCACTTTTAAAATACTATCTATAAAACAACATCTGTGGAAAAAATAAACGAAATCGAACAACTCCTTCTGGTGTTAGCCATCTCCTCCAGTACACTGTACTGTATTACCAAAAACTTACCTTATGTAACCAATGAAGAGAATAAAGTGAAGTCACTTTTAGCAAGACTTTCCAGGCAGAAAAGTGCTAGACTCACGAAAAAAATGCTAGATTTGTTGAAGATGACCTAAATTTTACATTCAGAGAAAATTGCTTTATTTATTTCTGAATGGGCATTATAATGAATTCTGGGGTTATTTTTCTTTATTTTCTGACCTGGGTTTGTACGATCACATGTAAAAACACGAAGAGAATTATTTAGTGCTCCTTGACTTTGTGCAACCATTGTCATTGCTGGTGATAGTGGGTTGTACCTCCATGAATATTAATTTGCACCAAAAATAAAGATTGTATTCTTTTAAACCACCAGTAGTTACATAAAAGAAACCCCCTTTTTCTTCTTTTTTTAGATTCCAATCTATGTACTATACTGTACTGTACTGTTCTGTTCTGTTATGTACAATTCTCAAGTGGATGGTGTGAGACAAGAGAGGAAGTCAGAGAAAGAAATGGAAGAGTGGATAAAGTTGCTGGATGGATGGTATTTGAGTGGTTTGGGGAGGTTTTGTATGATGTGACAGATGGAGGTGTTAGGGCCATGTTGTGAAGACAAACTGTATACAAGGGAGAAGTCTAGATTAATTAAACTAATTACCAGTTTTTGTTTACGCAGGTATGAGACGATTTCAGTAGAGTTGGAGCAGCTGTTGGCCAGCCTCACAGACATAAACGAAAGAATGAACAGTTGTCCTCATGGGTCTTCAGTTGCCACCATACACACCCTACAGCGCCACAGGGACATTCTTCAGGTAAGCTTTTATCAGAATATTTTAGCTGAATATGTCACTCCATCTCTAGCCTTTCTTTGCCTAACTGATAAAAATATTGTGTGTATGAGGTACTGTATTGATTTTCAAGTATTTTACGGCTGAATATAGTCAGTGTTCAACTCTTAGCTGCTATTATTTTTTATTTGTGTGAGATTTTGACTATACTGTATTTCTCAAACTATAAACTAATGAAACAAATATTATTTGTGTGTTAGTTTGTGAAACATTCATATTGTGCAGTTGGGTTTAGGATGTTCGTAATGGAATGTCCAGAGATAAATACTGTAGCAGCTTAATATACATTGTTTAGTAAGCTATCTGGCTTATCACATTCCTATTAGTACAGTACTATACTACAGTATACTGTACACGGATTACAATAAGGAACATAAATCCACAACTAATAATAAATTTGGTAAATAATTATTTCAACAGGACTATACACATGAATTTCAACGCACAAACAATGCCATAAAATCAAGAAGAGAGCGAGAACAGTTGCTCGGTAGTGGGAGGAACAACAGCAAGAGTCTGTCCGGTCTCTCTCGGCGGGATCTTTACCTCAAGGAAAGTGAACATCTTGCTAACACTGAGGGAATGGTTGACGAACAAATCACAATCGCTGTCGAAACGAGAGATCACCTCAAGAGTCAGCGGGAAGCATTCAAGATGATACAGACTAAAGTGAACGACCTGTCCAACAGGTTCCCTCTCCTTAACACACTCATGACCAAAATAAACATTCGTAAAAGGCGCGACAGTCTGATTCTCGGCACCATCATTGGCTTGTGTTTAACTTTCATGCTTTGGTGGATGTTCTTCTAACAACGTGACTGCTTCACTCTCCTTCCCTGTATGAGGAAAGGTAATTGATGAAATACTGTAGTGCTATTTTCTTCATACTAAAGGAGGTGTTGATTTATGCTATTATATAATTGTTATGCCTATATGCTGTTCTTTGTAACTTATATAAACAATTTATTGGTGATATTATCCTTAAAGAAACACACACACACTCACACAGTTTTTGATTAACCAGATTTCTTTGAAGAGGAATTCTACAATAACTGGATATGTGAGAGGCACAAAAGTAGAGCGTAAACCTTCTAGAATACTGTACAGTATATGAGAGCCTTGTAAACAAAGATATAGATAAGATGAAGTTGCCAGTAAGGTAGGGGCTCATTAGAGGCACATAAGGAGCATTGTACAGTACACTATGATCTTGATAACATATAATCCATAATATGAATGTACTTGTAAGGTCATGACCCAATTTCCTAATACAGTAATACCCAATTATAATGGAAAATGAAGACTGAACTCAAGCCAATAAGTTTGGGGTTCATTAAGACTCAGAACCTAATGGGTTCCATGTTTTAAAACCCAATTTTGATGGAAAATTAAGATTTAGCTTTACACTATACCATTAACCACTTGTGAAAGGGGTCCCCTCACTGCTCAATATAATCATCTAGTGTTAGCCAAGTAAAAGACTATTAAAAGTGGCGTCCCTATAATACCATTCAAGTTAGGTGCTACTGGGACAGGGCAGCACAAGTCCTGATTATCCCTAGATTTTATGACACTAACATTGTGATTGTGCCATTATTCATGGTTGACAGTACAGACCTACACACACTCATATATTGTACAGTACTGTGTATATAATCATGGTTTATTTGATCCCTGTGTGAAGAACATCAATAGTTTTAGAAAGATCTTTGTCTTGTGACTGGAAAAGTTTGACTTTATTCAGACTTCCAGTTTAGCTAAGTTGCAATTAAGTGATGTTTACTGTGTGTGTGTGTGTGCATGCATGCATGCGTGTAAATATACAGTACTGTATATCAATATTAATACCGTACAGGAATGATTTACTGTATAATAAACTTTTTATTGATTAATCTGATGATTCATAATAACATTTGTTTCATTCAAGTAGTCTGGTAAAAATTGCTGTTATATATCAGTACTGTCCATTACACTTATTGTATTCTTAACAATATTATCTATATTGTACAATATAATTGTTTTATATGACTACATTGATATATCATTGCATATCTGGCAATCATCAGATGGCTTAAGTAATTGGGCTGCTTGTTAAGGGGTTTTGGTATTCAGTTATCTGTAGTAATATGGTTATGGTTCATCTACAGTATACTGTATGTACCAGTCATCATTCCTTGCCATAAACACCACCAACACATATGTAACAGTTGCCCTCTAGGGACAGTAGACCTGATTGAGTCACTTTTGCTCAATTATCATCAAGGCTACTCTCCATCATCTAGATTTCAGGCCAGTTTGCTATTTTGAATTTCGATCCAAGCCATGTTACCAAGATCAGACCCCGTCCAAGTGGCACTTCCCGGTACAGCTGTCATAATACACAAAGCCAAGTTTTATGGCCCTGTTGTGACACATCAGAGTACTGGCTCATCTGTCACAATGTATTAAGACTACTGTACTCTCAGGTCTAAATTGATAATTTCTTAAGGTTAGTGGACATTCTTTACTAATCTCTCGAAGGCCTGGCTGGTCTACAGTATATACTGTACTGGAATGGTTAGCTTCAGTCTTCTGGTGCAATATCTTTCTCAGTTCACCTATTAGTGTTTTTTTTTTCTTTATGAGCAACATCATAGCCATAGTCCTGGTGTTAGTTGGCTTATGGCAAAGTGTAAACCAATAAGCTAGTTGCTGGTTTGGGGCTCACTGGAGAACCAGGCTTGTTTCAGAAGCTTATCTGAATGCTAAATCCTCCTTTCCTAGTTCATTGAGGATTTGGTATGTTTACCTTTGATATTCATGATTTAATCATATGTGATCATTCAGAGGGTCTCCAGTTAGCTCATATTGGTTAGGATTGATCTGTGAAGTGCCTTCCTGATAAGTGTGTGAGAATCTGTACCGCTATTGTAGCTGCAGATCAGAGGGAGCCCCACCAATCACTTGGGAGAGCTTACAGTACTGTGAGCTGCTCTAGTCAGTTTTAGTCCCCAGGGGACACAGGCAAGGTATAACTTATGAAAATACTCCCATTGATTATTAAAAAAGCAGGTGAATCATAAATGTGGTTTCAATTAAATTGTTAGGCGACCTAAACCTTTTGTGAATATTTTTCGTGTACTTGATATACCTTTGTGTTATTGTGACTGATTCTTTAGCTGGACTCATGGTTAGATATTAATAACTTATGGGGGAAAATAGGTTCCATTCCTGAGCTCCTGAAGAGCCCAAACAAGTTTTATATCCTGCTGCTATAATGACGGTCCCTTTATGAACTAGTGGGTAAGATTTTCAGTCCTACTTGAACTTCATGTTTCTTTTAATCTTTTTCTTAAGAATTAAGTAAAGATACAGAGTTTTGTTGTGTCTCTCGTGGTACATTATATCATTCCCTTAGGTATTAAGTGTTAGTTTTAGGTTTCATGATGGTGCATTAAGTTTTGAATGTGATGGATCATTGGAATTTTCCAATAATTCTGTGGGTATTTTTCACTTTCTTACTTGCCTACACAGTATTACATAATTTATGCATGGAAATGATTTCACCTGACTCTTCTCCCATTAGACTATTGGTCCAATTTGTCTGGGGCTCTGATGACCTTTGGCAAGTGGCCAGAGGTCCAAAGATATCACTAAAAGATGGAGATTGGGTGAGTTGGAAAAATATTACAAATCTGACCCCATGAACAGTATATAACAAAGGATCAACTTTCCTTTAACAGGGTATGTTAGTCTAACTGATCCATAATGTACCTCCACCACCTTCTTGCCTACCAGGCTTTGGGTTATGGTATGAGAGCTACATGACAAAGGATAATCACCAAAGTGGAAGAATAACTCTGAAAACCTCTTTTTCTGTCAGAACTTGTAGCCAGAATCACTCCCCTCCTCTCTCTTAGTAACTTAGCTGACTGAAACAACTTGCACAATAGCAGATAATCAGGTGCCTATTGATCAGTCTTTGCTCTGGTTATACCTTCCTCCTGGAGGACAACTGTTGTATATCTCCCTCATTTGAGTTTGGCAATGTCACTGGGTATGGAAGTGTAATTGTTTTATCCAAATACATCAATAAATCATCCCTAGCTACATTGTGAGGTAATATCTGAATACCATAAACCTCCACAAAGATTGTTACAGGCAACACCTGACTGTAGGTTCTGTCAGAAAAGGGAATTGAAGATCAATGATTCATTTTAAGCAATAATGTAAGAATTTAACCTTATTATCATCTCTGATTTTAATGAAATATCCAAAGCACCATTTACTATGATGACATTCAGCAATCAACTTAGAGCATTATATGGTAGTTGGAGGGCGGCCATGTTAGCGCTTGCAATTAAACTAACCATTTTTGCCATGGCGCTTTTAAATTTATTGCAATTTTAACCTATTTGTGTGATGGTTTTCAATGTGGTGTATTACTTCTCTCAATATGTTAATACATTTATTTTTAAGAAACAACCACTAGTTCTCTCACTATGCTATTATCATTGCACTGGTTGGAATTTCTCTATTTCTTCTAATTATGTTTTGATACCGTTCCTTCCTCTTAAGCAATTGAAGGGCGTGTATTTTTTGGTTGCAAATGTACTGCCCAGGTTCGAGTGTAATTGCAAGGTCTAAAAATGCTTGATTTGATTGTTCAGTAAATATTATTTGGACATTTCAGTTTGGAAGTAATTGGAGTGCATGTTGACAATGTTATCACCCACAGAGGTAGCCAGAAGGGTGTCGTGTAGAGTATGTATGTATGTATATAATTGTAATGTTCTTGGATTGTCGATTGTCTCTTCAGTCCTTTGAGATATATTTATAAATATAGCTAAAAGTAAATATTTTTTCTTTTGATTCTACCATTTAAGCACTGAACTTATTAACAATCCTGGTATTACATTGCAGGAATCAGTAGTCACTTTTTCACTTCATTGACTTATTGCAATAGACATGTTCAGCCATAGGAAACGTGTCACATTTCCTCTATACAGACAGTCCCCGCCTTACAACAGGGATACGTTTCTGGATCCTGCTCGCAATTCGAATTGTTGGCAAGACAGAAGTGTGAATTCCATAGTTTAGGTTAGAGCACAACCCTCCCCATTCAAAAGAACAATATCCAATACATAATTTATCATGTAAATACTGGAAATATAGTGGTTAAATAATACAGTTGTACCCCACTTAACGCGGTCAATAAAACCCAGAGGGTACCGTGTTAAGTGAAATCCGCGTTAAGTGAACAACAGAACATATGGGATTAATTCCAATAGAAACCAGCCCGACCCCCAAACTCCACTTTTTGACGACACATAACTATGTTGTAGTAAAAATTTTATCTTAACTTTATGATGGTATGAAAAAACAAGTTATATAGAAGAGGTTAGGTTAGGAAAAATAAAGGTCAACATAGGAAAAATAAAGGTTAACATAGGAAAAATAAAGGTTAGGTTAGAGAAACTAAAAGTTAGGTGGAACACTTACGGTAGTAGAAGAGATGGGTCGGCGTACAGGGATGGAGGCTGGTTCCGAGGCAGAGGGCAGGCTACTGGCCCTCAGGTGAGTCACTATCACTGTCACCCACAGTTGTTATGGCCTCCCTGACAAATCCCTCAAAGTCATCTTCACTGTCTCTACCTCTGTCACTATCACTGGCTTGGGCTGGCTGTGGTGGGTTGCGGGCGAAGAACTCGGTTATGCTTTTTTGACGGCTGGTGTTTATGTTGTCTTGGTACACCGTGATGTACGGCTCCATAGCCTGCACCAGCCGGGTATGGAAGACTTCATAGCGGTCATCGTCATTGTCGCGGGAAAGGACGGACTTCATTTTCTCTGCAAACTCTATGGCACACTTAATATCACTATGACTTAAACTGTGTTCTTCGGAGAATGACGCACCTTCTTCCTCCTCTTCACTGACGTGTTCTTCTTCCAACATCTCGTCGGCAGTCACTTCAGGATCTCTGATCACCTCCAGGATGTCTTCGTTGGTGGTCTCGGAGAAGCCTTCAGCTGTAATATTGAGCGCAGCTTCTCTGGCAAGGTCCACTGCTACTGCAACAGTCTGAACCTCACCAGTCACAGGTTCACTCCTCCTCTCACCTGGTATGCCATGCAACACATGTCTCCATGCGTGACGAATCGTAGCAATAGTCAGCAGATCCCATGCCTCCACCAAGAAGTCTACAGCTTGTTTAACGTTAAACTTCTTCCAAAATTGTTTGACGAGAAGTTCTTGAGTCGCCACCTCTTGTTCCTTGTCCTCGTCGCTTTTGCTCTCGCTGTCGGTGTCACCCAGCATACGCAACTCATCCTTGGTGTTGGTAGAGTCGTTCAGGAGCTTGAACTTCTTTGCAGAGTACGCAGCTTTCACATTGCAAATCAACTCCTGGTCCATGGGCTGGATTAATGACGTAGTGTTGGGAGGAAGGAAGACCACTTTTACGTTGGGGTGACGATCCATAAGTAGGGGCGAGTGTCCAGGTGCGTTGTCAAGGAGCAACAAAATATTGAATGAAACATTCTGTTGCTCGCAGAATTTCTTCACGTCAGGAACAAAACAGTTGTCAAACCAGAAGAGGGACAGAGAAGAGGACATCCACGCCTTACGTGCGGTTAGCCAGTGGACATTAAGCTTGTTCATGTCCATATTCTTGTAGGCGTGCGGCTTGCGGGCTGTGTGAATCACCGATAACTTTGGTTTACAGGTACCGGAGGCATTGGTGGTAAACAGGACGGTGATGCGTTCCTTCTGCAACTTCCGACCCCTTACCTTGCTGGCAGACTGGACAACGAAGGTCTTGGAAGGTAGCTTTTTCCAGAAAAGACCAGATTCGTCCATGTTAAACACCTGGTCGTCAGTGTACTGTCCTTCCTCCATAATCTCACGTAAGAACGGAGGAAAATCTCTAGCCGCCACACGGTCAGCACTCGCTTCCTCACCACCAATGTTGATGTTGGTGATCTTGTTCCTCTTCTTAAACCTATGCAGCCAACCAGAGGAAGCATTGAAGGGTTTGGGCTCTGCAATTCCCAGCTCACGTGACACTGTTGCGTATAGCTCGCGTGCGTACTCCTGCACTGAGCGCATGTCCACCGCCATGTTGCGTCGCGCCTGACGAATCAAATAATTCACCAGCAAATTTTCCACTTTTGCCAGCACCCTGTTCTGGCAATACCTGATAGATGAAGCACCTGCAGACTTTGTGCTCTTTGATCTTGGCTGCATCCTTCTTGATTGTGCGAATCATAGATTCGTTGACGCCATGCTGGCGCGCGAGATCAATTTGCCGTGTTCCTTTCTCCAAATCTTGAACAATTTGGTACTTCACCTCGTAGCTTAAGGAACGTCGTGTCTTCTTTGGCTTAGTGCCGCTGGGTCAAGGTAAGGAAAGGTCTCTCTGGTGGCGGTGGTGGTCCGGCGAAAGCCATTTTACGTAACAATGGATGCGCGTTTACACGGTGGGGCCTTGAGGGATGAAACTGCCGCGGCTAGGTCAAGCGTCGTCTTTCCTCCCTCCCTCCCCCGGGTGGTCACGTCATAATACTTTAAGCCAATTACAGCTTGCAGCAGAGGGGGGGTAGGGATGCATGGCCAATCACAGTCCGATATGTCATATGACGTCAGTGATAACGCAACAAAGACACACACTGCGCAACCTTACCGCGCCGCTTGCCCAAGCTGAGGGAGGAGGAGGGAGAGGCGAGAAGCACAGGCAGGCAGCGCGTGGGGCAAATCTAAAAATAGCGTCTCGAGCCGGACACTCACCGGACACTCACCGGGTATATGTGGAAAAAATCCGTGTTAAGTGAAAGTTCGCTTCTGGCGAGGCACCGCGTATATGAAAAATCGCGTTAAGTGAAACCGCGTTAGGCGGGGTAATACTGCATAAAATTATGAAAAGGTAAAAAAAATGGTATTTTAATTACAAAATTGTATTGGAATCCCATTCATAAGTCTGGATGATCGCAAATTGGGTGGTCATAACTCGGGGACTGCCTGTTTATTTCCCAGTACATATTATTTTGGGTTGTAATTCAGTTATACACAATAGCATTTTTGTACAAAATCTTTATTAACAGTTTACAATTAATCACTAATTCACATAATTACAATCTCTTAATCAGAAACTAACACTTCCAGTTAAGAAATATATATATGGCATATCACACACTGCCATTTCATAAAAAAAGTTCAGGTTTAAAGAAATAATGTACTGAAAATAGTGTGCTTTGTAATGATATCAACATACTTGACTATTTTGTAATAAACCAAATGCAAAACATTGCTGTTAACAAAGAAATATACATAATTAAAAAAATAATTTGAAAAAACAAGCTACAGGACTGTTCCTTAGATTGTTATAAACATAAAATTAGGGAAATTAATATACTATAAAATATAATCAGGTTGACATACAGTGCCTCAATTATTATTTACCCTCGCAAAATTTCATAAATATAACCTTACGTCAGGAAGTGATATTAATTCCCATTCAATACAAACTGATGTAAATTTAGAGATTTACTGTACTTGCTTTGTCTCTTAAGTACCTGACATAGAAACATTAAATTTTTTCTGGTGTAAATAAAGTAACTTGCTCACACAAAGAGACATTGTTACATGTATTTGGTGTATTTATTTTTGACTGATTTCCTGTTGTGTGTATTTTTAACCAAAACCAATGAGGAGGAACAAGGAAAATAGATGAATATCCTCTTCACATACTCTGCCTCCTCACTTTCATGTAGCTTCTCCATTTTGCAACGAGAAACATCTATGCTATATTACACATTGTTATTATATATACTGTACCCAAGTTCTTTCACTTAACTTGCACAATGGAGCTCACTATCTTCCACATTTACGTACATAAAAAAAAAAAATAATAGCATGCACCATGGTATTAGACATGGTGTGGAGAGGAGTAATTTCTACATGGCACTCATCAATCAACAACCATATGAGGTCATGTAAATACCCTCGCCACAATTAAGGCATTAAACCCAACACTGGAGTGGTGTCTCGCTTAACATTCACCTACAAGCACAATTGTGTAAGCTTCTCAAACTTGGCATACACAATATTTGCATCTACTCCGATTCAGAGGCTGCAGATGATCGCTCTTGGCGTTTCATAGAGAGGAGGGCCTTCTCTCGTAGCTTGCGCTCTAGCTCTTCCGCTCCCAGACTCTCTCCTGACTCACTCTCTGACTCCTGAAGTGTGGGGAAATATCCAGTTATGTTCATTACAAGTAAGACGTACGAGAAATTCTACTGAAATATTCTTGAAAAAGAATAGTTAAGTGCTGTTGTAAAGTTTGACTGATGAACCAACACAAAATGGTGGGACCACACAAGATGAATCGAGATAGAACAGAAGTGAAGTACTGTATTGCAAATAATCTTAAGATCTTACAAAACAATGATCGATCAAGTGAATTACAGAGCTGCTGAGGGAAAGCAAGCTAGTGGGTACTGGGTCTGTTGAGGGAGAAATGTGTTGAATTGTTGAGCAACATTGTTCTGAGGACTCTCAGTAAATATGAGTGCCAAGAATGAGGAGAGACTGATAGAAATATGCACAAACAGATGATTGGTAATAAGGAATGAGTAATAAAAAAAAAAATCCCAAGCATAAATAGGAACAGTTTAATAGTGCATACAGATGGTAGATGCTGTAGCAAGATGAGGAGCAAAGCACTAAAGTTGTGTCATACCATTATTTAGAGGGACTGTATTATAGTGAGAATTAGTCTAAGGAAAGGTTCAACGATTATTAAAACCTAATAAGACTGAAGAGCTGAGGAAAGAGAATTTGAAAGACTTCAAGAAATGGAGGAAAAAGAGGACTCACTCAAATGTAAGCAAAGAGAGGATTGGTGAGAAAAGGCTGTAGTTTATGATGGTGTCCTCAAGTGTACAGCAGAACTGTGTTGGTGTAAGAGAATAGGAAGAAATGGTGGGACAAGAAGCTGACTGCTTATTACAAAGTAGACAAACATGCACAAGCATTTAGTGAGGCACGATGAAAGGAGTTTGGTAGAAATTTAAAGAAAAGCAAAGACGTTCATGAGGATACCACTGGGGTGCAAAAACCAAGAAAATAAATGAAAGACAATCAAGAGTGAAAGGTCATATATATTGTCAACAGAACAAGAAGGTGGTGCATTGAGACAGAAGGATATTAAAGATAGGGATTATTTACACCCATCATTATTTAGATGTAAAGCATAGACTTGGGATGAAAGCTAAAGAAGTAAATTAGAAAATTATTACAAGCTTCAAAAAAAAAAATCATCATCTATGTTTTAAGGCCATTTTATACATTAGTGTGTGGTACGTGATGCAGAGTAAAGATGTGGAAAGTCAGGGATGTAGATGTGGACAGCGTCAGATAGAGGTGCCCAAGGTCTACTGAGGTAATAATGGATTCTCTAAAGCTAGCAATTAAAAAGTAGCCCCCCCCTTCCCAAAAGAAAAAATATAATTAAAAAAAGAGGAAGAACAGAGTGATCAAATAACAATAAAAGAGAGGCAATGACATCCAAGAAGCAATGATGGGCAGAAATAACCCAAGACCAAGATGTCAAGCTGTGTCGAGTGTTGGATGTGCAGCTGATGGGTACTATTAGGTTGAGAAGAAATGGTATGGGAATACCATAGAAAAACACACTTGTAACAACAGTTAGAATATGTCCACAAACAGGGGGAGAGTATAAATTTGCTCTCATCTCCAGCCACCCTGATTTACAATAGGAAAAGTCTTAAAAGGGTGAACAAAATTTATGCAGTTCTAAAAAATAATTGTTTTCATGTCTCAATGTGATATTTTCAGTGTTCTTGTCACTCACAGAAAGGTGATACATTGCACATCTAACCTAGAAGAAAGTGCCCACCAAATGTGATCAAAATCATAACTAAAGAACATCCATTAAGTTACATTTAATCTTACCAACAAAGATAATCCTACCAAACTTTGTCAATACAGGTACAGTACAGTACAGTACTGTACCTGTATTTCATTATTAACAGAATATATATCGCGTGCTTAAAAAATAAACAAAAACACATCCACATATATCTGGACGGCGCCAGACACATTCTTGTCACACGGCCTCTGCTTCAAAGGGAAGGGAGCATACATTTATACGTAAACATATAAATTATATATAATACACCTTACAGGGTAAACCAGGTATTGTATTCAAAGTTGAAAACCATAATAAGCACACTATTCAAGTGATACATTATCAATTCTTCTCATAACTGACAATACTGACCAGCAATAATTTCAGTTATTGGATCTTTAAAAGTTATTTATATGCTACTTTCTGGAGATATGTATCCGAAACATCAAATCTTCGCAAAGAGTTTTTTAATACAAAATGTATGATTAGAAAACAGTTAAATTGTCAGTAAAAAAAGATTAACAAATGTATTTACAAAAGAATAAACTATATCAAACTGTGTTACAATGTTCTGGGGGCTGGGGTGTGATTCGGGGTCATAATATATCAAGTGACGGGTAAATCTCGGGGCCTTGTTGTGGAAAGAGAACACCATAGCAAAACTCATCTGGTAAAGCAGCTAGAAAAACTGGATGAGGGAGAGTGTGATGCTCTTGGTTTCAGCCATCTTGTGCGTGCGTGCCATAGTGAGAGAGAGCTGTGGCAAGAATGGAAAATATTACTTCCTATCACACTAGCTCACCTCATGCCTGTGTTTCTTGTGCTTCTTGTGCTTCTTTTGTTTCTTGTGTTTTTTCTTCTTGTCCTTTTTCTTCTTTTTCTTCTCCTCTGCTTCTGATACCTTTAAAAAATATATACAATCTGTCATCAAAACAAACTCCTCGTTTGCTGAGATTGGGAAAGCATCTGGATATTTGATCACCCAACACCATCTATGCTGTTTGCTCTCTCCTCTGCCACAACACCAATATAAGCATAAAATTTGATGACACCAAAATACAAATCCATTTAGCTTCAATTAGGTGTTTGGTAAAGGTTCAGCTGTTTTAAATATGACCTAACATTGGGCAAGAGCAAAATTACTAGAGTACCAGGGTGATTTTTTATTCGAGAACCCTAAATAATTTCCATGCACTAAAAATCATATCAGTTAGGCACCTAATATTTTGCATAAATGTAGCCTAATGTTACAGAAAGAAGTGGCATGTTCCCGAGAGTTATCAGGTATCACGTGACCTGTCAGTGGCGTTTAACATTTTTCACTCAAGTCATGCCATGATGCTCACAACGCATACAAACACAGTGAGCACCATGGCGTGACCGAATGAAAAATTTTAAATGTCACAGACAGGTCACGTGATACCTGATAACTCTCAGTATCATGTCATGTCTTTCTGTAACATAAGGCTACATTTATGCAAAATATTAGGTGCCTAACTGATAGAAGTTTTAGTGTATGGGAATTATTTATAGTTATCAGATAATAAAAAATGCCCTGTATGCATGTGTGTGTGTATATCAAATCTGGCATTCCAAAACTCAGTTCCATTCAAAAAACAGAACTGGTGTTCCCACACACTTAAGTTTCTTGTTTACATTAACCAACATGTTGGATTTACAGTGAAACCTCTATTTAATGGATTATATGGAGATCAAAGTCTGTTATGTCTAGGATTCGTTAGATGTGAAACCTCCATCTAACAAACTGTACTGGTATAGATATGAAAGACCGTTATATAGAGGCGTTGTTAGATGTAAACCCCCCCCCCCCCATGTAACAGATTATATGGAGGTTTCACTGTTTGTGCAACTTTTACTATTATATTTTCCCTTATCTGCAGTCGCCCACAGGTATAGTGCTTCACCCCTCAGCAGCCTTTCCGAACATGTGACAAATTCGGATCGTAGTCAAACCTTCTTTACGGATATTACATCTATCATATCACCGAGCACAAATATTAACGATAAATATCTTGTTGGCTATATGTTCAGAGAGGCCACCGAGGGGTGGAATACTATACCTGTGGGTAATTGTACCTCACAATGTCTTCTAAAAATACAACTTACCCATAGTAAAATGATGCTTTAAAAAGAATCTTCATTCACTCTCAAATATACGAAAGTTCATTTCTTGTTAATTTTGTGATGGTAAAAATCATAAACTGCAGTCAACATAAACATGGTTTACTGTTGCAATCTCAATTTCAAACAACCAACAAACTCTAAAAATCTGCTAGTTAGGATGTCTATTACAGCAGTAAGGAAGATGGAAGATCACAAAATAAAGTAAATAAAATATATTTGAAGAGGAAAAGGGATATTACTAGAGCCTGGATGTTTAAGCATTTGATCATTAAAACCATTCAATTTGTTACCAAATAGCCAATTTTTATTAATTTTCTCAACAAAACTTTCCCCCTTTTCAGAGAGAAAATGTGGGCACAACATTTTTCTGCAATGTTGCTCCATTTTTTAGTTTCCTAAGAGGAATCTCGGCATCAACAAATGCTTTGCACGGGTTCCAACAGAAATTAAGATAACCGATCAGAAGCTGAAGTATACGAATTAAGAAAGCATGTACTGTACTGTGTTGACCAGTTTGGCAAGCATCAGTAGTTTTGTACAGTACTCTACTGCACTGTGCTTATATGTCACTAAAGGTTGAGTAACAAAGTCCTTTTAGTACAGTATGTAATTCACTAACTTATGGTATATTTTGCAAAATAATACTGCACAGTACTGCCCCATTTATAAACAACAAATTGTTACCAAACTAACTAAATTGGTTATGTTTTGGAGAAATCACTTTAGGCAATTGTAAAATAATAATGTGCTGCCCCATCAGTAGACAATACATTTCTGCCAAATTCGTCAACTAAATTGTTAACATTTCAAGAACTCTCTTTAGGCATTGTAAGCGAAATATGTCCAGCAGTGTTTGAAAGAAAACCGGCTGTCCCAAGCAGTACAATCCAAGCAGCAGTGCCGTGTAGGGATATACTGTACAGTATTCACATGTACTGTACTGTTTGACATTGGAAATTTTAATATTTCGTTATCAGCTTCATAGAAAGGAGCAGGATTTTTTTTTTCTTTAAGGACACACAAATAGTCATTAAAAACAAAGCAAAATTACGTAAAAATAAATGAAAATAAGAGACAAGGCAAAATAAAAAATTTTATACTGAAATTACAGAAATAAGCATTTCTATTATTTTGCCTGAACATCTGGGCTTTAGAGATCACCAAAAAAGGATCAACAATGATTATATACACATACCAACTTATTTAACCTGAACATTAAACACCCTATGATACCTGAGGGTTAAGTCAGGTTATCTTAATATTTAAATGGTTAATGATTAAGCGAAATAAGCTGGGGCGTCTAATCTTCAGATGAAAGAAAAAATTGGTAACAACAGTCAGACCCCAAGCTTGGGAGAGAGGAAACAATTTGGGCAAGGGGCAATGTGTAAGCCATAAGCATCTAAAGAGATTAATTCTAACAGTATTCTTCTTCATCTTTCCGAGATTAAATAAAAATATCTTTTCAGCGAAAAAAAAAAGCATGTATATCTGTGCGTAGTTATCAGCTGGTTTATCTGTTCTGAGCAGCACTGAGAAGTGGATGTGAACATGAGGTGGACTGTGATACTTAGTACTGTACAAAGCTTACAAAGGTGCAAGAAGAGCCACGTCTCTGGTTACTACAGGTAAGTGATGTTCATAACCTGATGAGGTAATGGAGTGCACTCACTATACACATAACATGTAGAAAAACTATAAATAATAGCCTCTGTCAAGTGTCCTGTGTCAGACAGTTCTGGCTAACCTGGTGAAGTGGCAACGTCGGAGACACACGAACAAGCACAGCACAGTGTAATCATTACTCAGCTCGGTGGTTAAAAGGGGGTGTTTAAGGCCAACTCTGCTGTGTTAATAACAATGAAAGGAAAACACAATGAATGTTTCATTGAGCTAAAGCAAATCTTTATTATTTCAACCTAAATAGGATGAAAATAAGCTGTGTACAGTGAACCCTAGATAACTCAGCATGGATATGGCCTCGGAATGTATTATAGTATAACTTGGGAAATGGCGAGATATGTAAAATTACATGGGAATATCTCGGCATATTTGGCCACCTGCATCACCTACCATGCATGTGTCACCAACCATGCCTCTGTGTCACCTATCAGGCAACTGTCACCTACCATACCTGTGTCACCTACCATGCCTCTGTGTCACCTACCATACCTCTGTGTCACCTACCATACATCTGTGTCACCTACCATACCTGGGCCACCTACCATACATCTGTCACCTACCATACCTGTCACCTACCATACCTCTGTCACCTACTAAGATGCTTCATTCTTCACCTGCAGTGCTGGTAAGTGTTACATTTGGTAATTAATGTACACAAACAGTATATGGGTTGATAATTTTTTATTGTATTTTTGTAGGAGGGAAAGTGCTTCGATAAGTCGGAATTTGGGATAACTCGGCAAGGTCAGAGCCCCATACATGCCATGATATCCAGGGTTTACTGTAATTTGCAAGCACGGGCTAAATACTGTCGAGGGAAGTTAACAACAGCATTGGGCCAGACTGGCCTCGCCTCCCCATGCTACACTGTCTGCAAAACACCTCTATTATGATAAACAATTATAGCCGTTTATTGCAAGACGCTTTAAGAAGCACGGATTAGCTAAGGCGTTAGCTTTCCCGGACTGCCATTAAAAAATACGGCATTGTACTGCGTTTTGGGAATAACTGTTGTACAACAGTCTTCAGAAAACAATAAAATTAGGAGAATTATTATTTGGACACAATACGGAAAGAAATAGTGAAGAAAATATATAGAAAAATATGGAAAGAAAGACAAAAAAGAAAAAGGAAAAAATTCAGTCAACAATAAATAAGAATAAAAAAAAATCAGGCCTGTTGTAATGTGAGTGGTCCAGGAGACCAGGGTGGGAGCCCTAAACCACACTATGTATGCTCTCATCTCGCTGCAGCTGTTCCCGTACATAAACACGCAATATGTCGAATTTCCGGTTCGTTGTAAGCATTAATTTTTGCATTGACAGAACTTAATCAAATTGTTCACCCTTATTTAAAGTATCTTATGAGTAATGATATTAAAGTTTTAACTATATTTGAGTAATTATCAATATTGTGACACTAGTCACCAACAGCTAATGAAATCGGTCAGCACCCACATAAAAGGGGCGGAGCCTAAACAGGTTACAACTAGGCACAATCCTTTTCAATTATTTCATGCCTTACGCTTTGTTTTAGGTCCTATTCAATATACAGTGACCTCGTTTAACGAACACCTCGGTTAACGTAATTTCGATTAACGAACTGCCTTCCATAAGGATCTTCAATTCGGTTAACGAAAAAAAATTCGCTTAACGAACTTCTTACGAACCGACCTCAACATGTTTTCGCTTGCACTGACCGGGCAACCAGCTTTAGTATCAGTCCGCCAATACATTAATCGGTTCTAGGGCTTAAATTCCTTACTATTTTTGTAAATATCAAGAAGTTTATACTATTCAATAATTTTAAAAGTTTAATATTCAATTTTTTAGTCATTTTAACAATTATTGAACGAAATTGAAGGTAAAGTGACTAGTTTAATGCGCGGCATCCAGCCTCTTAACACAGCAAACAGGCGTCAGTCTCTCTCTGTTTTCACTGGAGGTAACATCTTGCTTGAGACTCTCTTCAACTAAATGCTTTTTTTCTGTGTTTCCAAGCAAATTATTGGTCATTTTGAAATATATTTTATATATTGACAATATATAATGCAGTGCAGCATTGATTTAAAGAAAATAATCTTGAATTAAACCAGAGAGCTAAAATTTTATGGGTGAAATGGCACCATGGGGTGACTTCTCTTCCACCCCAATGCCTTCTCTTCTTCCTTCTCCTCCACCCCCATTCTAAATCCCATCATCATCATCATCATCCAGGAGCCTTCTACATACACACCTCAAAGTAAGTGAACTTTTCTACCATTTTTGTTGAATTTAGGAAATTTTCGGTGAGCTGGAACCAATTACCCAAAAACCCATTGAAACAATGGTTTCGTTAAATAACGAACGACCTTCTGAACGGATTGAGTTCGTAACCGAGGGCCACTGTATAGAATTATTTTTATTATTATATCACAGTTTTTTATTGCCATAAATGCCTCCAACTCGTCAATATTAATCAAAATTCTCCATGAGCGGCCATCATCCGCATTATTTCACCGGGAGAAATAGCCAATTGGTTGTTAGCTATTTGTGTTACTTGGGCCCTGTGAAAGGCTAACGCCTCATCGAGGTGTTAGCTCAAGTGTCATGCGCACAAATCAAAAGCAGCGTCTGCGCATACAGAATAGCTAACGCGTTAGCTATTCTGTGCATCAAAAATGTCTTACAATAAAATAACAGCCTTTAGTGTTCTAGAACGTCTTGTCATATCTGCCACCCTCCTTTATACACTACTCGTACCAAATACATTTACTTAACGTAAGTGCAGTGATGACGAGGTCACAGAGCGACCGTCTGGATACTTCACTCAGGCAGGTGAGTTGGCAGAGATATGGTTGATTCACTACATAACAATGTCTGGAAATTCGGAAGAAGTGATGCTGCCAACGGTCCAAGCTTACAATCTGCTCTACTGTATGAGGTGTAATTAATGTGAAGTCACGTTTTCATTCTCTCACGACCGGTCCCCTATCCAGGGCAATAGAGGGCTTAACAGCAGCAACACAACGTGTGCAGTTCAGACGTCCTCTAAGACATAACATCTTCCGTGCCAAAACATTTAAGTGAATTTGTTGATTGGAAAGAGTGCTGGATTACCTATTGGAATATTATGTTTATTTGTTTCTTGTGTTTTCAAGTTCAAAATATTGTAGAAAAATATAAATAAATTCCACAAAACACTAAGATTCCACCACAAACATATGTCTACATTAAGTTAAAAGTAATATAAAATACTTTACACTGGTCAATTTTACCAATTGCTACACCAGGCACACTAGTCAGTAAACAACACAAGATTTAAACAATAAGGAATTATGTCAAATATTCCACTTGGTTTATTCCTTTAGTTGTGATTAAGCCAGGTAACGATCACAGTAAAAATAGTTAGTTTATTCTTGAACTGGCAACTCAATCACTGGATATCCTTCACCAAGCTGGATGGTACACTTCACACCTCTGTCCACCTAAATAATCAATAAATACGTTTTGTAGTAAAAGCCAAATGAACTAGTGTATGCAGTTATAAGAATCATGCCATGCAAAGTGGGCCAGATAACCCAACTGCATGTGTCTCACAAGTTGCCAGATTACCGGGTCAGCCAGACCTGCCTGGCAAAGTACATTAAACTATAGATGAATCATTATGTCTCTGTCTTACCTCTGAGTCAGTGCTGCTGTCCCTCTTCTTATGCTTCTTCTTCTTCTTCTTCTTTTTCTTTTCCACTGGAGAGGAATCTCTGCTGGACGAGCCGTCGTCGTCCTCGTCGTCCAGAGAGCCATCGGCCGAACCAGAGTCCAATCGCCTCCTCTGTCTTGGTGATGCAGACGCTGTCACGGACCGCGATCTTCTCTTCGGGACTCTACGTGCTGTTCTGGCATCATCTGTATCAGAATCCTCACTGGCAGAGGCAGGATGATTATTTTCATTTCTGTAAATGGCATGTACATTTATTTGTAAGAAATTTGTACTTTACCATTACAAGACTTACAGACACCGGTAGTACTAACTGCATTTTACTGTACGGTAAGATCTCTATTTTCGCGCGATTTCATTTCGCGAGCACTACCCAATGTAACCAAGTCTTATATTTGGCGTAAAATATCGTGAATTTTGCGAGATCCAGCAAGCTGAATGCTGGCCGCCGTCTTGAATGACGTCACAGCCCTCATACCAGTTACAGTCATTTCTGCTACAAAGTGTGTTTTGTCAGCACGAAATGGTTGTAACGCAACTGATGAATAGGGGAACGCTGTTTGTAAAACACGAACTTTTGCATAGAAATGTTGGCTATAACACGATTCCATCCTCAACGTTTTAAGCATGGCACAGGGTTATGCAATGTTTACAGTTCATGTTCGAAGTCCCATGTTCAATTGATTCGTGTCTTTTGTTTTTGAAGCGTTTTTTGAGAGGTACAATAATACCTCGATTAACCGACCACATATGGGGGGAAGGGGCCGACGGATAATCCGAAAGGTCGGTTAATAGTAAATAAAGTTTACGGAAATAAAACATACATTTTCAATGTACCTATCCCTAACCTACCTCATGTAAGTCCCTCTATTCATTTTTGTTCATTTGCGATTCATATTTCAATAGAATTTGCTTTAAAACATTAACCACTTTAGTAAATAAATATGAACCAGCACAGAAACCGTGAATAAAAAATGGAAAAGTCAAAGAACATATGGCATCACAAAAATTGTGACCAAGTCCCAGGTTGCTGATCTGACTTTCTGCCTCATTTACACACAATTGCAGGGTCTCAATTGTTTCTCTTACTATTGACAACACAAAATACATATAGGTACATTGTTTCTCACTTTTTTTTCATTTTTGCATTTCTTTATGGTCCTTTATTACTATTATTATTATCATCATTAATATTAGTACATTATCGCCCCCCCAGGCCCCGATGTGGGTCAGTGACCTGTGCCCAGGTGGGCTAATCCCCGTAAAAAAAAAATTAGGGGTCCGGGATTGACGGTTAATCCGAAAGTTGGTTAATCGAGGTTTTACTACTCTGTAATTTCTTTTTTTTTGTTTTTGCAAATTTAGCTGTTACCCACAAATACTGGATGAAAAGAATAAATAAAAAGAACGTGTCGCAGTGAGGACTAATAACAGTTTACACCAGCAATCTCTGTTGACATCACGTGCTCAGTTGAATCGCGCGGTTTTGTCAATTGCTCCGTGATTTTCGTTGTTTTCTCCGATTTTGTTGTGTTAGCGATGAATATGGAAAGACAAGGTAAGAAAATGTTTCCAAGAAGCATTCTGGAGATCGAATTGCAGGCGGTGAACGTAAAAGAGGTTTACAAGAACGCAACTATCGCGTTGTAGCCCGCGCCATCCTAGCGACCGCCCGGGCTGCTATTGTGTGCTTTTTAGGGTGGTGTTACCACATGTCGAGTCAAGAAAACGGCATCTACCTCTACTGGGGGTTCTACTGGTGCTGGTGGGAGTGGGACAGACCCACCTAAGCAGCCAAATAAGGAAAAGTTGAAGTGGGACTATCATAAGGGAGTTAAGTTTGCCAAGTAATCGATGCAGGATAAGCAGCGTGAGATTAAAGTTACTTGAGGAAGGCCTAAAAACTAGTTTCCAGAAAGCACCGTCACGTCAATAAAGGCAGAATTTGTATCATTTGGAGGTTATAAATGGGAAAATCAGAGGTTGATGTAGAGTGGCCAGTCTATATTGCTATTTTTCCCTTTAGTTTATGTATTTGCATTTGGCGCAATTTTTCCAGTCTATATTACTCGCGAAATACAAGATCTTACTGTACTGCGATATTTAGACGAGGTCATGTTCACAATGTACAGTACGTACTGTGGTTTTAACTTACCCAGGTATGTTTGAGGAAATATATTGCCAATAAAGAGTGCAATGGTGCTTCCAGGTGCTCAACTGAGTGGTCACATTACTAACATGTTGGACAAATTTTTTACAACGTATATTTCCACTGAATACCAGATAAATCTGACAAATAATTTTAGACAAGAAAACTATACAGGATTTTCTATTATATGAAATGGCAGACATCTTGAATAGTGTATGACCATGTCAGACACACTTTAATATGGGGATCAGGCCAGGCACAATTTATCATATAAAGTACAGTAAACTACTTCTAATCCGCATCCCCTTGCTAACCGACCTTGGGTCTAACACCAGACAAGTTTACTCAACCCAGAATAACAGGGCCAAAATCCAGTTAGTATGGAGAAAAGTTCACTTAAGCAGGGGCTGCCACTGTGGTGGAGGTGGTTGCTGAGGAACACTAATGAAATTTAAAGTGTACAGTACAAGTATCCCCCTATTTATGATGGGGTTAGGTTCCTGAAAATCCCGTTGCAGTTCAAAATATCGTTGACCCAGGATTATTATAGCATAAGGTTCAATGGGATAGGTTCCTGCCCAGTTGGACACCTACTACCAGTAGGCAGCTACCAAACAGGGAGGTACTCCCGCCTGCGAAGATATTGGAAGCATAATGTATTGTCTAATGGTAGACCCTGCTGCCATATGGCATCACATAAATTGTGACCAAGTCCCAGGTTACTAATCTGACTTTCTGCCTCACTTACACACAATTGCAGGGTTTCAATTGTTTCTCTTACTTTGACAACACAACATACCATTTCTCACTCTTAGTTATTTTAATTTTTGGTTTTTATTTGTGGCTCTTTATTATTATTATTTATAATTTTTATTAGTACACCCACCTCTCATTTTACGCGGGGGTTAAGTTCTTGAAAACCACCACTTAATTAAAAAATGGGTAAATTAAACATAATTTTCCCATAAGAATACCTGTACATGTAAATGGTACGGGAACCATCATATACGGCACAGGGTACGAACAGTGCTCTCACTTAAACCAAGCACGCGGCCAACCTCCGACACATGCTCTCCTCTCAGAAGGCGGGTGATCACATTTAATTTCACGTCCATTGCGATTGTTTTTCATGCCTTTTTAGCTTTAGGCGCCCCAGAGGAGGCAGATGGACACTTTCCAGACATGCTCAATGGGGAAAACAGTGTTTAACACTAAAAAAAAGTATGTGATAAACACACAATGCAAATCAAAGCACAGAGAAATAGTAGTACTGGTGTGAACTGAGAAAGCGATACACGGGAAGCTTGCTGGACGTCGTCACAGTTGTTGTACGGAATACTTCATCATCATCATTATCTTTATCATTAATAGTAATAATCTTTATTACATTATAATAATAATTATTAATGACATTAAAATCGTTGATGTTGATATGACCGACTTTATAGTAGTAACTTACAAGCACCTCAAAAGGCATCACACGTGACTCCACGACCAGGAGTATACGCGCGGCAAATTTAAACTGGTACTAATTGAACAATCGCGTAATTCCAAAAAAGCTTAAATCAAACGAGAGTTACCCGTATTATTAATATTTTCTTTATTATAAAAATTGATTTTTATTAATTTTACTTTATTCTTTTTATTTTATTATATTTTTGCATTTTATTGTATGTTTGCATCTCCTACTGAACCAAGTACCCCAAATTCAGACTCGTGAACCTGAAGCAGTAGATTGATACATTATTGTCCATAACTGCTTCAGATTCATGAGTCTGAATCCCAGGGTTCGTGGTTCAAGGAGAGGTAAATGGACTTTGGTAGTCGACTGTACAGGATATACTGACAAATGAAGGTTGCAACTTACTTCTTTGTTAGTTTGTATTGAACTTCTTTAATGGTATCAGCAGAGTAGTTCGCTAGTTGCATCAGACGACTGGCATTGCTTATGTTGTGTTTCTTGTCAGCACTTGGAGGGAGAGTTGGCCCACTAGATCGTCTGGGTGACCTTGAAGAACTTGTGTTTTTTTTACGAGCTGGTGAATGTGAGGAAGAGCGGCGATATCTGTAACAAACACAAATTACTTACAGATTAAATGTACATCATTTATCAAGATGAATATCAACTAATAAGGAATACTAAGCTTGACAATTTCACATACACACATGGGAATTAAGACAACAAGCATCCAGTGAGGGTCTTGTTGAGTGACTGCATGGAGGCAAATTAAAAGATCAGCTGTTGAGGAGCTTATTGCTTGGCAACACTAGTGCATGTTATCACTCCTTTCCACTCCATCTCTCCTATCACCCACACCTTTCTCACTCCATATTTTAAAATATGTTGAAGGGATACAACTTTGCTCATTTATAGTTACACAATTTCCCTAAAAATAATTCAGTTTTCATGTTTATTCAAGACATCTTCACGTCATGAGACCCACTAACCCCCCACCCAAGAAAGGGTGACCTGACATTCCATTAGGAAGTCAGTCATATGAGACCACTAATCCCCCACCCTACCTCCACCTGACATGGAGTCAGGTCAGGTCCCCCCCAAAATACTTTACCTTTCATCTTTATTCAAAAAATTTTTGGGAAAATTCTCTCTATCTTCAACCTGGGAAATTTTGTTCCTAAAGCCAGAAATTTTTGGAAAATTCCAGCTTTGGGAATGAATTTCTGAGCAAATTTTAATTCCGGCGAATGGAGATATTACTGTACAGTACTATTATTGTTATTGTTTGTTTTTTTGGGTGGGGGGGTTGAGGGGGCTTATATTGCAGAGCATAAGAAGCCAAAGATATATGGTTTATGTTAATAGAGAGTTTTGAGGGGAATTTGATAAAGCAAAAAAAAAATATTCACTGTGCACTGTCTTGCCTGCCCTGGGGACAGAGATGTGATCTTGGAACCAGAAAACTTAAACTTATCTCATGTGTGAGAGGGTAAATGATGCTGGTCAGAAACAGTGAAATGTTGAAGGTTATAGTTTGTCAACAGTATATTATTTCTATTTTATAATCAGTGTAAAGTACTTACCATACAGTACTTGTGCACCTTTAAGAAGGCAAAATATTACATCAGGGGTTTCAATGGGAAAACAGGATTTATTTTGCTTATTGGAAAACTTTTTCAGGAAAGTAACACTCCCATTATATTGACTAACTTTCAAACATTTTCACATACCTTTGAGGGGGCGTTAGGGGTCTCCTGCGAGGACTCGAAGATCTTCTTATTCTTGGACTGGGTGACCTACGCCCTCTTGGACTAACTGATCTTCTCCCTCTCGGGCTGGGTGATCTACGACTCCTGGGACTTGGAGACCTGCGACCCCTTGGACTGAGCGTGCGCCTGCCTCGTGGACTGGGCGATCTGCCTCTCCTCATGAGCGGTGACATTCTACCTCTTGGACTGGGAGATCTGCGCATCCGAGGGCTTCCCTTAGGACTGATAGACCTCCTACCCCGTAGACTTGGAGATCTTCTATGAAACCTTGGGCTCGGGGTGTGACGACGAGGACTGATAGACCTACGGAGTAATCGGAATGCATGTTAGACAAAAATCAACGATAGTCATGCACTTCATAAGAAACTTGCTTTTGTCTCTACTTTTGTCCTTGTGGCGAGGTGGTAGCGATCCCTGTTCACACGCAGAGGACCAGGATTTGATTCCCGACAAGTGAGGTATTGTTTGTACAGTATATGGAAGTCTGCGTGCTATATGGACCGAAGAGCAGGGACTAAGGAACACTAAATTACAGTACTCCATGATCCTCTTTTATAACAATATCAAAAGTACTGTGCACACAATTACACTACAAGCAAGCGATATAAAAACGAACCTTCGGCGATACCGTGGCGAGGGCGACCTCCTTCCCCGTCTCGGGGAGAGAGATCGCCTGTTAGGATGTGGAGCATTGCGACGAGGTGAGCTCCCACCTCCTCTGTGGTCACCGCTGAAGTTACGGGATGGGCCCTGACAAAATTTTTTTGTTTAGATATACAGTGTAGTACAGCATACAATTTTTTGCTTTCTTATGTAGCATCACAGTTGAACCTAACATTATTTCAGCTTTCTTCACCATAATGTATTGACAGGAATATTTGTTACTGAAACTATCACGTACCTCCTCCTCTGAACTGGATGGGTCTCTATTAGACCTATATTGTCTCTTCTTCAACACAGAATCTTCTTTACGATGTATCTCAAAGTCGTCTTCCTTATTTCTTGGGGCCGATCGGCTCCGTGACCTTGAACCACTTTGGAATGCAAAAAAAATATTAGAAATGGCTTTTATGAAATTTCCTGTATTCAAATTTTTTTCTTACATACTGTACTCTCTTCGCTACATTAGAAAAACACCCACCTATATTACTACATATATTGTATAAATTAATAAATACTCTTTAAGATTATATTTCCACTTACCTGGAAGACTCAGAATTAGAACTGGGAGATCTTGACACGCGTCTACGAATTTTAGGTCTTGGGGAGGAGGATCGTTTTCGAGGACTTCCCAATCTCTTTGAAGGACTTGCTGAACGTTTACGAGGGCCAGGAGAATGCTTACGAGGACTGACCGATCGCTTGCGTATACTGGGAGACCTTTTGCGAGGACTTGGCGACCGTTTACGAATGCTGGGCGATCGTTTACGTGGACTGCCAGACCGCTTATGGGGAGTGGTGGATCGCTTTCGAATACTGGGCGATCGCTTCCGAAGACCCGGGGAATGCTTTCGGGGGCTTAAGGACCGTTTTCGAGGAGAATTCCTGCGTCTTCTATCGTCTTCCTTCCTCGGAGATCTAAGGAAAAGAAGTAATATACGTGTTATTGTTTAAACTACGCCATTTTCAATCTTCTATTCTTACCAGTCTTTTCTCGATTGATGCCAGAAACATGAACAGACATTCATATTTTCCTTTAATCCATTATTACTAATACAAAATGTTTCACAAAGATGGTCCTTTCTATAATGACAAATATTTCCAAATCTCAGAAAACCAGAAGATTATTTCATCCAAAGATTTACCACCCTTTTCCTAACACATCTGACCCTCACCCTACAGTAGCATTGGGGTGGTTAACCCCGAGCAGGCTGTCTACTGGCCAGACAAAACAAAATTCCCTGATTTGGCCAAGTTTTCCAGATGTAAATCTGATAAATCCCAGCTACATCAATTCAGTATTTATTACAAAATAATATGGACAGTATATATTATTTAAAGATGATAAGTGTCACTGGCTACCAGACTGACTATTTTATTTAACCAGCTATTATCATTAGGCCTAGTGATGAACACCAGCAGACCCTCCTAACTTAGGTCGACCTGGATGTTAAAAAAAAAAGAAAATCCGACAAAAACCACACTCCTGATTCACCTGTATGACTCATGATAATTATGTGGAATAATCCACTTAGCTAAAATCACTTAATTATTAGAAAAATTCATCTGACAATACCGACTGTACTGTAGTTATAACCTGCAATATTTTATTTGATGGCTAACATGAAATATGGCAGGTACACAAACATTCAGTTATTGGAGTGGACTATTTACTGGCATTTGTTCCTAAAAGTTTAATTTTTTTTACCTATCATATAGTACATCATTAATTTATGGCAAGATTGCTGTCAAAATAACAATATTAACTGAATTCACATAAATTTCCAGGTTTATTTGTAAAATCGCCCGCCTTTTCCAGACCAGTAGACACCCTGTCAAGGTAAATTAAGCTAAGGAGCAAACCTTCAGGTGATTCCAAATATGTTTTCTACCACCATATTTTTCACATATACAGGTAGTTCTGCTATAACGCGATAATTGTGTTCTTGTAAAATATCGTGTTATAGAAAATCGCGTAATAGAAATAACAGGGCTTATGGAGAAAATAGGGTTAGGTGCAGATTACTCGAAATCGAAAAAATTTAGTAGTTAGCCTAACACAAAGGATAGCACAGTCTAAATAAATGTTACATTCATATCTAATAATGAAATCATACAGTAAATTTAACACTTTACCTTGAAAAAATATGAATGTAACTTGATGGGGGAGAAGGGTGATTTTGAGGTTGATAACATCAAGCTTCTCTTCAAGTGTTATATCCTTTCTTTTACGATAATCACCGGGAATTCTATCATCAGAATGCTTTTTGGAGATATTCTTCTTTACCATATTCACAGTTAATACCACAAAATTGGAGAAATAGTAAGCAAAAATCGCGTTATAGCAAACAAGCGATCGCGTTATACAAATATTGTTCCGAATTCATAAATCGCGTTAGAGCAAATTCGCGTTATCAAAACACGCGTTATAGCAGAACTCACTGTACAGTACAATACAAATACTACTGAACAATAAAAATAAGTAATTCTTTACAGATAACACCAAGGTAGTAGGCAGCTACCAAACAGGGAGGTACTACCGCCTGGGAAGATATTGGAAGCATAATATGTTGTCTAATGGTAGACCCTGCTGCCATATGGCACTACAAAAATTGTGACCAAGTCCCAGGCTGCTAATCTGACTTTCTGCCTCATTTACACACAATTGCAGGGTCTCAATTGTTTCTCTTACTCTGATAACACAACATCCCTATATATCATTTCCCACTATTGATCTTTTTTTAATTTTGTATTTCTTTATGGTTCTTTATTATTATTATTATTATTATTATTATCATTATTATTATTATTATGATTTGTTATTATTATCAGTGTTATTATTATTGTTAGTATTAATGTATTTTTTATAAGAAATTTTATTTACTATGAACTAATTATTATTATTAACCCCCCCCCCCCCATAAATGATTACCCTAAAAGCAGTGCTCTCATGTTTTAAGCAGGGTAATCATTTATGGACACCCTGTATATCCACCAGATGAGTTGCATGGTAAGATAAGATTTTTTCAGTCTTATCTTTTTTAACTGAGGAAAAAAAACTTGGTGCACACAGAGGCCATCCAATTTTCCGTGGCAGCCGTCTAAGGGGTGACCGTTAACTGGCAGCCAAGTATTCCCCAATCCATCCTCACCTCACATGCACAAAAATGGAAAGTATGGAGCACAAAACATCCCCTGCTGATGGCCACCATCCCAACAACATGTCCAATATCTTTCTATCAACCTCAACGTCCCAACAAATCAATACTTCTCACACTTCTGAGATAATCCTTCTCCTTTAACCCTATTAGAATTTTCTCAACCAGAAAATCAAGTTGAGATAGTAGCCACAGTAGCTATTACTACATGCAGGTTTTAAAATATAGATTGTGTACTTGTCTGTTCACTTCCTCTAACAAAACAATTATTCTACCTGTCTGTTCGTTTGCCTTTTCTGTCTCGGGAATGTCCCCTGTCCCCTCTATCATTGCGTTCCTTCTTGGGTGCAACTTCTGGCTTTTCTTGCTTGACCAACACTTCATGTTTGGGTGAAGTGCCGTCGTGCTTGGGTGACTTGACAGCTCCGGATTTCTCTTTAGACGGCACTTCACCATTAGCTTCTTTCTTTTCTTCTTTTATTTTACTGGTATCATCCTTTTTGTCCCACCTGAAAACAGTTTTAAAAGTTTATCAATCTGGCCATACATATACAGTACTGCACTCTACAGTACTGAACTTATTTATGTATATTTTGTGGAAAACTAGACATAAGATAAGTGGAGCAATACACCGCACTTAACCTCACTCCAACAATTACGAGAATGTAAAGGAAATATACCAATAGGTCAATATTATATACAGTAGTAGGCTACAGTACACAATCCATAACTGAAAATAGTACCAACATTAGCCCAAAATTACCACTGACCGAGACGAGTCTTTTTTGGAGTCCTTCTTGTCGTCTTTGGAACGAGGCGTGCGAGACCTGTCTCTGCGTGAACCTCGGGAAGATCTGTCTCTGCTACGACTTCTCCTGGAAATGTAAGTTTTAGCTTAACAAATACCGACACCTCACATGCCCTCAATTATGCCCTTGTTTATCAAAAAAGTCCAATAGACCGTAACAATTACCGTCACCCTCAGTCCAAACACACGGGTCATTGTAATAAACTTTAGAATGTATTACAGGTTGCACATTTTAATCATATGCAGCTTTAACAATATAACACTGCACAATGACCATCCTCAGAACAATGTGACACAGTTTAACCGCTTAGCCTGGCACATGTTACGCCATTCCAAGATCGCGTAATTATATCTCAGAATATAGCGAGTTATTGGACATAATTTGTTCATAGCGGTGACAGTGAAGGAAAAACATTCAGGTTAGCGACCATCTTAAACCGATCTTGGCCATTGCATGGGGGTAAAAGGTGTTAATTTAACTGATTGAGTGTATATAGATCCATCATATAGCAGCCAATGCCTGCATAACACTGTACAGTTGTAACTTGGTATATACGGTGGTCCCTCCAAGGTCCGGACTAATAGGGGAGACCACCTCTCCCAATTTTCCGCCGAATGTACCAAATGTATAAAAACGATAAATGATAAAAAAAAAAAAAAAAAAACGCCAAAAAAACTGTATATATTATCCTGACCACTCGGGTTAGTTATACAGACTTTTTCCTGTGAAAAAGCCATAATCTTGAGCATCATATTATTGTACTCACTTTGTACTCAAATATACAGTGGTCCCTCGGTTAACGAATTACCTTCCATAAGAATATTCAATTCGGTTAACGAATTCCTTATGAATTCTTCTCAACATGCTTTCGCTTGCTCACCAGCTGGAATATTAGTCCGCCAATACAGTAATCGGTTCTAGGGCTTAAATTCGTTCCCATTTGAGTAAATATCAAGAAGGTTGTACTACTGTATTCAATAATTTTCCAAGTTTTACATTAAATTTTTTAGTCATTTTAACAATTATTTAACATAATTGAAGTACAGGAAACTAGTTTTAAGTGCGCCAAACAGCCACTCAACTCACCAAACAGGCGTCAGTTTGCATCTCTGGTCAGTAGAGGTAACATCTTGCTAGAGACACTCTTGAACATAAACTATTTTTACGTTTTTACAGTACAATTATTGAACATTCTGAAATTTATTTTACATATTGACAATACAGTGGTCCCTCGGTTAACGAGATTTCGGTTATTGAATTACCTTCCATAAGATTCTTAACTTCGGTTAACAAGCAATTCCTCAATTAACGACTTTCTTACGAGCCGACCTCCACATGTTTTAGCTTGCATTTGGCGGTCCACCAGCTGTAGTATTAGTCCGCCAATACAGTAGTCGGTTCTAGGGCTTAAATTCCTTACCCTTTTAGTAAATATCAAGAAGTTTATACTATTCCATAATTTTAAAAGTTTAATATTAAATTTTTTAGTCATTTTAACAATTATTGAACATAATTGAAGGTAAAGAAACTAGTTTGTGGCACACCATCCAGCCTGCCAACACATCATACAGGCGTCAGTCTTTGTGTCTTTTCAGTGGAGGTAACATCTTGCTTGAGACTCTTCAACTAAATGCTTTTTTCTGTGTTTACAAGCAAATTATTGGTCATTTTGAAATTTATTTTACATATTGACAATATATAATGCAGTGCAGTGTTGATTTAAAGAAAATAATCTTGAATTACACCAAGAGAACTAAAATTTTATGGGTGAAATGGCACCATGGGGTGACTTCTCTTCCACCCCAATGCCTTCTCTTCTCCCTTCTCCTCCACCCCCATTCTAATCCCCATCATCATCCAGGAGCCTTCTACATACACACCTCAAAGTAAGTGTACCTTTCTACCTTTTTTGTTGAATTTAGGCAATTTTCGGTGAGCTGGAACCAATTACCCAAAACCCATTGAAACAATGGTTTCGGTTAACGAGTTTTTCGGTTAACGAGCAACCTTCTAGAACGGATTGTGCTCGTTAACCGAGGGACCACTGTATATAGTGCAGTGTTAATTTAAAGAAAATAATCTTGAATTACACCCAGTGAACTTAAAATTTTATGGGTGAAATGACGTCATGAAGCATGGGGTGATTTCTCTTCCACCTCCACTCCCACTTCTAATTCCCATCATCAACCAGGAGCCTTCTACATGCACACCTCAAAGTAAGTGTACTTTACTGCATTTATTTTTAGTTTGTATGTAATTTTCGGTGAGCTGGAACCAATTACCCAAAATCCCATTGAAACAACGATTTCGGTTAACGAACGACCTTCTGGAACGAATTGCGTTCGTTAACCGAGGGACCACTCTGTGTTACCACTGTACAGTATTGGCAAGAGCGAGTACTAATGTGATCCGCACAGTGCCGGTAGAGTAGTGTAAATAAATATCGAGAATGGGAAAAGTAATCGCTTAAGAATGATACGTGAGCTGCCTGCAGCACTGGAAATGAAAATGACGAAACTTATGATTGATCATCGTGGCTAACGTGCATTACCAGTCATCGTGGCTACTAGCATTACCTGTCCCTGCGGTCCTTCTCCCGGTCCTTATCGCGATCCCGGTCTTTATCACGATCCCGTTCCTTCTCTTTTTCTTTGTCCTTATCTCGTTCTCGTCGAGCTTCTTGAATCTTTTGCAATCTTTCTTCTTCTTCCTGGAAGCAGATTACACACTTATGATAAACAATACAGACTTGAGACTGATCATTAACACTGTACCCACACTGTTGCCACTAGAAGTGGTCACCACACCACATTCCAAGAGGTCACAACTCTGGTTAAAAACTAAATATTCACAAGCCCAAAATGGTCAGATTAGAAGCACAGGTTCCACACTTCCCTTCCCAGGACACCATTCTTGTGTTCCCTGCACAATATTGGTGCCTCTAGAAACTGGTCCACTGTCATTATCAAAACACCTCTACTGTGGATAGCTTCCCAAGACCATTTCACTAACATATACAGGGATATAGTGATAGATTAACTCTTACACTATTTCCCTGTATGTGTGTGTGTGTTAGTGACACTCTTACACATCAGTGAATTCTATTTAGTGATGGAAACTGAATCAGTATTGATAATTGGCATCAACAAATTCTGGATTGAAATTTCCAAAATTTTCATCAGGCAGTGTAAGGGCGGAAACGATCTTCCTGCTGGTTACCGCTGCTAACTCACGTCTGCTGGTGCGGACGACACTTGGGGCGGTTTGGACAGAGGTGAGAACAGCAGCGACTATCTGGGTCACCGGCAGATTCGTCCCAGCCGCCATACAGTCACTATCTACCTCCCCCGCTGTTCGTCAAATTCTGGCTGTGATATCATAGGTCCTGGACTCGTGGGCTGTGTCCCCAGACCTTCACTTATCGACTGTCAATTCTCTGGTCATCTACCACTACCACATACCACGACCGTCAGTTCATCTCATTCCGTCTGTGCCCTGGTGTTCTGTCATTTCAAGACGTCACTCGAGTGTGGAATTGAATGAGTGTGGATCACCGTATTCCAGAACCTTCCCCCAGGGCCACTGCCGTAGGAAATATCTGTTCATTGTTTGATTCTATCAGTTGTTGACTCCCATTAATTGTTTGATTCTATTAATTGCTGACTCCCATTAATTGTTTGACTCCATTAACTGTTGACTGCATTAATTGTTTGAATCCCATAATTATTTGATGTTTGTTGAGTGGTGTCAGAGTTTTGTTATGTTTTTTATAGTAAAGAGATGTCAATCTCAAACGGTTGTTTGCTATTCCTCAGAAAACCATGGTCCTTGACTTTCCTTTATTAAGAACCTGATTAGTCTGGTAAGGGATTTCTATCCCTAATTCCCAGGCCTTTACAGGCAGAATATTCCTCCAAATTTGTAATAAGAAAATGCATAGTGAGGAACAAGTTGTCCCAGTGAGGAGCAGCTGGTCCCTTAAGGCAAATAACTCCTCCACCAAGCTAAAGCAACAATAAATGTGGACAATGATAGCACATACAAAGATTGAAGGATTGTTGTAAAATATCCCAAAACAGTTAGATTAAATTTAATGACATTTATCAAGTACTGTATACAGCTCCCAAAAGAGGTGATGGGCAGAAAAGCAGACAAAAGGACAGAAAGTATCCTTTCTGGTGTCCCCCCTCCCCGAGAGGACAGAATAAAGGTGTGGTCATGAACTGTATATAAATAAAGGTCAAAACATCTAAGGCCAGAATGACTAAAACAACGTGTACAAGGAAGAGTAAATACATACTACAAGGATAAGTTAAGAGGGGATACCAAAGATAAAGGCAACACTAGATATCTACTGTACTGTACATGATAAATAATTGTGACACTTGCTGCGTCAGACTGTATGATGAGTAGTACAGTACAGTATTGTACTATTGTACTGTACTGTAAAACTGCTCACATTGTCTGATGCAGCAAGTGTCACAATTGTTTATCTTGTACAGTACAGCACAAGATAAACAATTGACACTTGCTGTGATTTTCTCATTCTCCAAAAGGCATCAAGCTGCACAGTAAGATAAAGGACATGTATTCTATCCTCTTTTAAAAGATTATCATTATTTCACGACAATGTAAAGACTTTACACTCTTTTGACATTAAGCTGCACAGTAAGAAAAAAGTTTTATAATGATGACAGAAAGTGATCTGAAAACATGTCACATCAATAGTGAAACCTCCATACAATGCACTTCTCTCTCCTTGTACTGAACACTAACAAAAGATTATTCTTGCATCTTTACAATAACACACACCGGACCAAGACACATTATAAACACATTCATCACGGCTTCTGTCACAGTGATCGCTGTGGATGGTTTCAGAGCCAAGGGTGCAGAATATTTTTAGTGTGTACATAATCCATTAGATGGGGGTTGCACATCTAACACACCCTTAATATAATGGACTTTCAACTGTACCCTTATGGCATCATAATTACTTACCATTTTCTTCTTAAGTTCTTCTTTTTTCTGGTCAAGGAACTGCTTCGGTATGCCTGATGGACTGGCCTGAGCAGACACCAAGAGGTCCCACAACTCCCCCATGAATATACGAGCATTTTTACCGTTCAAGAAGCCTGTCAACATAATCTGCATCTTCCTGGGATCTGGATTCTGCAAGACATAATAAACTATTTTTAAAAACTAACAAATATAATACAAGCAATAATGAGATTCAATATGCTTGGAGAACCAACAGAACCACTAAGTTACAAAAAACATGACCTGTACATGATTTTTTCCCCATCATAACACACCAATCAGGACAAAATCTATTAAAAAGAATGCAACAGATAATAAAGTTTAATTTAGTGGTTGATTTTCAACTGTAAAATATAAACAGAGCCACCAAGATGGCTTTGATACTGTCCCAGGAACGTGTTTAGTAATATGAAGCCACGGAAGGCAGGTACAGTAGACTAACACACCAAACCTGAGAGAGCAGCACAGACTCCCACTACTGTACATGGATGAAGTGCAGCATCAGCCTCCCTCCTCCTCCTCCTAGAAGGCTGAGTCAATGTCAATATCAGTCTTGGGTAATTGACTCCTAAATTATTACAATACTATACTAATATAATATAATATAATATAATATATATATATATATATATATATATATATATATATATATATATAATATAATATAATATATATATATATATATATATATATATATATATATATATATATATATATATATATATATATATATATATATATATATATATATATATATATATATATATATATATATATATATATATATATATACACACACACAAAGATAAACTTATCAGCTCATCAATCTTATCATGATTCAGTGCTTCAAAAAATCTCATTTAGAATACCAACAACTAAGTTAAAACAGCTGTCATTAGTAATAAATTATAATAAAAACTGAAAAAGGCTGCAATCAGCATTTACATCCTATTACTAAATACAATTATTTCATTACAACAAAAGTACAAGTTTATAACAATTAAACAAGACTACAACAGCAGATATTCCCTCTATATCAAGGTGTAGTCCCGCCTTGTGGCAGGGTGGTGCATGCACAGTATTACTAGTTTTCAAGGAAACTCTGGCCATCAATTATCTTGCATCACCCAATAATTAAGACACCCCACCTTAAGATTAACCACCCTAACACTACCTGCAGTAGTTAGGTTGGGTTGTTTAATCATCAGATGATATAAGCTAGGGTGTCTAATCTTCAGGTGATCAGTTATCTTGTATAAAAGGAATACTGTGACAAAAATAATTTTTGATTGTGATTTGTACTAGAAAATATTTTCCCTGACCCACATGATAGACCTAATGAATCCCTACGTACAGTCCCCCTAAAACGTACCGTAAGCCACGGGGTCGACGTGATCAGAGGCTTTCTGAGCAATGTTTCCTGACCCGTTATATTGATGTATTCAGTACACTATAAAAGGAAGACTCCTTCCCCCATCTATAATGTTGTTGATTTGGCAACAGGCATACCAACATATGATGATGTACTGGGGATCATATAAAACCATTTCAAATTATAGCGAAGGGAAATCTACCGATACTTTTTTGGGGAGCTGTACAGAACGCATGAATAAAAAAATGTGTGTGTGAGGGGAGGGATCCAATTCTTTTCCACTACTATTCCTGATAATGTATAAATCTAATCCACCCAAGATTCATATTTGGTTGATGCGAAAAGTGAACGTGATCCCATAGACCAGTGAGCCTATCGGTGAGACTAAGCCAAGAGTACGCACATAAGAGGCAGTGTGGCCAGCACTACACGTGACCACCTTTATTATCCTTAATGCCAGCTATTATATCACGGCTGGGTTTCCTCTCAAATGTTTTATCAATTCACCACTTCTGGTTTATGCTATCACTATGGCTCACCAATTTACATTTCAACATCACCAGCAGTTTCCACTAACAATATCAGAATGGGTTACAGAACAGAAAATTATTAAAAGCAATTTAAATCAAATGAGAATTATCTTTTACTAAAATTCTTAACTAGTCTGTGAGGAGTTGTTGTCATTTTCTAATTTGTGAAAATAATTTCAAGTACCCTTGTGTTTTTTGCCCTAGCTGAAGGCCCTGTACATGCATGCATCTTTATTTTGATGAAAAATTTGGATATTCTTTATATATATATGTGTGTGTGTGTGTGTGTGTGTGTGTGTGTGTGTGTGTGTGCATGTCACATAATATAAAATATTTTACCTATCTTATAAGTACTGTATGACACTTTCCTCTCAGCCATCCTTTTGGGGGTACTGATGGCTATCCTGAAACATGTTCAATTTGGCCTAAGAGACATTTGTACCTTAAAAATGTTATGGCATTAAGAGCCATTTGTGGGGAAGGTGAGGACTGCTGAGGAAGCTCTTGGAAAAGCCTCACATTATTCTTATTCTTGTGATTCACCAACTTGGTTCTGCATGGAGTTCCCTGGAATGGTGGTATATCCAAACCAAAGAGTCCTGGACCTCTGATGATGATGATGAAGGCCCAGCCCACATGAGCCTGAGACTTCTACAGTAGTTATCATCTGCACTGTGGATGAAGCCTGGAAGGGTCCAGGCCGGGGTCCCACGAAGACTGTTGACATTACCCGAGATTTCAGATCCCTGGTAATGGGATGGATTGCCAAGGAAGTTGCCCCAGGTCATTAGACCCAGGCAAGAGGCCCAGCAATCTCCAGGCCAGTACCACAGGATGAATGGTGAAATACCCAGACTGCTCCAGGCTTTGATGCCCAGAGCAATCCAGGTAACTGAAGATCTGTAGAGATGATGATTTGGCCCAGTTATCCCAGGCTTAATGCCCAGGCTGTTGTCCCTCGATGTTATACCAGGCCTTGGCCCAGTTTCCCAGGACACGTGCCTGAGTAAAAGGTGCTATCCAATGATGCTGGAGATCCTTCCCTCACTGGGTGTCAAGGCAGAGGTGCCTTACACTCCCAGGGAGAAAGAACCCAGACAGGGAGAGAAGACCAGCCCCTTGTGATGGGCCAGTCAGGTGTAGACGGAGATACTACCCTACAGGTAGCCTGGAGCAGGTCGCTGGGTGGGGCGCCTCCATCACCATGGACCAACACCCCTTTGGCATTACTTGCTATTACCAGGAAAGATTGGCAATGTCAGATCAAATTCTGGTTTAAGATACACAAACAATGTATCTGTGTACTAAGAAACGCACAACAGCCATACACCAAATCATACGAGGTAAATAATAGGATGAGTATGAATAGCTTTCATACTTATCCTTTTGTAATTTAGTTAGGATTTGTGGATTGATTTACATAAAAAAAATTATGTCGGTCATTCTTTAACACATTCTAAGACTCACGCCTTGTACACATCCCTCCCCCATCCACACAAGACTCACCTTCTCTGCTTCCAACTGATTGAAGACATATTCTATTACAACATCATCTTCTATGCCTAATATGGCTGTAATTTTTTCTGTGACCCAAGGTTTGATCACCTCTAAACGCACTTTGGTCATATCAACCTGGAAAAATAAAATGCATTAATTGTAACTTCCAAGACAAAAGTATAAGAAAATATTTGTTAAAAACTTATTCTAAATACTGTACAGTAATATCTCCATTAGCTGGAATCCCTCAGACCTGGCACTCTCCAATAGCCAAATTGAAATTTTCCAAGGGGCACATTTTTCAGAAAATTCCGGGGATGAGGAATATTTTTCCGGGTTCGAGAGATAATGTAGTGGGCAATTTCTGGAACTTCCGAGAGCATTTTCCCGCTACCCGGAAAATTCCGGGGATGAAGGATTTTTTCCAGCTTTGAGAGAGTCGTCTCATTACCCGGAAATGCTCTGCACCAATTGTTCCAGCTAATGGGGATATCACTGTATTTGTTAAAAACTTATAATTCTCTGGATATTTACCATTAATATGATACACTAAACCTAATTATCAATAATCATCCATTAGGTAATGTTAATTTAAATCCTTCAACAAATTTTAGACTCCATTATAGAAAAGAATACTAAGATATTTTATATTGAAGAAAATTTTATGTTCACATCCATTAGTATTAATCACCTTAACACTGCCTAATGGGGGTTAAAGTAGGATTAGGGTGGTTAATCTTAGTGAAATAAACCAAGGTGTGTGTGTGTGTGTGGGGGGATCTTAGGGTAATCAAATTTTATTACAGAAGAAGGAACATTAAGTAGAGTTGTGTACTGTATATAGCCAAGGAAGAGATGAGACAACTTTAAAAACTGTACTGTATAGGTACTAATAACACACACACACACTACTCATCTACAATAAATACTGTATATTGGTAGCTATACTAATGGAAGGTAAACAGCCATCATCATACCTTTTTGCTTAAACTTTCAGCAAATTTCATCTCCTTCATGAGTTTCTTGTCTTTATTACTGAAGCGATTATCCTGCTCTGCAGAAGTGCCCTGTAAACATTAAAGGAATTATATATAAACTGTTGGTATTTTTCACACATAAATATACCTGTATTGCACTGTACCCTTAATACTGTACTGTACACCAACGAAAAAATTATTTGGCACCCGTGTCATATTGTATCATGACGTAAGTGGTGCCGAATAATTTTTTAGTGGGTGTACACTACTATAAATAAGACTATTCCTCCGCCCCATTTGCTTTTATTCTTCAGGTAAGAAATAAGTTTTCTTCTATACAGTATACAGTATATATTTTCCTTAGTTGGCTGCATATCCTCAGCAACTATCCTTAAATAATACAAGGTTGTTACTGTATAAACACCAGTCAATTTGATCACTTCAACACACTGAAACAGATACTATAGCAACCAAATAAAATATTACGAAATATTATTTGTAGACTTCCTTCACTGTTCATGACTTATACCATGTTACCTATACAAATTTACCTAATTTTTCATCATGATATAATATTTTGCACTAACCCACAAATTAGTAACACTCATGGTTAAGATTTGTAAAAGATCAACTATGAAACTATAATTGATTTATATACAGTACTATAGGGAGACAGTATAGCCAAAAAAATTTACAGGATATTATAGGTACAGCAGCCGCATGCAAAACGACACTCTATTGGTGTGGTAGCCTAATGCACGATGAGATGACTATACAGTACCGTAGTAACTATGGCCTTCCTTCTAACTAACTTAACCTTCGCATTAAACATATTGTCAATACAGCTGCCATTCCAATATCTGGGGTGATTTTTGGCGGATAGCTGCCGCACTTGTATCCGCTACGAAAAAATAAGAATAGTTTAGCTGTAGCATTTTCCATGGAAATTTATATTTTGGGGGGAGTTATTTTACTTTTCAATATCAGGTTTAATTCTTTGGGTTCATTGTTTTTCCTTGTCTTGTGGCTCTTTCAATAAACTTAATTATTATTAATGTTATGTCAGGTTCTTCTGGTTAGGTTGGGTAAGACATTTACTGTATACTGATGTTTGTGAGATCAGGTTCTTGATCTTTTTATTTGGCAAATATTTATTTCCTCTATATTTGGGGGGGATGTTCTTAATAACCCAAAGAACAGTTTCCTAACTCAGCTACTGGACACCTGTCTTTAAATATCAAACTGTACAGTAGTTAGGTTAGGTTTTATTTTGCGACTCATTTTTTTACAACTTCTACCCCAGAATTTCCTTTTACTATACTAGAGACCCCTGCCCACTTTGTGCGATCAAAACTGCAACTTAAGTGAAATCAAAATGGTTAAAATAAAAATGTTACTTTTTTGTGAAATTGGTAATTTTGCAAAATGACCGGCATGCATAATGGTAATTTTGCAAAATAACTTATAAACAGACAAACTAACCTAACCTTCTGGTTGAGTAATGTTAGATTAGGATGGCACATGTGGCTTGATACAGTCAAGTGGTCCTGCTTTTTTTTTGTAACTTTGGACTATGTGCTGTCCTAACCATAAGGTTAAGTTAGTTTAGGTTGTCTGTTTATAAGTTATTTTGCAAAATTACCAATATATATGCCGATCATTTTGCAAAATAACCGATTCCTCTAGAAAAAACGCAAGTCTCGATTTACGTGATATTTACATATATATATATATATATATATATATATATATATATATATATATATATATATATATATATATATATATATATATATATATATATATATATATATATATATATATATATATATATATATGTGTTTAATGAGATTGAATTCTATAATGTTTGTCTCATTAAACATACCGAATCCGTCAACATGAATTTGAGTAATGGTATGTACAAACTGGATAATTTCGTAATTGAGAAGATTTGTAACCAGGTGAGAAGGTTGGGTGATCTTACCCTCTGACCTGACTACCGACTGCTGTGGTGCTTTTTGAAGATTAGTAGGGTCACTACCTAATAACCTGACTATTGTGGGCTTGACCTCACCTTCCTCTACTGTATATATATTTGCCTTATGTATTTCTCCTTAGTCTGTACTCACCCCTGAAGATGTGAATTACACGAAAGCGCTTGGGAACTTTTTTCTTTTTCCTTGTAGTTATCAGCGTATACCTCGATCACGCGCACCTACAGTGATTCACTTGCATATATATATATATATATATATATATATATATATATATATATATATATATATATATAGTGATTTCCTGCTGAAATTAATATCAAATTCGTTGGAAACTCATCGACTACCACAGGAAAAACCTATTTTTAATATCAAAACAAATACCGGTGCAATACTACCTATTCCGCCAAAAGTAAGCAAGACACAGCGAAACTTGTGACTGAGCAAATGTTATAATATTGAAAAATTAATATCTCGGTTATCCTTAATTTCCGGTGGAAATATCATGGGGCCTCATAAGTATCACGGTAAAAAACAAAATCAATAATTTTATAAAATTTGGTGCCGACATTCTCAGCACACTAACGGCATCCCTTACTCTCTACTTTATACTTATCAGTTTACCTTTGGAGGTTCTCCCCGACACGTTTCATAATTTCCTCTACAGTAGAATGACTCGTAGAGTACAGTACATGAGTCCCAGGTGAATGTCTTGTATTGGCAATCCAAGGTGCAATTCTTATACAGATAACAAATCGTTAGCTTCCCTTATATATTGATCTGCCGTGAATTTACTAAACATATTGTTTCTATATAAATAACATCAAAATAATACGCCAAAATCCTGGGCTGTGTGGCCGCCATGTTGATCCACCCGAGACGCCGCCGCCGCCGCCACTCACATAATTACTATCTTCTTGCACTCGCTACACCACTACCGCCCCTAACTGGTAACAGAATTAACTACAAATCTCACAGAATAACAACTTACGCGGAAAAAGCCTGCGTCAGCCATGGTAAAACAGTAATCTTTGAGGCGAGTTCACAAGACGTACTTCACCTCCTAGCTGCAGCCTCAACACTAACTTCAGTACTTCACTCAGTGTTACCATCTACAAATATACATTCCCGCTATATGAGACTCCAAAACCCGCTAGATTTGACCCCTAACCCGCTAGATTGTAACTATACAGATAATAGCATGTGTTACCCTCTTTATATATACCGTATATAGGTATATAAACAATTAAACTGATTAATATATATAAATAAATAGAATGATAAATATAGAAAGTATGGTACATAGAAGTATTGTGGGGTACGTGATGTTTGGTTCACACTCAGGATGAGATGGATAAAGGAAACTCACAATGTGCTCTCTATATACATATTGTATTGGATGAATAGTGCAGCTTGGTGCTGGGAAGGCAGCATGGTTACAAGCGTTGAGTAGAGAGAGCTGGTTGGTGAGGATGCTCAGAGGAGGACCAGCTTGTGGGTCGCCATGCTCGCCGGCGGGAGCGAGGGCCGCCAGGCAGGAGTAGAGGAGGAGGTGTTACTTGAAGACTGGCTGTAGGTGGAAAGAGCTAGGTCATCACGAGGTGAGATCTTATATAGCGGAGGTAGGCGTGGCTTAATAATTGACCTCCGTCATGTAAGGCGGAGCTGGTTGACCTAGACACGAGGTGCGGCTGGGTTCGTGGGTCGGCTCGTCAGTGACAAACAGCGTTTGTAGGGGAGGAATCCACTACAGTATAATCAACATCAAAGGATATGCATGACCAACCTTTAAAACAGGAAGAGAGAGGAATCATCGAATTCCTCTACCTCTGTTTCCTCTCCAGATGTACTTGCTCTTGGTGTTGATTTCAGGATTGGTTCAGTGACATGCATTGCTAGTTCCAATCAATTTCAAGATATCAGCCGGTAGGTATTTCATATTCAAAACAAGACTTTTCATTTTTTTCAAACCTGCTCGTATTGCAAGAAGACCATTAGCCGTTTTTGTTTCCATTCTGTTTCGAAGTATATCTTTCACTATATTTAACTGGCTGAATATCCTTTCTACAGGTATTTCAGCATTAGAGTCGGGTATAACGAGAACTGATAAAGCAAACTCTGCCAACAGGACAGTTTCAGAAAATCCATTCCACTTCACAAGAGTGAAATCCTTCCACTGCCTGTCTATACTTATGCAAGTATAATTATATAACTAAAACCGCGAGAAATCCGCCAGACATCAGTTAAATCCGCAAAAAAAAGCTAGCAGCTAGACAGCAAAACATCTAGAGTTAGCGGGAAAACCTCTGAAATGGCAACACTGACTTCACTTAGTTCAGTAAGTCTCGGCGACGGTGGCGTCATCAAGCAGCCGCCGGAGACTATATACGATTTACACGTCGAGAACACAAAAAAAGTTTGATGGTTAATAAACTCAGAGAACTTACAAAATATATAATAACAATAAAAATGAATAATAACACAAGAAGCAGAGGTTGAGTTTGAAATTGAACCCCCCCCCCTTTCTCGGAGCTAATTTTATTTAGGGCCTTGCCAATAGATGGCGCTCATTCCTACACTAACTGAAGTATTGTTTTAAAGATTAAATTATGAATGACCATGTTTGAAAGCTTCTAGGAGGAATTAGTATACTACTACTACTACTACTACTACTACTACTAATAGTAATAATAACTACAAAAATAATGATAATGCTGATAATAATAATAGTAATAATAACTACAAAAATAATAATAATGCTGATAATAATAATAGTAATAATAACTACAAAAATAATAATAATGCTTATGTTCTTATAATAATACATGTAATAATAAAGGTGAAGGTGGTACAGTGATGGACTGATAGTGAACTTCATCGTCAGCTGATCCTTCCTGAGGTTTCTGGTTCCTCAGTGACTTGTTGTAGTTGTCTATCTCAGGGAACAACGGAACATTCTTCTTAATTTATAGCCAAAGTAAGTGATTTAAACTACAACTGAAAGGAAGATTATTATATATTATTTTAGTGATCGTCATAATGGCAAGATAACATGATGTAAGTGTTGCTGTGTTTTAGATTACGTCATCAGGGAAGTCACCAATTTGTATACTGTAACATATTAGAAAACTGTAAATGGCCTCTATATATTAATGAAAACTTACGAACAGAAGAATAACAGTTGTGATAATTATGTGGGGGAGGGTCACTCACTCACCTGTGAACAGGTATAGGAACCGTGTTTTACAATTGGGTAAATGAAAAGTCAAGTTCAGGACTGACCAGTAAACTGCTTGCTTTACTCTGCTTTGGTAATCTTGTATAAAATTATGACCACTGTTTTGGGATTTTTAGTGGGTGTGGGAGTACAGTACCACAGTGTTTTTCAAACTTTTTTTACTGCGACCCACAGCCAGAACAACAATTTGAATTGCGACCCATTAAACCTAAGTGTAATGATATGAAATGAGTAAATCAAAGACAAACACTGACATGAGAGGTAAAGAAAGAATCAGGAAATGCTCTCCTTGCAGTCGCTTCCTAAACTGTGGAGTGTACTGTACATTACAATAACCAAGCCTAAATTATGGTGCATTTATTTTTATTTTCTTATTTATTTTCGCGACCCATTTTATTTTTTTTCTTATATATTTTGCGACCCAATTTATTTATTTCTCTACCCACTGAAGGGTCGGGACCCATAGTTTGAAAACCCCTGCAGTACCAGATATCGTTACCCGGGTTAGGTTAGGTTTTTTTATATTTTTTTTCAAGTTGATTTTGTTTTTTCCTCTGTTTTATTATATGTTTTGAATGAGCCTGACCTTCATTTCTACCGCTAATCACACAAAACCTAACCTATGTAAAATTAGCATTGCGGTTATCCAGCGATTTTTAGGATTTTAAGTTTTGGAATAAGTAGTGCTTACCTTAGACTCAGAAGACAATTCTCCTTCCACAGTACCAAAGGTGTTTGTCAGCTTGATAGTTACAGGGCTGGTTACAGTTCGTGCACTTAACCTCGGTTGGCAACACAGTATTCGTGGAGAAATTTCACCGCCTCACCGTCCTTACTGTAATACACAACGTGAAATTTTGTGATTGTTTAGAAGTAATCTACATCACAGCCCTTGCACAAGGGAGACATCTTGGAAATAAATTCAAATTCAAGGGAGTTGCAGCAGGAGGCCTATGCGATACTGAGCTGTGATTGGTTGATCCAAAATCATACCGACCAATGAACATGTCAGATTCTTGCAAAGAACAACTGCACAATTGTCAGACTCTAGCGCATGTGTAGTTCAACCTAATTACCAACACACGAACACACACGAGCTCTCCAGGACGGTGTTAACATCGGTTAACAAACACAATTCGTTCCAGAAGGTCGTTCGTTAACCGAAACCATTGTTTCAATGGGATTTTGGGTAATTGGTTCCAGCTCACCTAAAACTACATACAGTACAAAGTAAAATTAAATGCAGTAAAGTACACTTACTTTGAGGTGTGTATGTAGAAGGCTCCCTTGTTGTTGATGATGATGATGATGGGAATTAGAAGTGGGGGTGGAGGAGAAGGGAGAAGAGATGGAAGTGGGGGTGGAAGAGAATTGTTAAAATGACTAAAAAATTTAATGTAAAACTTGGAAAATTATTGAATAGTACAACCTTCTTGATATTTACTCAAATGGGAACGAATTTAAGCCCTAGAACCGATTACTGTATTGGCGGACTAATCTACCAGCTTGTGAACAAGCGAAAACATGTTGAGAGGAATTCGTAAGGAATTCGTAAACCGAATTGAATATTCTTATGGAAGGTTTTTCGTTAACCGAAGCATTCGTTAACCGAGGGACCACTGTATAGGAATGCGTGTTTAACAGAAAATAATTTTATTTTATTTAAGAAGAATAAAATATAAATTATTGTTATTTTAGGTTAAGTTTGCTAAATTTTCTTCTTTTTATGAATGATACATAAAATAAATTAGCATTATAGAATGTATCAGTACAGTAATTATAAAATGCATCAGAAATTATAGAATGTACTGTAGCTGTATCTAAAGAAAAACTATGATATATTATTTTAGAGGAATAAAATAGAAAATAAGTGCAGTATTTTAGTTTAGGTTAGGTAAGATAAGTTTGTTGTTTTCTTGTTATGAACGTAAAAGACTTGACTGACTGCTCAAGTGGCTAAGACTAATAATTGTCAAAGAGGATGAAGTAAAGTAAGAATAGGCTGTACTGTACAGTGTTAAGAAGAAAAACCTATGAAATGAACCATTGTATGATTGCAGTAAATACACTTGGTGAAATTATGCAAAATGAATTTCTCCGGTATTTTTTCACGGTTTCCCAAACAAGAGAAATAGAGATATTTCCCCAAGTTACTGCTGAGGCTGGACCGCTCTCGTCAAGTACTACGGAAATTGAATGCCTCTGTTTGGCTTTGGATATTCTTGAAGTAAGAAACAATTTCTCTTCTACAATACTGTATAGTACTATATATAGAAAATTTGTATAATGTTGGTGATACCTAGGAGATATTGTCTTAGAGTATTGTATTACTGCATTAGCTAGGGGTGAGTCCTCACATGATCCAAGAGTCATATACTGTACTGTACTGTATAGTAATAAACAATACATTTCTTGATACCGGCTATTTCTTGATGTGATCTTCACCACCACGAGCTAATACAGTATATGACTCGTGACTCAGTGCTTTGGTAATTATGAGGGTTTTTTTAAGACAGTTTTGTATGCTGATTATTTTCAGTTTATTAATTTTCTTGTGTAAATGCTTAGTTTTCTAGATATAGACAAGTTAGAATATAAGTTAGGTTAGTCCAGAAAACTGTGAGGGCAAACTTTTTCTGGGTGAGAGTCGTGAACTCTTAAAACAATCTGCCAGAAAGTGTTGATGGCACCGAGTGTGAGCTCTTTCAAGACCAGACTTGACCAACACTGGAGCAGGTTCAGGTACATTCAGGAGCTGGTGCATGCCCAGCACTTGCCAACAGTGCGTAACAGAGACGTGACCGATCGCCCAAGCGGCTAACAAGCGGATGAGTGGTGAAGAGGATAAAAGTAAAAAGTAAGCACATGATTTCAGCCATATTTATATTTATTCCCAACATAATACAGTATCCTTTAATAAAATCAGTGAAAACTGGATATTTATAAACCCATTTTCAATGAAAAACAGTGGACGGTCGCGATCCGAATAATTACACCACCACGTTTGTGTTAGTAATAGTAATAATAATAATAATAATAATAATGATGTATTTATTCAGTAAAATTGTCATATAGGTTTACAACTGACTAGGTATGTTTATAAACTATACAATTACACAGTTCAGCATAAATATTGACAATGTAGGTCTGTATATAGTGCAGGTAGACCGCAGGTGTACAGTACAGTATACAGTTTCCTGAACATTTTACTGTGCCGAGACAGTGCAGGTAAACGGTAAGGCAACGTGACCAAGGGTAACTGTCAGTTGCTTATTTCCAGGAGAGAGGTTGACTATCACTTTTGAAGCAGAACAAAAGAACCAATAATATCTAAACCCAGGACCATTTGATCATAGTTAAAGAAACTAGGTGCAAACTTACTACAAGGACTGTTGTATAAACTTGTTAGTTAACATTTATTACAATACTGTATGGGAATTACCTACCACAATATTTGTCCTCCAGCTTATTTCTCACAGAGATTAATCACCCTAATGCTAACTTAACCTAATGTAATCAAACCTAATCTCTTTACTTTTACTTTTATCCTCTTCACCACTGATCGGCTTGCTAGCCACTTGGGCGATCGGTCACGTCTCTGTTACGCACTGTTGGCAAGTACTGGGCATGCACCGGCTCCTGAATGTACCTGAACCTGCTCCAGTGTTGGTCAAGTCTTGTCTTGAAAGAGCTCACACTCAGTGTCTTCACAAATCTGGTAGATTGTTCCAAGAGTTCACAACTCTCATCCCGAAAAAGTTTGCCCTCACAGTTTTCTGGACCTGCTGCTTCTTCAATCTTGAGCTGTGACCCCTTGTGGGGCGAGTGTCCGCCAGCTCCAAGTAAGAACACTTGACTGAGTAGAGCCCCTTGAGATGCTTATACACCTTAATTAGGTTGCCCCTTGCCAGTCTGTAGTATAAGCTAGGCAAGTTCAGGAATTCCAATCTATCAGGGTAGTTGAGGTGCCGAAGTGCTGGCGCCAGTCTGGTGGCCCTCCATTGAACATTTTCAACCAACTGACAGTCCCTAGCATAACTCGGGGACTAGACGGGGTGACAGTACTCCAAATGGGGAAACACTTCACTCTTGAAGATCGTTACGAGGGACGGACCATCTAGATATCTGAATGACATTCTTATAAGACCCAATAATTTATTTGCACTCATTTACCTTCTTCTCGCAATGGCCCGAGAACTTCAGCTCATTGTCAACATACACACCTAGGTCCTTCTCACATTCAGTCTCAAATAGTGCAGTTTCTTCATCCCGTTGGGACATATGATACGCCTCCTTACCGTTGGTATGCCCCAGGTGCATCCTCTTACACTTCATGACATTGAATCTCAGCAGCCATTTCTTTGACCATTCTTGGAGCTCACAGAGATTCTTCTGCAGCTCTTCACAGTCCGCTTGGTTCTTAATTTGCCGAAATAAACTTGGCGTCATCGGCAAACATTTGTATGGAGGAGTGTACAACACCAGGCATGTCATTATGAAACAAACAAACAACAGCGGGCCCAATACACTGCTCTGTGGTACCCCACTTGTGACAGGTACAGGTGATGATTTCGTGCCATTAATCACCACACACTGCTTGCAGTCATGTAGAAAGTCTTCTATCCACGCTAGGACATTTCCCCGAATTCCGTACCCTTCTAGTTTAATTTTCATCCTTTCATGGGGTACACTGTCGAAAGCCTTGGCAAAATCTAGGTATATATTGTCGATATTACCACCCCATTTCAGAATATGGGTCCAAATATCCAATACCTTGAGCAATTGTGTTAAGCAGGAGCGCCCCAGCATAAAACCGTGTTGGCAATCCTTTACAAGGTTGTTTCTTAGTAGGTGTTCCATCGCGGCATCTCTGATAATACTCTCAAGTACTTTACATATTATGCTAGTCAGGCTCACCGGTCTATAGTTTGTGGATTGACAATCGCCCTTCTTGAAGATAAGACTCACATAAGCCATTTTCATTCACTGGGGACCTTTTGTTCATCCAGGCATTTACAGAATGGGATCTTCAGGGGCTCGGCAAGCTCGTTGCACAACTTCCTTTGCACTCTGGGATGCACCATGTCAGGGCCGGGACTCTTATGGACCTTTAGCTTTGACAGTTTATATCTAATACCCTCTTCTGTGAACACAATGTGGGTCAGCGTTGTGTCGAACCGTCTGTCCTCAAATGCAGGAAGGTTAATCGCATCCTCTCTTGTGAACATCGAGGAAAAGAAGCTGTTTAATGCCTCAACTTTATCCTGGTTAGAATCTGCGTAACTACCATCTTCAAGCCTCAGGTCTGATACTCTACTCGTGCTTTTAATTTTGACTTTGCATAGCGGTAAAACGTCTTTGGGTTTGACTTGACCTCGCTTGCAACCAGCCTCTAGAACTCCTTTTCAGCCCTTCTACACTCTGCCTTTGCTTGGTTTCTGGCTCTTGCATACATCCTCCTGTCCTGCTCATCATTTAACCCAACCCACGTCTTGAATTTCTGAGTTTCCTTCTTAACTTTGTCGACCGCCGCATGGTTCATGTGCAGGGATCCCCTCGTATTCCTAGAGGCACTGGGTTTGGTCTTGGGTATGTATTTATCGATCAAATGGGTCACTTTACTAGTTATGATATTCAGCGTAGTGTCTGCGTTCTTGTGCCTTAATGAGTCAGGCCCAGTTGATTCCACTCATCTCTTCCCTCATCCTATTGTAATTTCCCTTGTAATATTTGCACGTTGGCCTGGCCTTATCCTGAACTAGGTAACAGTTAAATCTGAATGACAACACTATACACTATGGTGACTGGTGTCAATTGGGGCAAGGTGTTCCAGTTTGGCCTCCATACCCTCCTCATTTGTTATGATGAGGTCTAGTGGCTTGGGTGTTTGCTCCCCTCTGTAATGTGTCGGGTCTCTAACATGTTGGAAAAGAAAATTATTTCTAAGAGTTTCTAGAAAAAGAGTAGCAGGGTTATTCAAGTCATTTGGAGTGAACTCGTTCCTCCAGTCGATGTCGCCATAGTTAAAGTCCCCCTAACCTAATCTAACCTTCCTGGTAGTATATATTAGGTTAGGTGACGTTTGGTTAGCGTGGTTAATCTTATGGTGAAATAAGCTGGCGGGCCTAATCTTGAGGTCTTCTGTGTATTTTATTATTTAGGGTCTATTACAAATCTTGTGGAGGAACAAGGAAAATGATCCCCTTTTTTTTGTGAAAGAGCAGCAGGTAGTGGTTAGTTCTGGAGCACCAAGAGAAGGTTTACTAATGTTTATCTTGTAGTATGTTGATGAATCACAACTCATGGTATCTTCTCATGGCCCACAGTACAGTACAGTGGTTGCCACCCTCCTCATTAGTAAATTTAGTAATTTTGTCCGTGGTCTTCCATCATACAATATTTACAATTTATGCCTTAGTTTAATAATCCTTTTTGATCTCATCACAGACCATGGCATTCCTGGGGAACCTTTTTAAGTCCTTCCTAGGATCAGAAGGTCCTTCAGGAAACACAGTGACTGAGGTTGGAATCTCTCAGTTTGCCAGAATACCGGTAAGTTTTGATAGACTACACCATTGCTGCTACAATAATGTCTTGTTTGCCAGATAATATTCTAAATATTACTCTGTACTGTACTGCAGTTACTTGTTATATAGACTTAATTACAGGAATTTTAGTGAAACTTTTCTTTGTGTATCATCATTAGATTAGGCCAGTTTATGTTTCTCCATATTTGTGGGTCTTATTTCAGGTTCAGTGCCGGGAAGACTGCCTGGTACTGTATGGTCCAACAAAAAACAATAATTATGAACTGCTTCTGCACTTTCCTGTCCAGAATTCACTCAACAAAGCTCTCAGGTTAGAAATTAATACATTCTTGCAGTATTGATAAAACTTGGTAAAATAGAGATAAAGAGAATGCGAATGATTGATTTTCAAGTTATAGAAATGTAATGTTGCTATAAAAGTTAGCATCCACAAGCACACAGTGCAATATCATTGACTCCAAGACAGCAACAGGTCACGACAACACCAGGCAGTGGGCTGGTCACCCAACATATTCTGTCACACTGCTTCACAACGTACAGTAGCCACTTTACTCAGGGAAGATGTTTAATATTTTTCAAAGAGGCAAAGGTCATTTCAGTTTTTATTAAGTAAATTTATCATACAATTTTACATTGATTTAGCATATACTACAGTACTGTACAGTATGCGTATAGACAATATTGTACAAGCACTGTACTACTGTATACAATTTGGTATGTGTATAGACCAAGTACTATATACAGTTTTGCATTTGTATAAACAATGCAAATGCTGTACTGTATACAGAAAATGTACCTAGACAGTGCAGGCATACAAACTGGTAAACAGTAAGGCAATTCGACCAAGGATGACCTACAAAGTCATCAGATTATTAAGGGTCTTTCCTTTGTACATGACAAAGAAACTATCTGAGATCCTGGAACCAGACCATGCCCAGTACTTCATTGCCAACAGAGCGTAACAGAGACATGACCGACCGGCCAAGCAACTAATGGACCAATCAGTGGCAAAGAGGATAAAAGTAAAAAATAGGAAACATCACCAGATGTCACAGCTTTCTGGTACTATACTGGCGAGGTTTTAGAGGAGCTAATTACTGATCAACTATCATGGCTTCCGAAAGGAAGTTGTCTCCTGAATATAAAACAGTTTGGGATTAGGAAGTTTCCAAATTTATTGACCGATTGCTATAACATTTTCTGCGACCATAGAGTAAGAGATCATCAAGTTCTTCTATAGTAATTTTTTTTTAGTTGATTGTACTGTACAAGCTCGTTGGCTCATACATAATGATTGATTAATATTGAAATATCACAAATAAATTCATATAAGAATGTACTGTACAGGTATAACTGTTAAAGATACTCAGTTCTGGATCATTTTAATGCTAAATTTAATGTATGTAAAGATATAACTATTTAAAAACATTAACTTTCAGGATATAAGTGGAAGAAAAATAGTTTGAAAAAAAGAATATTCGCATTTCGAGAAGGAGGGGGGGGGGGTTTAGCCTAGTACCATCAGTTAAAAAGACCTAACTATAGGTGGTGAACTTTAAGAATAGTATTTACAGTATTTTTTTAATTTTGTATTCCTGTTTGGCAAATTAGATAAGAAAAAATTTGTTTTGGTCTAAATTTTAGAATAATCTTTTATTCTAACTGCAATCCAAAATACCCATAGTCTGTTATGAGAGGAATTTACTAACACAGTATTGTTCACTTGTAACAGCCTCTTCAGAATACCTGACATTGGAGAAGCACAAATCCGGTTCATATCCCTGAAAGAGTTGTTGCCTCCTCTGGTCCAACACATGCCAGCTGATATTGTCAATCAAAAAGTTATTCAGAACATATGTGACCTGATCCGGAATCATCCTACTTGGACTGTTGCCCACATTGCGGCCCATACTGGCTTGGCTCAACTATTTTCCCATTCTTCAGTGATAAAGTAAGATATTATTGAGGAATACAGTATATTGTACAGCTGTCTTTTGTTAGATGTATTTTATCCAGTTAACTAGTACGTACTGTAATGCATTAGGTTAAACTTGGGTAGTGTTGGACAAACTTTACCTGTTTGTTATATACTGTACAGAGATAGTGTTGCCTAAAGTCTTTTCACCTTTGTCCATTAGGTGAATAAAAGAAGAGTTATTTTAGTGACCAACCCTGGCAGTAAGTCTTCATGTATAGAAATGCATGAGAAATGTGACCAATGATTGTTGAGGTGTGGGTGAGAGTACAGTATAGTACAGTACAGCATCAGGGTACAGGAAGAGGACTGATTTATAATTTAACAGGATGAAAGACAAATTGATACAAAATGAATACAGGTAGTTCTGCTATAACGCGATAATTGTGTTCTTGTAAAATATCGTGTTATAGAAAATCGCGTAATAGAAATAACAGGGCTTATGGAGAAAATAGGGTTAGGTGCAGATTACTCGAAATCGAAAAAATTTAGTAGTTAGCCTAACACAAAGGATAGCACAGTCTAATTAAATGTTACATTCATATCTAATAATGAAATCATACAGTAAATGTAACACTTTACCTTGAAAAAATATGAATGTAACTTGATGGGGGAGAAGGGTGATTTTGAGGTTGATAACATCGAGCTTCTCTTCAAGTGTTATATCCTTTCTTTTTCGATCATCACCGGGAATTCTATCACCAGAACGCTTCTTGGAGATATTCTTCTTTACCATAATCACAGTTTATACCACAAAATTGGAGAAATAGTAAGCAAAAATCGCGTTATAGCAAACAAGCGTTCGCGTTATACAAATATCGTTCCTAATTCATAAATCGCGTTAGAGCAAATTCGCGTTATCAAAACAAGCGTTATAGCAGAACTCACTGTACAGTATGAACTTCACAAGAAAATTCTAAAGCCCAGTTAAAAATTTTTTCACTAGATTCATTATATTAATAACTCTTAAATGGCTGCCTTCGCTGTTGGAAGTTAGGTGGAGGGACGGTGACCATCATCTGTGGACGTACATTTCATGTTCCTTCTGTTCCATTTTTGCACATATGGCGAGGGGGTGGGGGATCCCTAGCCATCAATTGAGGGCTAATAAGCAGTTATAGATGTACTGTATATGGTGTATGTCTTAACTTATCTAATGTACAGCATATGAAATTGTAAATACCCCAAATGAGATGAAGCAGTCAGGGTAAGTCAGTTCAGAGGCTCATTCCTGTGACTCAGTTTCACCACGAGAGTGAACTTTTGTCCTCGACTGTACATATATGAATGACTGAGATGAATACTGTAGCTTCTTCTGTACACAGCCAAGCTAGTCAGGCCTTCCCTTTCTTGATTTTGTCTCTGGTTGATCAGTTTAAATTAACTGCCATCAGAGGACAGATCAGTTATAACTTCAGAAATTTTTTGAACTTTTTGATGGAAATTAATTACGTATGTAGTTATTATGTGTGGTTACTGGACTCAGGATGTGATATTAAACAAAGTTCATGTAAACAATGTCATAGATCACAGCACTTTAGGGTCTGATAATGTCTGTGTTAAAGAGGCCTACACAGTATACATACAGTACAATATAAGATTTTGCTTTATAATTTTGTAATGTTTATCAGAATTTTGTTGTTGTAAATATTCTATTGTTATTGTTTATAATTTCAGGTATGCAGACACAGCTGATATTGAAATGAAGGAGACGCCTTTACATTTGGCAATAAAAGAAGGTCATCTGGATATCATTCGTGGTCTTCTAGAAAGAAATGTCAGCGTTGACGTCACTGATGTTAAAGGCAATTCCGTTTACCATCTTGCAGCAACAAAAGACATAACTATAATAGAGGTATAACATAACATAATAATATTCTTTGTGTAATTAATATAACAAACCTCAAAATGTTAAGTCTTAACCATAGTGTTTCAGTACTATACTGTATAATACAGTAACTTAACAGGAATAGGAGTGAATTAGTATTTAAAAAAAAACATATACATTTACAGTACTTTAATACAGTATATATAAAATCAAGAGTCAGGTGTTTATAAACACAGGACAGCTTGTACAGTATCTAGGAGGCCAAAGGTTGTTCATATGGGGTAATACTGTACTGTAATTTTCTTTCCATTCCAAATTCATAAATTCTAATCCTGCCTTATCTCTTCCTTCAGTTAGTTACACAGAAAGAGTCTCGGCTTATAAATATTCCTAATGAAAGTGGCAAAACACCCCTACATCTGGCATGTGAGGCTGATAAACCAGAATGTGTGAAGGCTCTACTGTGTGCTGGGGCAGATGTCAACGTTGCTGCAACACACGACTCCACTTTACCCATCCATTCAGCTATGGCAGCCAACAGCACACTCTGTGCAAAGGAAATAATTACAATGTATCCAAACCAGCTCAATGTGAAGGTATTATGTCTAAGTGTTTTTAAACAATAAAAGTTTCACACTTCCACTATGGTTTAGTACAGTAGAGTACAGTACAATACAGCATGTGTTCAGTTTCATTAGACCAATGTACAACAAAATGAAGGTACCCTGCTAGTCAAAGGAGTAATATTTACCTATCTACATTTATGTTTCAAAGTCGATTAATTAATTATTTTGAAAGTAAATAATGTTAAATGCAAAGTTTAATTGATAACATGTTTGTGTGTGTTCTGAGGACATGAAACATGGAGGAACACCTCTACACTGGGCCACTTCCAGAGAGATAATCACAGCCATGGCAGACTTGGGTTGTAATATCAATGCACGTAATTTTCATGGCCACACTGCTTTACATAAAATGGTAAGTTAGTTACTTTGCCCTTAATATTTCGGTGATACTTGATAAGAAGAAAATAAATTTCTTGTATGAAGTTTCCATTTTGAAATGAGATAAAGTTAATACTGTATGAGAGAAGAGGATGTGCCATATTGTATCAGAAATATTTGTATGGGTAGAGTTCAGTGCTGTCGGTGTTGAACACCATTTTGAGAGAGTTGGAACCTTATTCCTGTGTTCATTACCTTAGATAACTCACAATGAGAAAATGGTGTTTTAACAGGTACAAAACAACCTCCTCGCGTGTGTCATAACACTACTGAGTCGTGGGGCAGAAGTGAGTGTGGGTGACGACGAGGGTAACACAGCCATACACTTTGCCAGTTCAGCCGTTGTTCTACAGGCCTTACTTGTCTTTGGTGCCAACATGGCTGTTATAAACAAAAGGGTAAGCTTATGTGAATTTTACTGTGTATTTTTTTTTATATACCGGGTACTGGTAAATCAGTCTCACACCAAGAGTCTATCAGTCTGGTGGTACACTGCTATAATAATGCTCTTGTGTAAGTAGTGAAGAAGAGTGAAAAAAGTATAGAGGAGGCAGTGTACAGTGCTGAGTCATCTTGGCAGAGCCGTCCCTAGGGGAACTCATCCTTTGCAGGGACCCTTTGTATTCTTGTGTGTAATAATAATAATAATAATAAAGTAATAATAATAAAGTAATAATAATAATGAACGGTTTATTAATAGAGTTGCAGCCGGTGGCTGAAAATATACAAACTTACATGTGATTTAAACATAATAATATACGTTCAATACATTTACAGGGCTATACAGTACATAAATCAGGAGTTGTTTATTATTTTAACAATAGATGGGATGGTGCTGTTCTTATATCTATCGGTGCGGGCTCTTATGGGCTGAATTTTGTTGTAGTGGCGGACTGCGAGGTGGGCGGGGGACTGCAGGTGGCAGTAGATGGCGATGAAAAGGATGGTACAGTAGTCCACTGCCAAACCCTGCTAGTGCGTGGTGGTGGAGGCCACTGAGGGATGGCATCTCCAGGGTGGAGAGAACCTTGTTGTAGCCGGAGTAGTCTGCACCAAGCATGACTATGCAGGCCCTCTTCTGTACCTTCTCTAGCTGACATTGTTGGGTGGAGTTGAGAGAAGACGACCAGGCTGGTGACGCATACGTTAATTTGGGGAGAATAAAGGCGTTGTCGATAGTCCTCAGCTCTGGCGTGGGTGCCCCAAGTGACCCGAGTCATCGTAGCATGTAAAGTAGGTACGAGGCTGCCTTGATTGTGTTATTTACATGGACCTTCCAGTCCAGTTTGTGGTCTATAGTTACACCCAGGAGAGGATGGGCACCCACTGTAACTGCTGGAGCTTGCACTGGAGTGGTGACGGTATTGATGTGCATGACTACGGTTTTGGTGTGATTGATGGTGACCTTGTTCTCCGTAGTCCATGCCTGTATCCTGTCCAGGGTGCCTTGTAGCGACTAGTAGTCCAGTGAGGTGTTGTCCACTGTAACCCCCACAGTGCAGTCATCCATGTACTTCCACATGGATATTTTCAGCCTTCTGGCTGCCAAGCTCTTTCAATAAACCGTTAATTATTATTATTATTATTATTATTATTACATGTGAGGAGTGAATGATGGAGCGTTGTTGATCAGGAAGCACAGTGGGGGTCTGTACTTCCCATAAATAATGTAGTACAGTACAATAGCTGTTTTGATTAATAGTGTTTACTTTTCCCCAGGGATCAAATGTTCGTCATATTGTTGCCAGTAGTTCTTTCAAGGAGAAGAACACAATGCTGTACCTCCTACACGCTATCAGTGCGCCGCGCTGTCAGCAACGACTCCCAGATTGCACTGATGGCTGTTCACCGACAGGGACGTTTGACGGTGTTCCTCCAGAAACCAACCAAGTTTCGCGTAGTAGAACAAGCTTTGATGATTTTTTGGATGAAGCAATGTTAGGAAAGCTCAATGTTACATCACAGGTTGGGGTTCCTTTGGGGTGAGTTGTAATTATGATTTGAGTGATAAGTTGTTATGTGTATGTCTTTCATTTGTTATGAATAAAGTATTAGATGTATAATTATTTCCTCTACCATTTTGTAGAGGTGTAATGTTACATATCATTGAAGTTTTGTTAATCTTCTGCAACTAACTAACTTTATCCTCTGGCAACAGGTTTACTTCAAGTAAGAAAGGTGGACGTATTTTGTGCCTTGATGGTGGAGGCATCAAAGGCCTTGTTCTAATCCAACTTTTGATTGCCCTTGAAGAAGCAGCAGGCAGACCAATACTTCAACTCTTTGACTGGATTGCTGGAACCAGTACTGGGGGTATTCTTGCCCTGGCACTAGGGAGAGGTTGGTAACTTAATACTTCCTCTTGTGATTATTAAAAATTTAATTTTCAGATTCTCTCTGAAACACAAGTACCTGTACAGTACAGGTCTCCCTCCAACAATCATGGTCTTGCTGAGGAACAAATCCCCGGGGATTAGGGAGGGAGACCTATATACGACATTTTCTCGATTTAGCGAACTACAGCAGAACCTCGATGGAGTGGAGCAATTGGGGCACACCCCAGTCCTAAAAAAGCCCATTTATGGGTGGAGGGGAGGGAGATGGGGATAACACTGCTTATCTGAACTATTTAAAGAAAACAGTTGTTGTTATGTTATTAGTGCACTTCAACAACTAAGGTCTTTAAGTGTATAACAAGGTTATTAAAAGAATATTACATCAACAATAAACAAACAAAATATGAAACAACTTTTTGGGTTGAAAATCAGACATGCAAGTCTGGTGTCAACAACTGTTGTCACCGAGAAGATTGTTATTTACTATAAAGTGTTATACGTACTGTAAGTAACCACAGAATTTGTATTATGAATAAAGAGAAAACTGTATACTGTACAGTAATGTAAAGTTAAAAATAAGAACAAATAAGTAGGAGTATATTGTATGTGGACGACATATGTTTATCTGGGAGCAGCTGGCAGAGGTTGGGGGGTAGCATTGGTGGGTGGCTCCCTCTCTTTCCCACAAGATTCCTTTAACACTTCATATGCAATTCCACCACAATTCTCATAGAATTTAGGATCATTTGGTGTTAGGTTGATAAAATATTATCCTAAAAGAATCAGCTTTCCTGAAAAAAAAAAAGATCCCACACTGAACATGAGTCATTTCATACTCACTTGTTTACAAAGAGCAAACAGTTGATCAGCTTACCACAATGTCTGTCTTCAACACTTAGTAAATTAGTACAGTACATTTGTGTATTTATCATCACTTAATAAGTATTATTGCAGTGTATTTATCACCACTTAATAAAAACTAATGTAGTGTATTTATCATCACTTAATAAGTAATACAGTGGTCCCTCGGTTAACGAACACAACTCGTTCCACAGTCGTTCGTTAGCCGAAAATTTCATTAACCGAATCCATTATTTCAATGGGATATTGGGTACCCCGGTAGGTAGGTTAATAGAAAAATAGAATTAAAAGATAATTTTTGTTTTTTACTTGTAGCAATTCCCAGTGAGTTGAAGATTGCTAAACCAAACAATTGCAGATCATTAAATAACCAAGGGCGTTAAGAATCTTTAATTCGATAAACGGAATTATCGCTAAGTGAACGATCGCTAAACAGCGGATACCTGTATTGGCATTTACACCCCTGCTTTAGGAGACGCCACAATTGATTATACTCTCTGAATGAAAAAGTTTCTGTCAACTGATTTAAAATGCCACAGTGACTTTCATTTTCTGTTAACCAAGTGTCACCATCTTTCCTTCCTCAGGTAAAAGTATACGATACACTCAGGGTCTCTACTTTAGGATGAAGGACTTGGTGTTTATTGGCCGTCGTCCCTATGATGAAAAACCCCTTGAGAATATCTTGAGAACTGAGCTGGGGGCGACAACTGTTATGACTGATATAAAGGACATTAAGTAAGTATCAATGTTATTAGTAGTAGGAGGAGGTGGTGGTGGTCCAAAATAACACAAAAACACCAAAGAGTACCATCGAAAAATCATAGGTGGTGTGTAATGACCCTGCAGGTCACTCAGGGTGCACATGTAACATATCATTATTTGTTAGGTCAGTCAGACCTCTGGCTTGGAGTTAAACCATTCTTCCCTGCGGTGGTGGTGTGCCTCTGTTAGTCTAGTGGCTAAATGTATCTTTCTTACACGTTCATCAAATGAAAATGCTTTTGATTATATGCCAGGGAATTTTGTTGGTATGATCAAAATCTGAACACCCAACCCCCTCATAAGCTGGATCTGTTTCTGTCTTATATCAATACGTGGCCCAGTTAGTCCTCTTGTGATATACTTGACATATACTGTACTAATATTGTGCAATATTTCAGAGTATTAGTTACGGGTGTCCTGGCAGACCGTTCCCCAGCAGACCTCCACCTCTTCCGTAACTATGTAAGTGGAGAACAGATGTTACAGTCTCATGGAGGAAACGTCTTCATTCCCGTTAAGTCTCCAGATGAGCAGTTGGTATGGAAGGCTGCCAGAGCATCAGGTGCTGCTCCATCATACTTCAGGTAACTCCACCTTATTCTGTTTCCTCTTGATTCTAGCCACACCATATTATGGTTGGAATAATACCTGACAAAAAAAAAATAGAAAGAAAAAGGAATGAGAGTGAAGGACACACTAAGAATGAAGGTAATGGACATTCAGGAAGTACCACATGTGTACAAGAATGAATAGAGAGGTTGGCATCAAGCAATCTTTGGGGTAGGATGTGTTATTAATAGGTGATGCTGGCTTAAGTGAAGCAACATTGGTAACCATTCTTAGCCTACCCCTGGCTTTCATTCCCTCCACATTTAGGGTCATGCACCTTTTGACCCAATTGGTCTCATCCATTCTCTCCACATGCCCAAATCACCTCAGCTTGCTTATCTGCAGGACTTGGTTAATACTGTACTTTCATTACCTTAACAGAGGTTCCTATCTTCCAGTCACATTACACCTCACCATTCTCATTATAGCTCTCTCAAGCCTGTTTATGTCATCCTCTTAATTGCCATACAAATCACTTTTCTCATGCCAGCTGCATACACTCTTCCTTACACTCGGAGAGGTCCCTTGTCATCAATAAAGGCAGCAACTTCCTAAACTTCCTCCAGCCACTGCTGACTTTTGCAGCTGAGCAGGCTTCAGCATTGATCATGTCACCCAGGTAACAAAACTCACCAACACACTCCAGGGACATATCCCCAATGTTGAGTTTCTACAGCCTTGCTGTGGGTGCTTAGTTACCTGTGCATACACAACACTAAAGTTAGCATTAACTTGGCATTCTACCATCTACTCTAGTGCACCTCATATGTACCCACCTTCCACACTTGTTGCACATTATTGAGTTATTGCCAACATCTTTCTTACAGACAGCACAAGGTCATTTTCCATCACTTGCCCTTTACCCACATCACTAATTAATACAGTATTTTTGTTTTATTCAAATTCACTCTCCCTTTGGCTCTATGCCATCCTTCCATTTCTTAAATTTCTTCATTGCCTCTTCAATACTACAGGCAAACCCCGTTATTCATAGCCTCGGTATTCGTAACCCAATTTATTCGCAATCACTTTATTGTTACCCATTTCCACTATTTGCAATGGTTGTCCCGTTTATTCGCAAAGTCTTACGAGCAAAAATTTTGGATCGCGCCTCAACCGTAACGTACGACAGTGTGTTTACGTGTGTACGTATTCCTCCGCCATACGCTCCCGCTCGCCTCAGTCTCACATGTGCTGGTGTGTGATTTTTGTGATCTTGCAATATCTAAGCGACCAGCTACTCAAACTCCCAGCAATGTTGCTAAGGGATCACGTGTGGCAGTTACGTTGGACGTGAAATTGGATATCGTAAAAAGACATGAACACGGAGAAGGAACGACAGTGACTGGGCGCGTGCACGGTCTACGTTTAAGACTTGCCTCACACACATAAACATTCACACTCTCACGCACTTATGCATGTAAAGTACACTGTTTGTTATTGATGTTTATTTGATATTATGCCCTTGTTTCTTTATCTATTTTATGTTCTATATTTATTGAGTAAAACAAGTGCTAGAATCTGACGGCCGCGACCACCCGTATCCCCCCTATTTACATTATTTCTTATGGGAGAAATTGCTCCGCTATTCGCAATTTCGATATTCGCAACGAGTTTCATGCCCGTGACCTTTGCGATATGTGAGGCAGCCCTGTATCTGCCACCAGCACTTAAGTCATCAGCATACAACAACACCCAGGGCAGGCTAGTCATAAAGTCCCATGATATTGCCTCCAACACAATGATAAACAGAAGGTAGCTCAAGACAGAACCCTGATAGATGTCTTCTTTCACTTCATACTTCACTTTCACTTCTTTCACTTTTGCCAAAATAAAGCAAATCCCAAGTTCTGATCTATTGTGTATTACAGTTCAGTATGTAGCTAATGAGGTCAATGCACAATACATATAGCTACTGTAGTTATACATGTATCGGTGTTCTTGTATAGTTTAATAATGATGTAGTTGAGCCAATTGGTGTGGTTAGGTTGAGATAGGTTAGGTTAGGTTAAGTGAGGTGAGACGAGGTTAAATTACATATTGTAATTAGAAGATGTGGCAGTGGTTCACCTTTCTTGTTCAGTTCTCCTTAACTTAGGCATTTGGTGATTTATGTAAAAGAGTAAAAGTTATAGATTGATAATGAATAATTGACAGTTGTTTTGATTAGAGAATCATAAGAATTATATAATTGCCAGTGATCTAAATCTTTCTTATTAGTGTATTTAACAAGTACAGTATTATTTAAATTCACTTTCTTCAATGTCGGGAAGTTCCCATTATGGCTTCTCTCTATTGTAATATAATCTTTATGACCAAAACAGTCAATTAACACAATATATACCTGTATATATATTTTAATTTTTCACAATGTTGTTGAGAAGACAATTCAAACGGTATGCATGAATTACTTCCAGCAGAGCACCAAACATTGTGAACCTTGGAGATGTTCAGATGCTACAAGAGCGGTCATTGTGTGTGTGTGTAGTGAGTTATTTTAGAGGTGAAATTAGACATTAATAAACAAAATGAGAATGGTGAAAGAAGAACAGTACATGAGAGGAAGGACATCGACACACCACTCTATTGTGTTTCATATACCGTACTGTAATGTGGTTGAAAGCCTGGACCACTGCTGCTTGTGACCGCTTCCCTTCAATTCAGACCTGTATAGTCCTTTATTTGCTCACTTAGGTTTACTCAACTGTAGTGTACAGTACATATACTTCATTCTTTTTTTTTCGTAAAATAAATTTATTTAGGCTATTTTTTAATATATTTAATAATTTTAAGTGTGTACAGGGTGTATTCCATTGGAGATGTAAACCTATGACACACTTTAACATGTCTATGTGGTAACTTGGGTCCTGGCAGCCTAGTTCATGTTATTGGGTGACTCTACTGTACATCTTCACTTATTTTATTATTTTTTATTGCTATATAACTGTAACATTAACCTTAGCCAATTATAAAACAAAATTGAGAGGTACTGTCCATACTTCACTTTAATGACTAATTGGTACCACAAAAACGGTTGTTAATGTGGTAAGTATAGTTAACATGCTAAATGGGTCAGCCCTCACCCCCTATAACCCCTGTAAACCCCACAAAAAATTACAACCACTTATTCACACTCATTAATACTGCATGTAGAGTTAATAACTAATAATAACTAACCTTGAGATACTCACTGAACTGCTTAACGAGACCCTTTGCTGTCATACGAGGTGGGGGAGTGGTGTTAGTGCCTGGCCGCCCAGAGTGACTATCAACTTGCGCTACCGATCGTTATCAACTTGCACTACTGATCGTTATTGTGTTGAAATGTATCGTTAATGTCTTGAGGTGTTGCATTTCATTACTGTCGTTATTGTGATGAATTGTTACTGTGAAACAAATTAAAGTGAAGTATGTACTGTATTGTACTTTAGTGGCCAGATTCAAGAACAACACAAACTCTTACCTCATTTGCTGTCATTCATTCATAGGAGCTGTGTCATGAAATATTTTCAGTGTTGCTCTAAAAATAACTTTAATGTTTACTGTAACAATTTTATATTTTGACAGAGCCCATGGAAGATTCATTGATGGTGGACTGATCTCCAACAACCCAACTCTTGATGTATTAACAGAAATATCCGAGTATAACACAACATTGACTGCTATGGGGAGAGTCAATGAGATCATTCAACCATCCATTGTAATATCACTAGGAACAGGACGACCACCAGTGTCCAAGGTAACCCACCATTGTATGTGACAGTTTGTGTAATATATTTAGTGCCAGTTTTGCATGCAGTCGGGTACGTCAGCCAATTATCAGTGCAGTATGTAACACAGTACTCTATAAAATGTCTTGGCAGTTACTATAGCATTTATTGGCTATTATATGCAGCTGTAAGGAAGCAGCATTATATGAACAGTTGATTAAGCATATAGTGTGATATATTTTCAGCTTTACTGTATCCATGAAAGCTACCTTATTGTGTTATGTTATACAGGTAGCACCTAAGAATGGTAGTAAATCTCATAATTAAATTCCTTACTTATAACAGAAGAGTATTTCTAAAGAAATAGAGCATTGTCATTTAAGATCAAGATCACTAGACATTGATAATTTCCCCTGAAGCTCTATGTACTTCTAATTTAATCCAATTATTATGAATGCAACTGAATCTAATGTCTGTTTTCTTTGTCCTCTCTAATGTCTGTGTGATTACTTCCGCTGTGTAAATTAAGATATTTTCTCTGCAGCATTTTTTTTTTAAATAGTTCCAACTGAAACTATGGATTCTGTGGAGGAAAATTAATATATTTAGACCCGTACATGTTTTCAATGGTAGTTCTTATATTGCAGAATACTGTATTTTGGGTGGGTTGTAGGTGAATGTTAAGATTGCTCCATGGACAGGAAAACAAATGACTTTCTAAGAGTGGCAAAAACTTGGAGAAATAATTGAAATTTACAGAAAAAGAAAAATAGGATACTTTGGTCATATATTGAAATTAGGGATGAAGAGATAATAACAAACATTAATGGGCAAAGTTGAGGGTAGGAGGACCAGGGGAAGGCAGAGACTGGGGTGGATAAATTAAATTAAAAACTGGGTCCCAAGAGAGATACAAAACTTTACAGGAGTAGTTAAACCAGCCCAAGAACATTGAGAGTGGAGGACTGTGGTTGCCAATCCTCAGATATGAGGACAGTACTCTGATTGATTGAGTTAAGGTAAGGATAGGTTATGTTAAGTTAACTTGGGTAAGTTTAGTTTCAGATACTTTAATTTAAATGAAATGTAGTGTCAATAGATAGTTTTCTTTGCTTATGAACATTTAGGTCCAAATTTATTCGTTGTAGTTTTTTTTTTTGGTAGGGTTAGATTGGGTCTGGTTATACTCTGTTTACAATGGCGTAGATTTGTTGTTACTGAAGGGGTATGACTTCCAAGACTTGTAAATGAAGTACAGTTAACCCTCACTTTACGCGGTTAATGTAACCCGTAGGGTACCGCGGAAAGTGAGAAACGCGTAGAGTGAATAACATAACATATGGGATTAATTGAAATGGAGTCCGGGCCGATCCCCAAACTCCACTTTTTGACGACACACAACTATGTTGTAGTAAAAATTTTATCTTAACTTTATGATGGTATGAAAAAACAAGTAATATAGAAGAGGTTAGGTTAGGAAAAATAAAGGTTAACATAGGAAAAATAAAGGTTAACATAGGAAAAATAAAGGTTAGGTTAGAAAACTAAAACTTAGGTGGAACACTTACGGTAGTAGAAGAGATGGGTCGGCATACGGGGATGGAGGCTGGTTCCGAGGCAGAGGGCAGATTACTGGCCCTCAGGTGAATCACCATTACTAGGTGAATCACCATCACTGTCACTTACAGTTGTCAGGGCTTCCCTGACAAATCCCTCAAAGTCATCTTCACTGTCACTATCACTGGCTTGGGCTGGCTGTGGTGGGTTACGGGCGAAGAAATCTGTTATGCTTTGCTGACGGCTGGCGTTGATGTTGTCGTGATACACCTTGATGTACGGCTCCATAGCCTGCACCAGCCGGGTATGGAAGACTTCATAGCGGTCATCGTCATTGTCGCGGGAAAGGAAGGACTTCATTTTCTCTGCACACTCCATGGCACCCTTAATATCACTATGACTTAAACTGTGTTCTTCGGAGAATGACGCACCTTCTTCCTCCTCTTCACTGACGTGTTCTTCCAACATCTCGTCGGCAGTCACTTCAGGATCTCTGATCACCTCCAGTATGTCGTCGTTGGTGGTCTCGGAGAAGCCTGGAACTGTAACAGTTTGCGCAGCTTCTCTGGCAAGGTCCACTGCTACTGCAACATTCTGAACCTCACCAGTCACAGATTGACTCCTCCTCTCACCTGGTATTCCATGCAACACACGTCTCCATGCGTGACGAATTGTAGCAATAGACAGCTGATCCCATGACTCCACCAAGAAGTCCACAGCTTTCTTGATGTTAAATACTCTCCAGAATTGTTTGAACAGTATTTTTTGATGTTCCAACTGTTGATCCTCATCTTCTTCGCTCTTGCTATCGGTGGTGGTGTCACTCAGGTTACGCAACTCTTCCCTGGTGTTGGTGTAGTCGTTCGGGAGCTGGAATTTTTTTGTTGAGAATGCAGCTTTTACATTGCAAATCAACTCCTGGTCCATGGGCTGTAATATAGACGTAGTGTTGGGAGGAAGGAAGACCACTTTTACGTTGGGGTGACGATCTAACAGTAGGGGTGAGTGTCCTGGTGCGTTGTCCAGCAGCAACAAAATATTGAATGGCACATTCTGTTGCTCACAGAATTTTTTTACATCGGGAACAAAACAGTCATCAAACCAGGAGAGGGACAGTGTAGAGAACATCCACGCCTTACGTGTGGTCAGCCAGTGGACATTTAGCTTGGTCATGTCCATGGTTTTGTAGGCGTGCGGCTTGCATGCTGTGTGGATCACCGATAACTTGAGCTTACAGGTACCGGAGGCATTGGTGGTAAACAGGACGGTGATGCGTTCCTTCTGCATCTTCCGACTCCTTACCTTGCTGGCAGACTGGACAACGAAGGTCTTGGAAGGTAGCTTTTTCCAGAAAAGACCAGATTCGTCCATGTTAAACACCTGGTCGTCAGTGTACTGTCCTTCCTCCATAATCTCACGTAAAAACGGAGGAAATTCCCGAGCCGCAACACGATCAGCACTCGCTTCTTCACCACCAATGTTTATATTGGTGATCTTGTTCCGGATCTTAAACCTCTGTAACCACCCAGAGGAAGCATTAAAGGGTTTGGGCTCTGTAATTCCCATCTTTCGTGCCACTGCGATGTACAGTTCACGTGCGTAGTCCTTAACAGAGCGCGTGTCGACCGCCATGTTCCGTCGCGCCTGACGCACCAAGTACCTCACAAGTAATTTTTCTGTCTTGAGAAGCACCTGGTTGTGAAAATACTTGATCATAGAAGCACCTGTAGACTTTGTGATCTTCATGTGCTCCTTTATCTTGGCTGCATCCTTCTTTATTGTTCGAATCGTAGATTCATTCACACCATGCTGGCGCGCCAAATCAACCTGCCTTGTTCCTTTCTCCAACTCTTGGATGATGGTATACTTCACCTCGTAGCTTAAGGAACGTCGTGTCTTCTTTGGCTTAGTGCCGCTGGGTCCAGGTAAGGAAAGGTTTCTCTCTGGGGGTGGTGGTCCGGCGGAAGCCATTTTACGGAACAATGGATGCACGTTTACACGGAGTGGCCTTGAGGGATGAAACTGCCGCGGCTAGGTCAAGCGTCGTCTTTCCTCCCTCCCTCCCTCCCCCGGGTGGACACGTCATAATACTTTAAGTCAATTACAGCTAGCAGCAGAGGGGGGTAGGGATGCATGGCCAATCACAGGTCTGATACGTCATATGACGTCAGTGATAACGCAACAAAGACACACACTGCGCAACCTTACCGCGCTGCTTGCCCAAGCGGAGGGAGGAGGAGGGAGAGGCGAGGAGCACAGGCAGGTAGGCGGGCGGGTGGGGCGAATCTAAAAATAGCGTCGCGCCGGACACTCTCCACGTAATGGGGTTCACGTACCGCGTAATGTGAGCACGTGAGGTTCTGGCAAGGCACCGCGTTAACGTGGAAACGCGGAATGCGGGACCGCGTAAAGTGAGGGTTAACTGTACAGTACTGTACTGTATATGTTTCTGTGAATATAAATACTATACGTATAATATTCTGTAACTATAAAACAGGATATCTTCAAGCATGTTTATTAGACTTTGAAAATAAGTTACAAAGGTAAGAAGGCATTTATTTATTTATTTTTTAATTTAGTACAATACAACAACAACAAAAATCTGGGTTCTCATTGGATGTCCCTTCAAAATGGTGGAATCAGATAGCCAATGAAAATTCAGAATCTCTGATCGCTCCCCTCGAAATTCAGCTAAAGACACATGTTCCAATAAGTTGGAAGCTTGAACTAAGCTTGGGGAAATTAGAATTGCAATTGTTTTATTAAGAATTACTTTAATTGTACAGGGGGATGATTATATAGGAAATATTCCAACTTGATTATAGAGAGGGATGTGCCCCCCCAGGATCTATGCCCTGACTGTCTAGGTACTGTATATACTGTACCTACACCACCTATTTGTGTTGTATATTGTACCTCTATTGCCTAAACAATATACTGTAGCTGCAGAATTAGTGTAAACTTGTATGATGATTTCTGCTGAATGAATATCTATGTACTGTATCTGTCTTGTAGGTTGATGCCATCGACTGCTTCAGACCTGAGAGTATGTGGAGTAGCGTTCAGATGGCTTTTGGTCTGTCTAATGTTGCTAAGATGCTGATTGACCAGGTATGATTAATTTTTTTTATATAAGTAGTGTTAAATTTTATTTTATGAAAATGCAGTACAGTATACTCTCAGGGTACTACTGTATACTCCCGATTTAACAGAAGGAATTTTTATTTTATTTTTCGCTTGGTTTAGTGAACTAGTTTGCTAAATTAATTCCATTAATACGCTCACACCTACGGAGACACCTCAGACACATGATATGGTTGAACGTCGATATAACACGAGATACTTCGTTCCAAGAGAGGTCGCTTTAAACCAAATTCGCTCTAAATTGAAGTGTTGTTTCAATGGAATAATTTAGTTTGGTACTTGAGAGAAACACAAAATGCTAAAAAGACTGAGAATTTACCCAGATGCACCTCAGCCCATCTCCTAGAATAAACAAAACATTGTTTTCTGTAGTATTATGTTAATACAAACACTCATAAATCAACACTGCTAAAATTAAGGGATGTGAAATGCTCTGCTTACTAGCCATCGGCTGATGTGAGAGGGTGGTCATGCTGGTGCCACTCACCACCCGCATGACTCGTCCAGCACTCGCTTTCCTGTCAACTTATTTTTTAATTACTTTATGCTCTCAAAAATAGATTTTCACTTGACTTTAGTTGGGCAATTCATCCTCTGAAGATGCAGAGGCCAACTCGACCAGCTCATTATCCACATCACTGTCCAAATTGGTGCCCCACACTTGAAGCACCATTTCCTCACTGCCGTGCTTCCAGCACCTTGATTTTCTGCTCCAGTGTAATTGCTTGCCTTGGTTTCTTGGCCTTTGGGGTAGTTAATGATGTAGTAGATGGCCTCTTGGACATATTGGCGATGGTTGATGCACGTAGTAGAAGGAGATAGTGTCACACAAGGTTAAAGACCTAACTTCTGCACCCTACTCATGTTTATCCCCCACTCCCCCCTCACACACACACCACTCAGGAAAAAATGATCATCCAGAAACACATGCACATCAGTTTAACACCCTTCTCCAGCCAAACAACATATTGAACATATCACCACCAGATATCCACACTAGAGACCATTCTTGCTGGAGATATAAGTATTATTCATCTTGCCAGACATTGTGGTGTTATCCCTTCCTAAACCAGTATCACACAATATCCAACTCGTCCAAAATTCAGTCTTTATTGTAGTGTTTTCCCATATTCCACAACTCGCTATAAGCCTGGCACTCACCTGACACACACAATCTTTGACCAGAACTTTCATAAAAAATATTTAGGAGCAACTGGCAGTTGATGTCAAGTACCCGAGGTTCGTTGGCTTTGCACAAATTTGAAGTACTGTACAAGTTCAGTAACAACTAAGGAGGAAAGAGTATGATGGGGCTGTATATCCAGAAAGCAGCAGTGTGCACGGATGAGTGGAAAGCCGGGTGCAGTGTTTTTTTATTTGTGGAATACTGTGCTTGGTATTGGCTATTTCAGTCAGCATTACAAATGGTCCTGGCTAACTTGCGTTATTCGAAAGAGCTTTCAAGGCTAAATGGGGAAAGAATTGTTTATTAAATAATTCCTTATTGCTATTTACAATTTTGAGTTCTTATTGACATGTAAATATTATTTTCTAGATAAACAAAAATTATTGTTAAATGTCAAATTGTTTTGGAATCCTCAGGCAACAATGGCAGACAACCGCACAGTTGACAGGGCCCGTGCTTGGTGTGGGACCTGTGGCATAACATATTTACGTCTGTCTCCTCAACTTTCCTTGGATGTTCAACTGGATGAGACTCGAGATGATGTACTAGTCAATGCACTGTGGGAAACAATGGTGTATATTCGAAGCAGGAAAAGCCGAATTCATCAGGTGGTAGCATTGTTGACAGGTGGCTGCTCTCCCTCCCAGGTGTGAAATAATTACTGTACACAGTAACATGTAATGGATATATATACTCAAACCATAAGCTTTAAAGGACTTAAGTATGGGATGTCCATTTAGAGTCAGTCCAGTGGTCCACAGCCTGTAGTTAGTGGGTGCCTTTGTGAAGCCTGCAAGGATTCATTTGGAGGCTTGAAAAATAATGTAGAATTTGGGATTTTATAACAGACATACACCAAAGTAATTCAAAAGTATCAAATAAAATAGTTATCATATTTTTATTACATTATTATGAGCAGAACTGTATAGCTAATTATATTTTGTTTTTAGTTCATCATAAGACTGCATGATAGAGCAGGAGCATCTAATAAATGTAGTTAGTTTAGCAATTTATAGAAATTTGGACAATAATAAAACATGGTGCCCTCCACTTAATTATATTAATTATATTGGTGCAGAGCTCTTCGGGGATGAGAGATTTCCTGGGAACGATATGACTCTCAAACCCGGAAAAAATCCTACAACCTCGGAATTTTTCCTGGCAATGGGAAAAATCTCAGTCTAAACTAGGCATCTCACGTGGACAGATGTTTTCGCACATCCCTGGCATGCTTCGAGGGCACGAGCAAAAATATTTACGGCTAGCGAAAGTGTCTATAAACTTTTATTCACAGTTTCTGTTCTAATTGATGTAGAGAAATGAATTTGATACCATAATGATCAATGAAAATATTCCCTACAAGACTTTTCCAATAAAAAATCCCTAAACAAAATATTTGAACATGTTATAGTGACGGGGACTTAATATAAAAAAACGTAAGACATTTTGATACCCGAGTATAAAATCAATTCTAATTAAGTTAGAAACACCATTTTTTTTTACCAAAATAATGCTGAGTAGTTTATCTGAAAGTTTGTGTAAATGAATATATTTCCAAACACAAAAAATATTTAAGATACGGGCATGCAATGTGTGAATGAAACTATATCATAGCTGAAACGGGAAAATTTTCAGAAGTTTAAACAACGCATCTCGCACGGAGCTGTGTTTATTTACTGTATGCAAATACAGTACCACTGTACACGTACAATATATTTTAAATAAACAAAATAGTGTTTACTGTATTGTATACTGTACTTGCCCACAGATGCTTCAATCTTGAGTTAGGTCACCCATTGTATATAAACTCTTCTCTCATTTGCAGTGGAGATGGGATGAGGAATTAGGGGTTTCATATAATTGACTTTGTGATGCAATGTCAGGTCACCCATTGTCAGGGTGGGTGATTAGTGGGTCTCATGACTTGAAGAATGATGTCTTGAATAAAGACAAAAGCTAAGGTGCACCAATGTTTCTCACTCACTGAATGAACAGTACAGTACAATATATGTAACTGTAATCACTTTTTACAATTTAGCACTGCATTCTTGGCTCAATGTATCCTGGTACAGTAATATACAGTACTGCAAAACACACATTGCTTGCAAAGACAGCAGCTAATACGGGAACAACCTAGTACAATGGCAGCAGAATATGAACTTAACAATCTAAGCAGCTAGATCACCCAGGGGCCTGGAATGTCAGGATGCATTGGAGCATGATGCAATCTCTCGGAACTCCCTAAAAATTTATTCCTAGACCCGGAACGGAGAGTTTTTTCCTGAAAAATTTCCTACCCAATTTTTATTCCGGCTATTGGAGAGTTTCAGGGATTGGGGGATTCCAACAAATGGGAACATTACTATACAAATAATTGTGGCAGGCAGTTCACAAAGGGTTGAGGATCACTGGACTGTAGACCATGTGTGTTAGTCAGGATAATATAATACAGATGTGTTATTTTGTTTGAAGGAGAAAACCTTTAAAAAAAAAATTTTTATATACTGTAGTGTATGAATGAAATACTCTTAACAGCAGAAGCTAGTCATCATAACTTATTAGTTATGTTAAGTTTAATAAGTTACTTGAATAGGTAATCAGCTCCTATGTTCATGTACACTGAGTATTTTATACCAGGAAATATTAAATTGTAAAATGTTTTTTTTATATTTGCAGCTTATATATTAATTTTATTTAATATTGTGGTGCAGTTGATAGAAACTTCAATGATAAAAGTGACATCTACAAAACTCTTTTTATTTCATTTCGAGGAAATGGTAACTTCAGCAATGGACTTGTTACGTGGAAAACGTAGTTTCATAATGAAAAGGAGAACCAGGGAGAACACGAACATCTTGACTAAGTTGGGTTTCTTTAATTACAAATGTTTCGGAAATTTTTTCCATTATCAGAGCCTAGAAAGCAGACGGTTTTTTAAAAAATTACAGGTAATATACAATAAAAACAGAACATTGTTCTAAATGGTAACTATTCAGCTTTTCTTGGGAGTTCAGCTTAAGTTAGCAATATATATACAGGGGGTATATATATTTGTGTGTGTGGACACGTTTTGGCACCTACCAATCATTGCCCCGCTGCCTTGCGGATTAACCTTGGCAGGTATAAGGCTACAGGAGTAAACCCTGAATGAAGAATCTGGGGTGGAGCCCCGCATCAGGCAGACATGCTTACAGGTGGAATAAGCGGAAGAGGTGACCACCATGGGAACCCAACGACTACACTGGCTGACGAAGGCAATGAATGATGGACAGGCTACTACAGTAAAGCCTCCGATAACGACGGTTCTACCCACGACGATTCATATCTATTACCCTGGTTAATTTAGGACCCAATTCAATTTACGCCATTATTTTCTTCGTATTTACGACAATTATAAAAAAAATTTAAATTTTCATAACTACATCCCGTTATGTATTATATAAAAAAAAAGCCTTGTGCACGGAGGCTGCCGGGCTTGTGAGTGGTGACACCAGCATCACTGGTATAAACAATCGCAGCTGAACGGGAAAAGGAGAAAAACTTTCAGGTTTCTTACAGCATTTTTGTATCCCTATTCAACAAGAGCAAGTGATGGCAGTGCTGGTTCAAAAGCTAATAGAAAGTGTATAAGCCTAGCCAAGAAACTAGATGTGTTAAAACGACATGAAAAAGGTGAGAGGTCTGTGGATATTATATGGAGCAAGCAATGAACATATCTTCTGAAGTGGATCCATTAACAGAATGAAGCATTAAAATTTAAATAAATGCAAATGACCTCTACATAAAGATGTAGAATGAGAAAAGAAAGCAGCTGTGCAAGGTTCTTTCGACAGCTTTATTATTCAATGCCTAAACCATCAACTTCAGCTACACCATCAAATTCAGCATCATAAGCAGCTTCAACAACAACTTCAGATTCAGTAACAGTTTCAGCAACAGCTTTATGGAAACGTACAGCTTCAGCCAGAGTTGAACCTACAGCTTCAGCCAGAGTTGAACCTACAGCTTCATCCAGAGTTGAACCTACAGCTTCATCCAGAGTTGAACCTACAGCTTCAGCCAGAGTTGAACCTACAGCTTCAGCCAGAGTTGAACCTACAGCTTCAGCCAGAGTTGAACCTACAGCTTCAGCCAGAGTTGAACCTACAGCTTCAGCCAGAGTTGAACCTACAGCTTCAGCCAGAGTTGAACCTACAGCTTCAGCCAGAGTTGAACCTACAGCTTCAGCCAGAGTTGAACCTAGCTTCAGCCAGAGTTGAACCTACAGCTTCAGCCAGAGTTGAACCTACAGCTTCAGCCAGAGTTGAACCTACAGCTTCAGCCAGAGTTGAACCTACAGCTTCAGCCAGAGTTGAACCTACAGCTTCATCCAGAGTTGAACCTACAGCTTCAGTCAGAGTTGAACCTACAGCTTCAGCCAGAGTTGAACCTACAGCTTCAGCCAGAGTTGAACCTACAGCTTCAGCCAGAGTTGAACCTGATGACTTCGTCATCTGAGTAAAAACTCGCACATCGTCATTGGCTGTCCTTCTGTCTTAGACTTTACCACCATTGGTGAGTAGAATTTTTGTTTTTCATTCGTAAATATTATTTAAAACATATATGAACAGTAAATAAGTGTTGCTTTCATATTCATATGTAGAGAAATAACGATATGTTTTCATATGTACGCACTTACTGTTCAAACGTTGGCGTTCCCAATCGTCTCGCTTTATTTCTTTACCATTAGTGGTTAGCTACTTCTAGTGTTCCATTTATTAACATTAAATAACATTACTTAAAACATACATGTAGGTACAGTAATATCTCCGCTAATTGGAATCCCTCAAACCCGGAACTCTCTGATAGCCGGAATTGAAATTTTCTTGGAAAATCGTTCCCAAAGCCGGAATTTTTCGGAAAATCCCGGCTTTGGGAACAATTTTCTAAGGGGCACATTTTCCGGAAAATTCAGAGAAAATGTTCCAATTACCCGGAAAATTCCGGGGACGAGGGATATTTTTCCGGGTTCAGGAGATGATGTAATAGGCAATTTCTGGAACTTCCGAGAAAATTTTTCCGTTACCCGAAAAATTCCGGGGATGAGGGATTTTTTCCAGCTTTGGGAGTCGTCTCGTTACCCGGAAATCTGTCATTCCTGGAAGTGCTCTGCACCAATTGTTCTGGCTAATGGGGATATCACTATTAATTTTTTTTTACATTAATATTACTACAACAACAACCACCAGGGTCTTATTTTCTTCAGTTTCAGGTGGATAACGGACATTATGGGTGTAAACACTGACAACAACAATGCCGTCTCTTGTCCTCTTGTGTGTTTTAAAATTCTACGTACAGTGATATCCCCGTTAGCCGGAACAATTGGTGCAGAGCACTTCCGGGATGAGAGATTTCCGGCTAACCAGGCGACTTTCTCAAACCCGAGAAAATTCCTTATCCCCTGAATCTTTTCTGGTTACTGGGAAAGGTTTCCAAATGTCTGAACTAGACATCTTGCACACACGGACACTAGCCCACTTCCCCAGAATGTTTCTGGGTGCTAGGGATGTTTTCCTTGAGTCTAAACTACCGGAGTCCGTAAATACACTTTTAATTCAATTAGAAACTCTGTTTCTTTACTATAATAACCCAGAATAGTTTATCTAAAGGTTTGGTAAAATAAATATACCGGGTATTTGAAAATTAAAAATCTTTGTGATACAGGCATGAGTGAAGTTGTGTGTTACAGCAAAGACTGGTATTTTCCACTCCCATGGAGCTGTGGGGAATGAGTGGGTCTTGTATATAAGTATAAATGAGCAAAGTTGTATCCCTTCAACTTTACATTACTTAACATTTTAAAACAGAGTGAGAAAGGAAAAAGGTGTGGGTGATTAGAGAGATGGAGTGGAAATGAGTGTTGCCAAGCACTCCTCAACAGCTAATATTTAACTCTCAGTAATACACACACAAATTTATCACACAATAAGACCCTCACTCCTTATGTCTGCTGTCTTAATTCCCTTGTTAGGGGTATGTGAGTGGTGTTGGAGTGTGTGGGGGGAGGGGTGGCTGGTTGTTGGAGCGTGCTGTGACTGAAGAGTGTGGGAGTTAACCTTTTTGGGGGGTGAGGGGGGGCAATTTTATCCCCCCCCCTTTCCTCACCCAAGTGTGGCTAATTGTGATAGGGAAATGAATTTGATACCATAATAATCCTTTATAAATTCTTTACGAAACATTTCCAATAAGATATCCTTAAACGAAATATTTCTATATGATATAGTGACGGGAATTTCATCCTCTTATAAAAAACGTAAGAAATTTTTATACCGGAGTCAGTAAAAACATTTCAAATTTTGTTCCACACCAATTTTTTTTCTTCAAAATAATCCTGTATACTTTATCTAAAAGTTTGGTTAAATAAATATATTTAAAAAACAAAAGTTCCATATGATATGGGCGTGAATACAGGGTAGAGCTGTTACTTTTATCCTCTTCACCACTGTCATCTCTACACTTGTAATGAAGGTTGGGTGGGAGATTATTGGGTCAAGTTACTAACCTGACCTGATGCAACATCAGGTCACCCAGTGTGGGGGATTAGTTGGTCTTATGAAGGGTACAGCCCGCTTGTGAAGCCATGTTAGGAATCATTGATCAACTTGTGCTTCTCCAGGTGATTTCAAATAGTTTTAAATTATTGCTTCCAGTAATTTGCCTGCAATTGATGTTAAGCTGATTGGACGGTAGTTGGAGGATCGTGATATATCTCCTTTCTTGAAAATCGGAATTACATTCGCTATCCTCCAGGATTCTGATACTACACCCATTTTTAATGACATGTTGAACAATTTTGCTAAGGGCATACTAAGCTCTTCCTTGCATTCTTTTAATACTCTGGTAAATATCTCATCGGGACCTGGTGAGTAATTAGGCTTTAAATTGTCTATTTGCTTACTAACGTCATTACTAGTCACTACTATCTCGTTTAATCTATTTTCTTCACTATCTCTGTATATAGTCGGTGCCTCGGGTATCATGTTTAAATATTCGGTGGTGAAAACTGTTGAAAAATATTTATTCAGATTATTGCTAATTTTTCCGTCGTTATTGGTTAGCTCGCCAGTATCTGACTGTATTGTTCCAATCTTTTCTCGTGTTTTAGTTTGATACATTTGAAAGAATCCCTTGGGGGTTTGACTTCGCCTCCCTTGCTACCTTCAGTTCATTATTCCTCTGTTTTTCTTATCTCGGTCTTAACCCTTATAATAATCTAGGAGGTAAACTTCACCACGATTAATTCTCCTACCTATAGCCTTCCTTTGTCCAATAATATTCTTTAAATAATTATTTATCCATTTAGGTCATTGTTGTCTGATCTGAGTTTTCTGTTTGGTATGTTCTGCCTTTGTGCATTAAGTAACTCATTATTTAAATTGTTGTGGAACTCGTCAACCCCAGATCTCGTGATCAGGTCATCCTCAACTGTCATATTTTGTGAGGATATTGTTGTCAGGTCTTCAGGTAAAGTGAGGTTGCCCTCTGTGGGTACATTGTGTGAGGTCATGTAATCCATCCCCAAATGTGATACCCCTTCTCTCAGCTGCCTTTTCAACCTATCAAAGTTTGCCCTTCTGAAATCTGGGACTTTCATAGAATTTTCCTTGCATCTCCCACCTTCCCAGGAGGGTGGGAGTGGAGGAGAGCGGGAGAGGAGGAGGGTGGTGAGTCACTGAGACTCTGCGCCGAGCCGAGAGAGGGTGATGTGCCGTAGTAGTCCGTGACGACGCAAAGTGACTTAGTATCGGATCACCGGGACGTTAAACTAATTTTTGGTCTCTAAAGTTTAGCAACGTAGTACCGAAACAACGTTAAGCAGGATGCTGTTAAACGCGGACTTACTGTACGTAAGACTCAGATTCTCTTTCAACCTGCCCCTGGTTCAGCCACACCTCCACCATCTATCCAGCTTAACGGTACTACCCTCACTAATGTTACCCAATTTCGGTATCTCGGCTTCCACCTGTCCACTACCGTGGATATCGAAGAAGAGATTCAGCAACGGATCAGATGTGCATCTCAAGCCTTTGGCAGACTCCGAAACCATGTCTCCAGCTGTAGGGAGCTGAAATTATCTTCAAAGTTGCACATATATCAAGCAGTGGTCCTCCCCACCCTGCTATATGGCAGTGAGACATGGGTCACATACAGGAGGCACATCAAGGCGCTTGAAAACTTTCACCAATGTATTCTGCGCTCTATCCTCCGAGTTCACTGGGAATTTAAGGGAACAAATGCCAGTATTCTTGCTGACACCAACTGTAGAAGCATCGACACTACCATTATCCACGAACAACTACACTGGACTGGCCATGTTACCCGCATGGACGACAGTAGACTGCCAAAGCAGCTACATTACAGTCACCTAACGAAAAGTAAATGTAATGCTGGCGGTCAACTGAAGTGGTACAAGGATAGTCTTAAGACAAATCTGAAAAAGTGCTAAATCAACCCCCTCACATGGCAGACAATTACTCCACACCGTAACGCTTGGAGGAGCACCATACAAGAAGGTGTCAATACTTTCGAGTTAAACTGACTGCATAACGAGGCAGACAAGCGCCAACGTCGGAAAGACGCTGCCCCCTCACTAGATGTAGCCCCCCCTCCATATGCAACTTCTGTGATCGACCCTGCCAGTCCTGTATCTGCCCCTTTAGTCACCCCAGAACTCACCAACCTAGGTGACACCCTTAATAACTCATATAATTTTATCATAGCTGGATGATCGTCATACTTAATTCTGAGTGATAGCAATGTAGTAGTAGTAGTAGTAGTGTGTGGAGTTTTTGTAATGGGAGGTTTTCCATTAAATAAATTAGAACTGAACACACCCACATTCTTTTTGAGGAAAAAGAGAAAGTGGAGTATTGTTTCCTCTCCTCAGAACCTTCAAATGATCAGGCTCCTCGCTTACCCAACCTCAGATAAGCAGGATATATGGCAGAGGAAGTGGAAGCTCAGTCTGGGTGAGTAAATATTTGTCATTTGGGAACTGAACCCATTTTCTCTGTATGTTATGTTATCTTTGATACAAAAATTCACCTAATGAATGGTTTTCAAGGAAACTAACCTGTTTGTAAAGTGAGGGTTACCTGTATATGTACCTAACAGAGTTGAGAAAGTGGTGTGTATGGTGCAGTGGGGTGAGGCTGGCAGTACAAGTACACAACACTGATTATAGGCAGTACTGTATGAGGTACAGGACACTTGTTTTCTTAAGTTAGTTTACTATTTACAATTATTATTGCCTCTAGTAATTGATCACAAATCTACACTTGTGCTTGGGGGATGGAGGTGTAGAAATGCATGGTGGCGTGGGGGTCAAAGGGTGAGATCACAAATATTGAAACGCTACTGAGAAGGCGAGTGAGTGAAAGATAAATGCCTGCATGGAGATTCAAACTGTACCACAAAATTACAATATGTCATATGACTCGAACCAGAGCCATGTAAGCACAAGTCATGATGTGAACCAAACTCTGGGGTTAAGCCTAGGTCTTTAATTAGCATATAACAATGGCAACGTGCATAGCCATCTCACAAGCCACAACTGATTGGCAACACTTCTTTTGGATTGGATGAAATGAAAACAAATAACATTAATAGACAACAATATTTAAACACTATCCAATAAATAATAAATATGTACAGTATATGGAAGAGCACATACCTTTAACAATCTTGATATCGAAGTGAAGAAGTTGCAGTAATGATCTACATGTCCACAGTACAAGCATCCCTTGCTTTACAAAACCTTTACCGTACCCTCTTGATCTGCACATGGTCATCAGTTGAGATATACAAGTACAGTATGCGATACACTCGAGGTAATATTGTCTTTGAATTTTATGATACCAGTAACCCTTGAGAGATCAATGCATCAGTTCTGGTGTAGTTAAAAATATTGTTTCACACTCCACCTTGGTAGTGTTGTAGTCCTTATGCTTGATTGAGACTTGAAAGACTGGATTCATTGGTAGTAGTAAAGAGTAAGTGAAAATACAGATGCTTGATATGAATAGAAGATAAGAAGGAAGTTTGATTGAATTTTGTCCAGTAATGACAAGGACTCCTATTCACACAAAATAGTATTTTAAGTGGTGGATATTTGGGGCATTGTTATGGAAGGATCATCATATGAGAACACATTTAATACAGCAATAAGAATGAAGGGGGAATGTGAGTGTATATTTATTCTTGATTCTCATCACCTTGCATTATAGCAAAAAAAGTATGAAAGAATTAGAGAATAAAATATAAAGGCACACTGAGCTGCTGTAAAACAGTTAGCCATACAAGTTATAAGAAATTTCATGTTTAAAATGAATACACTAAAACACCTTTATATATATATATGTTTAGTACAATTTTATTAAATCATGATCAACTTAATGTTGATGTAACAAGAAGATAACTGCACCTACAGACAGCACCTGCTCACTACTGCACCTAACTTGTATCACCATCTAACAGGTGGTGAATAGAGACTCGAGTCTGGGATCAAGTACAAAATTCTCACTTCTAATATACATAATAAAATTACAAATGTACAATTTTATATTCTCCCATGCACTCAAACAGTATCACTCATAAGACAAGGGCAATGCAGTTCTCAACAATAAACATGTCAACAGAATAATTTAAGTTTTCCATATAGAGATGCTAAGAAAAAGCCTCCACTCACTTGGGTCCATAGCAGCTTATAGACTTCTTTTAATGAGAAATAAGATAATAGTAATAAAATTATTAATGTCTTCTTTACCAGTGGTTTAAAACAAAACAAAAAATATGATTCACATAACTAGAAGCTTTCTTCTAGGAATTTTCAAAATATGTTGAGGCAGTGCTTAAACACCCTTACCATAACTCCATACATGACTATTCCATTGTATCTAAATTTTTTGACATTTTAAACTTTTTCCACAAGGCAACTAAATAGAATAACTAACTAGATTTAAAATTATCATAATCTTTATCAATGTTTTTTTGGTTTTTTTACACAATTGTCAATTCCCGGGAATATGTAATTTATCATACCTGGTGGCTGCATGACCTTAAATTTATCTAATTTAATTATCTTACAATTACTGTATAGGTTTGAGAGGCACATCAATTTGTTCTTATTTATGGGTTTTAATTAATATATTGTACAGTTGCTTACATTATGATTCCTAAAATTGTCTTCATAATTTTATAAAGTTAAAAGAAATGATATTCATATTTATATCATTCCAAACAATGTCAATAACTTTTATAACTTGTGAGCTGATTATCATTACTGTACTAGCTGAATGTTCATTAAATTTTTTATATTTGTAAGGTTAAGTTCAAAACCGTGTAAAGTTATGACACTATCTCTTGAAAGGATGACATTTAAAGTTATAAATAGTAGGCACTCACCAACTACCAAGTGTTATTGGAGCGGTCAGTGGAAGCACATCCCATGTAATTTTAACTGAAGCATTTGAAGAATAAAATAAATGTTGAAGAACCATAACAGACCTAAAGTTTTACATTTGCTAAAAGAATCAACATTCACTATACACTTGACTCTTACATGTTGCTGCTAACATTCATTCTTTCATCGATCATTTGGGCCCAGGGGTGTAGAAGTCTTCTTACCTGACGAGAACAAACGTAAATTTTAACAAATAAATGATCTTGAAAAGTGTGACGGTTATGGAAATAATGTAAATCATCAAAATTATACCAAAAATTATCATAAGTTACCTCTTCCCACCCTTGTACTCCCTCATAGCTTTATAATTCTCTACAAAAAAAATCGAGCTCAATAAGATGGGCAGCTAAAGTATTACACTCAAGATTCTCTTCTATTAGAATAAAAAAAAATTTTGGAAAATCCCCCAAAATTTTCATCTGGGTGACCATCCAAATTTTCAGGTGATTGCCAAATGTGGGGAATTACAAGTGTGTACTGTTCTTTTGTAAGCTCAATTGTGACACACAGTAAATACAAGCAAAATACTGTAGTTATCATTATGTAGTGTACAGATTTATAATAGGTGCTCCTCTACTTACGAACATTCAATTTACAAACTTCAGAGATAAGAACAAATTTGTCCATATGTAAGCTCTTTTATCCTGGGATTGCCTACCATACCTCTAATTCTTTCTTGTGTTACTATATGCAGAACCTCATTCACTATACTGTATATGCTGCTTTAAATCTACTCATACCTGATGCAAATGAAGATTTACAGATAATTTTCTTTTCATTCCATCTGTTAACATCACTGGTGGCTTTGTTGCCAAGTTAAACTCGTCATTGTAGCGACATCCCCCTAGCCCTCTCACAGCAGAATGTCAATTTAAAGCGATTCAATTTAAGATTATTGGTTTAAAGTGACACCCACAATTAAGGACAATGTTTTAATTTAAAGCGAATCTTTCCTATTTTGCGCGAGTCAATCCGGCGCGTCCTGTTTCCCACCAGACGCGTCTCTGGGAACACTACACTGCTGCCTGCCACCCTCTCGCATCCTCAGTTCTCGCACTGACGCTTTAGTGAATGGACATATTGTGTGACACTATCTCCTACCACGTGCATCAACCATCGCCACTATGTCCAAGAGGCCAGCTACTACATCATTAACTACCCCAAAGGCCAAGAAATCAAGGCAAGCAATTACACTGGAGCAGAAAAACAAGATGCTGGAAGCACTGCAGCGTGGAAATGGTGTTTCCCGCATGTCAGATGCATCCACACCACTAAACAGTGATATATATATACACTGTACTTTAACATCCAATTACTGCACAGGTATAAATCTGTCTGATCAAGGTTTCAACTATAAAGTAGTATAAATTAATGGACGATAAACTTAAAAGTATTTAGTCATGACAATTTCTTATTTTACCATAAAGGTTGCAGATTGAATGACCGGGCTTGTTCATGGAAGCAAGAAAAACTAGTCAAATGAGTTTATCATCAGCTTTTTGAACATAAATTACATATGAAGAAAGGTTTAGTACTTCACAAATGCTTTAGGAATACTGTACTGATAATTTGAATGGGTAAACTAAAGGACTATCACCGAGCTTTTTGATATTCATTATGCTAACTACAGTATCAATACAATATTAAGTTTTTAGCTTTAATGCACTAAAATAGCATCAGTATTCAATCCAACTTCGCCAAATACTATACAAATACTAAAAAAAGGATTAATCCTGAAATCCCATTTTATGACCATGTTCTGTGAGCATCCTTCAAGGGTTCTGCAAAATTCAATAATAATAATAAAACTGTTAACTTGAGTTTGGCTTTAACATAAAAATGCTGATTTTATGTTACTTAGATGTAATTTAGTTGTCATTTTGCCTGAGAAGGGAAAGACTAGATGGAAATGATAGTGGTTTGGAACGACCGCTCTAGAGTATTAAGACAATACCTACAGTAATTTCAAGGGTTAAAAATCATGGTTAATCCTCAAATAGTATTAGATGGGATCAATTCCTTCATTATATCTTTCCATTACAGTCAAATCCCTGAAAAAGGAACTTCAGGAAATGAGTCAACATTTAAGGATGAAGGTGATGAGATGTGATGCTACATTGGCATGTGCACACAGTAGCTGTCAATTGACCCACCCAAATGTGGTAACTTCACACCTCAATCTCTCGGTTTTAACTACTATACCGGGTGGTGGTGTAGGATATCCAAGTTGCTTAATCCACATTCAATCATAAACGATGGAATGATCTTGAAATCCTATTTTCTAACAAAACCAGTAGCCAGGTGGCTCTAACAAAGTTGTAGACCTAAATGGGAGTTTGTAATGTTAGTTTCCTTCAGCTCTACTTTTACAGAATATAAGACAGTTATCATCCACACCCCTAGTAGGGTGAATATCATATTAGCATTAGGAGCATATAAAAAGTGCTATACTGTACCTCCCATCTAGTTGGCTTCAGCTATGCGAGTCACTTGGCAGAAGCCTTCTGACCATAAGTGAAGAATCCTAAAAATCCCATTTTACGGCCAAGCCTGACTAAGTGACCCAGTTAACAACTTTTCTTATAATGGGTAGTGTGGAAGTTGGCTTGAACTTGAGAACTGAGCATGAATTACAATTTGGACAACCCAGTTGACAGGTGGAGTGGAAACATTTCAGTATTGTCATAATTGCCTTACTGTATATCTTAAATGGGGACTCACTTATCCTTTAAGGACTTGGTTATGATGGGAACACATAACCAAACTAAAGAATTGGTCCCAGTCACTAGTTAGTCTATGGTTACACCTCCACTTCTTGAGTGCTATAATGAGTAAGTCGTTAAATAATAGATTTTAACGTAATATGAGATTTCAAGATCAATTCTTCATTTATACTCTTCAGGAAGAGAAGAATGGGTTTTAGGCCAGCTGGTAATGGTAATCTAGCAGTTACAGTACAGTATTAATAAGTGATGTGAATTTCTTGTCAAACCTGGAATACAATGTTGGCCATAGTTTTATGATGTGTCAGAGTGATCAAGTTCTGAAACAGGAGTAACTGGCTGCCCATTCTCTACACTCTTCCAGAAGTTTCGAAGTTTATTAAAATTTCTATTCCCTGGTTTTAGCAGCATGCAGAGAAAAATAAATTAAACATTAAATACAAAAATAAAATAAAAACAATAGAAAACATCTCTTGGTGTGTGCTCCTGAAATTTCCTGTCTCCCAAATTTAAAACTGCTGCAGGTAAACCATCATGCCAAGGAAATTCCTTGAACAGGGTTCAGACCACACACAAAAATTAAGAGCTTAATGTACACGAATTTACTTAAGCATACCTTTAATGTGAGGTGGACGTAACCTGGGGTCGTCGTTGTTATAATCAGGTTGATCAAAATAGTGCTGAGGAGAAGTCCTGTGTCGTATGTAACCATCGGGTGACCTGGTGGAGAAGTGTCTGTCGGGTGATCTCCTATCTAACCTACGATCTGGGGTGCGCCGATTGGTGTGATGATCTGGAGACGATCTCATTCTGTCTGATCGTCGATCCGGCGATCTCGTTCGATCACACCTTCTATCGGGGGAACGGTTACGATGTAACTCGGGGGATGGCAGTCTATGACGAAGAGGTGGAGAAAAGCGACGTTCAGAGAAATGAGAGCGATCACTCACAGGTGAGTAACGGTCATGACGGTGATCATAAGTTGGAGACCCAGACCGTCTGAATGGAGGCGATGACATTCCACCAGCGGGAGGTAAACGACGATCCCCAGGCAGAGGAGGTAAGGGTCCCATGAAAGGAGGTTCGCCAGCAAGGAATGGATGTGGGGGTAAGCCATGAGGTGGCGGAACACCGTGAGGTAAACCAGGAGGCGGGTGGACTCCAGGAGGTAATCCATGTGGTGGTGGCACTCCGGGAGGCAGCGGCCCACCTGGTGGAAACATCATTGGGAGAATGGGTGGGGGCCCATGTAAAGGATGTGGAGGAACAGGTGGAGAGTCTACATCACGGTGAAGGGATGTTAAACCAGAGTGATCCCCATCCACCACACCATCCAGGATGAGCCCAGGAGAGGACAAGCTTCCATTAGCATCTATACCTGCCAAAAATAACCTTTATGTATTACTTGGAACTACTCTAAAATAGATAAGGCAAGTAAATAGAGCTTTATGATAAATTTATCAATTAGTAACAAGGTCTAACCTATAATCATAAAAAAAAATTCTAAAAGCACAAGATTTAGAAACAAAGGCAAATTAAATGTATTTACTGAACATTTACAAGATAATGCAGAAAGATTTGCAGCAAAATAATAAATACGCCATATTCACAGTTTGTGACACTAAGGAAGGACAAGAAAGTGATTTTTTTCAACATGGAATTGACTAAAATGGAAATGCTGATACAGTAGCAAAGTTGTTCTCAACTACTATTACTAATATACAATTATTACCAACTATAATAATATGAAGCCTTAATTTTACCCTTAAAGAACTCCTGATTAATTCAGGCAGTTTCTACACATGAAGACACATACATTGATCACTAACACTAAGCTGGTTAATAATCTCTTGGTCTTATAACTCTTTCAATACTTCAGTTTTGTTGTAATATTAGTTGTGTTTATATATTCTCTGCACACCTACATAGTGGAGAGCTATCTTTGTCAACTCTTTTTCTACACAGTGCTGAGAGAGACAAATAACTTATAATATTTATTACCTATGCAGTATATTATAAATACCTAACTATTACTCATAACATATTAGCTGCTTAGGCCAGCTTGACATCCCATCTGGCCCACAAACAAGAAGGTCGTAAACCCATCTTCTTGTATACAGAAAACAAGACTGAGGTTTGAATGTGCAGGAATGTAAGCAAAATTCTAAGAAAACTGAATGACAGAAACCTGGATGTTTTAGTTTTGTAATAAATAAATGAAAGACAAAGAGGCAAGACAAGGAAAAGTGAGGGAACTACATACATACATAAGTCTCTGAAAGAATAAAAGTAACAGAAGACATACAGTTATGTTTAGGTATATTAGCAATATTGAGCTGCATTGTGGAAAATTTGTTCACTAACAATAAAAAATGGGAACTCCATACCTCGTGTAGGCATCTGCCATATTCACCGCCTGAAGTTTCCAAGGTAAAAACTCAAGACAAATATCCTCCTCAAATTTCATAAAAAAAAGTAACCTCACTAAAGCTGTTAACACGTGCTTCCCACTGCAGTATCTGTCTACACTTTAGAGAGATTTCCCTCTTGTCTCTAGAGAGCAGATCTCCCTTGGATGATAAAGAATTATCAGCCAGAAGCACAAATGACTTATTCCTAGTGTATTGGTGATCTAACCTTAGAGAAAGTATCTACAGGTACACCTTTACTTCTCCCTATTCACTAGTACTCTGACTATGGTAGTTTGTCACTCACTCTTATGTACAGTCTATCAAAAAGATATCTGTACTTGAAAGTCGATGAATTTCAAAATGAATACTACGCCTCTTGTCTTGGTAGGGTTGTCAAAATCCTTCACCCTTTGTCATATTGTCCAACACAATTTAGTAAGAATAGTTTTTGATCGACAGCACTTCTTTAATTGTCCTCAGAAACTGGTCCCCAAAACAGGAGACAGAACACTAATTATAGTTTCTACATTACAGTAGTCCTGAAAGCTTAGAGAAGATTTTCTTTACTATTTCAACCTCCAAGGAATTATCTTTAATTATTAATGAGCTTTTCTTAGATTGAAAGTACAGTGGTCCCTCGGTTTACGAATTAACTTAAATAAGAATCTTCAATTAGGTTAACGAACAAAAATTCGTGTAACGAAATTCTTATGAAAACACGTCAACATGTTTTGGATTGCTCACCAACTGGAAGATTAGTCTGCCAATACATTAATCGGTTCTAAGGCTTATACTCGTTTCCATTGGAGTAAATATCAAGAAGATTGTATTATTCAATATTTTTCCAAATTTCATATTAAAATTATTAGTCGTTTTAACACTTATTTAACATAATTGCAGTACAGGGAACTAGTTTTTGGTGTGCCCATCAGCCACTTCACTCACCCACCAAGGCGTCAGTTTGTGTCTCTGTTCAGTGGAGGAAACATCTTGCTTGTGGGTCACTTGAACACAGAGTATTTTTACAATACAATTATTGGTCATTCTGAAATTTATTTAACATATTGACAATATATAGTGTAGTGCAGTGTTGATTTAAAGAAAATAATCTTGAATTACACCTTGTGAATTTTATTGGTGAAATGACGGCATCAAGCATGGGGTGATTTCTCTTCCACCCCCACTTCCTTCTCTTCTCCCTTCTCCTCCACCCCCACTTCTAATTCCCATCATCATCATCAACCAGGAGCCTTCTACATACACACCTCAAAGTAAGTGTACTTTACTGCATTTTTTTTTTACTTTGTATGTACTTTTTGGTGAGCTGGAACCAATTACCCAATATCCCAATGAAACAATGGATTCAGTTAACGAACGGCCTTCTGGAACGAATTGTGTTCATTAACCGAGGGACCACTGTATTAGTAACCCTAACTTCTAGATAGGCATACTGTACTGTATACCAAAAGATATCCTATAGGTGAAAAATGGTCTTTATCACCTCTCCTTAATGCTGATACTGTAGTCCTAAAGTAACATCAGTTGTTCCTAAACTTAATGAAACAATATCCATAATTACTCTCTAACTTCTCACAAGATTTTGGAGTGTGAAAAAAACCTACTTGACCTCATAAGCTGATGTCCATCCCTCTCACCTTTGGTGCATCTTTCTTGTCTTGCCAACTTCCCTCCACTAATACATTATTCTTATCTCCCAATATGTATGTCCATACTACCTTCACACACCCTGACCAGGTTCTCTGTTGAAAATTTTCAACTTAAGAGTCACAAAAATACTCACGTTTAGGTGTTGGTTTGATGATATTGACTTGCAACTGCTGTGCCTCCTTCTCCTTCTGCAGAAGCGTCAGACGGTTACGAAGCTGACTGTTCTCTTGCCTTTGTTCCTCATGTTTGCGTTCAGCAGTTCGAGCTTGTAACTGAGGAATAATGTTGTTATACAATGTGCTCCATCCACTGTTATAATTTATGACAACTTTAATGATACATGATAGTATATGTGGCACTGTAGCTGAGAAGTAGACAAGCTAATAAATATAAGTAAATTAATAAATATCATGCAGTTAAAAGTTTTGTCATTCTGAAATAAGTGCAGAAGAGTTATGATTTTTTAATGACTTGATTCATCGCCAGTATAGTAGCTACAATACTCCCGTTATTTTGAATTTTTGCGGGTCAGTGCAATAGTTTACTTCGCAAGCTGGGCACAGTTTCACTTAGATGGAGAACAACAAACGTTAATCATGAACTACTTCAGACCATCTTCACCTGTTTCAGGCGAGTCTAAAATTCTCCACATTTTTATTGTTAGCTTTAGAGCTAACAATAAAAATTACAGCTGAAGTCCAATTATCCCAGTAAAGGTAATGAGGGGACACCACTGCCGTAGATACATCAGCTAAATGACCATTGAGGAATAACAAAGTAAATAATTCATAAGACACAACTTTTTCTCAATTCAACATTAATTCCATCATTTCTGGTTTTTTTTTGTTTTTTGAATGAATTATAACCTTCCCTGAGTGTGAACAGCCGTTTCCTGAACTGTAGTTGTTGCCGAGTGACCCCACCTCTCCATACATGGCCTGACACAGTTAAGGTGATCCCTGGTTTTTCTGTTCCCACAATGACCTGCTAAGAAAGCCCAGGCACTTGTTCCAGTCTCAGTGACATCACAGCTTATTCTATTCTCACAATGATCTGAACTGAAAATCTGTATAAAAGCTCCTACTGGTTGCTGCATAATCATAGTTGTGCTACAAACTGAAGTGAAAAAATATCAACATGAATAAGAAGCAAGGAAAATTGACCAGGTGAAGGAAAAATGCAATTAGACTGAGACAAGTTATTTGTGAATTGTTACACAATAAATTTGAGCATTTAAAAATGTTAATGGAACTATTCCCATAAAAAACCAAGGAAGCAAATTTCATCCAAATTTTGTGAAGGCAAGAAAAAAATTCTGGGCAAGTAAATTTCAAGTCACTTGAGCGGAACAAGCTAATATTGCACATAATCTGCTCAGCCCGGCTTCATCCTACTTTAGGTAAGTTGAAAATTCTTCAAATAAAATGTGTGAAGCAAAAAGTATGAACCAGATTTAGGCCTTGGATATGAAAGGGGGCTATTGAAGAGTAATGTATCTTACAACATTAAGAATGATAAGAAATGAAGGAAAAATGTGTGGTTTGCTGCTTTTCCAGCCACTCTGTTTTACTTGGTAGAAGGCTTAAAAGAAAATGTTTATTCTAATTCAGAAAATAAGCCAATATACTCTCATAGTAGTTATATGTGTTAGTATAATAACTCCTAATAGTACTCTGTCTACTCAACAACATAAAGTCTCAGGTGGACTCCACAGTATTTCAGATAAGATTAAGGTTTGTTCACTCACCCAGTTCTCATGAGCCTTTTGCTCTTGGCTGGCAATCTGGACCTTGTAAGAGTTCTCCTGATCCTCTAATTCCTTACGTAAGCTGTCAACTTGAGTCCTGAAAATTCAAATTTCAATTTCAGAAGAAAAAAAATACAAAATTTGACTAATAAATAAATTAATCCCTAATTTAAATTAAGAAAAATACATTGTGTATATATATATATATATATATATATATATATATATATATATATATATATATATATATATATATATATATATATATATATATATATATATATATATATATATATATATATATATATATATATATATATATATATATATATATATATATATATATATATATATATATATATATATATATATATATATATATATATATATATATATATATATATATATATTGTACAGTCCAAGCAAGTAATACAAAATAAACAGTTTTATGACATCTTCACACCCCAAGAGAGGAGGAAGGGTCTTAGTCACTCTTGTATCTTGAGCCAGCTAGTACACAAGAGAAGAAAGACACAAGACCAAGCATTAGAGCAACTCACTCTTATACCCCAAGAAACAGGTTAAAGACCAACTGACATCAAAGTCCAGGCCCTCAAGTGTCACACACAGTCCAACTTTTGAGGTAGTTTTGTCTATACTCTATATCTACAGACTGAACACCTTTTCTGATCCCAAACTCCTTTTATATAGAATATCTTGAGGGGAGGCCAGGGAAGACAACTCTCCTCTAGATTCCAAGCTGAAACCAAGAAAAACTCCTAGCCCTTAAGTGGCAAGTTATTAAGGTGTCTCTCACCTAGCAAGTATTATTCTTACCCATAATCCAATTGCACAACTTCTGCATTGTTACTGAATTTCTGGAATACACTCCCAGTCAAATCATTTAAAGTGTTCCTGACGAGTTAACTCACACACTTGTTGATTAGTTGCCTGACCCATTGCGTCAATTATAAAACCAATTCTCGGGTTTCAAAATGTGAGCACAAAAAATTATTTAAAACTACAATACAGAAGAAAAGAAATTAAATTCAACAAAGGATATACACAATTACAACATGAGGTAATCTACAGTTGTACAACTGTACTGTCATGGTAGCCTCTAAGATAAACTATTGTACTATACACTCGTAGGTAAATACAGTACTCTCAAATTAACAACTCCGTACACTGAATCTCAAAATGAAATACTGCATATACATGTATGAACGAGTCATTGTATAAAGGGAAACTGTGTGTATGTGCTGTAGATGTATGATGCCGTCAGCATGTAAGACTGAAAGCTGCTGACCAATCTACAATACACTCCCTATTATACTAATCCCAATACTTTTCTATTATTTCAAAGCAACAACCAAGATATTTACTTCTTTGGTCCGGTCTTGGATATGTGACTCAAAACAGGAATCCTGAAAGATGGAGTTTTGAGTGTTTCTTTCTTCTTAAGCACAGGTTTAGATTTGGGTAAACTCTGTATTTCTGAATCCAAGGTCATCAGTTTTTCTTTCTTGATAACTTGATGACCTGTCTTGTACATACTTCTCATTGCTGCAGCCGAGCTCTTGACGTCATCAGAGGCGGTCGTCTCTTGTAAATCCTCACCCATACTATCAGAAAGATTTAGATCACCTCTCTGAAGATGAATGTTGGCAATCTCAAGCCCACAATCTGACCTACTGGCTTCCTTGTTGATAATAAGATTTGGAGTATGAGACACAGGAACATTACTTGAAGGTTGGCTGTGTAAAGGATTGTGTGTTATAATAGGTGATGGTGCTTCAACTTGATGAGCAGAATAAACTGGGCAGGGTGTCGGGGCTACACTGAGTGAAGAAGGTCGAGCAGGATACACAGGTTCATGTGTGACACTCTTTTGAAAAATATTTTGTGAATGGACTTTAGACATTTTTATTAGTTGCCGATTAAGAGGCGACTCAGTTGAACGTGTAGACGATTCACTCGGACAATGCGGAAAATCAGAAGAATGATGAGATGAGTCGGATGACTGGAGATTAGAGGCCGTGGAAGTAGTAAAGGCTTTATCAATTTTATCCGAGCGGTCAGTTGATGAAGCCGAAGACTTCCTCCGTTTTAACTCTGCTTTGGCCCTAACCCATTCAACTTTATATTCATCAGACATTGGAACATTCCCTGTGGTAGGCGAAAGATCTGAAAGGCTGACGTGCTCAGGCATTGGAGGAACTTTTCTTGATTTAACACCAGCAAGACCTACATGCCTTTTAATTCTCCTTCAGAATGCATGAAAACAAGTTTTATTATTTTAATGTCATGCAATGTAAATTATAAAATTTCTATACAGTATCTCACTGACTGAGAGGGAACAGATGCAGTGAACTTCCAAAGAAATAAAGGCATACAGTATAGTGTAATGAAAAGAACAAAATGTTCGATATTCTTCCAATTTACATCAAGATCAAATAAATCCACACAGCTACATAACCTCAATTTATTCCATAACAAATTTCAACTGTTCAAAGATATTTTCCCGGTGAGACTTTCTTCCTACCTTACACCTGACTAACAAGGCATCACCAAATGTACTGTACCTGGTGGTGAACCCTGACATAACACATAGCTACTAGAAATAAACATCATAGTTCAACATAATTAAAATCTCAGATCACCATTTCTAATATAAAACTTTATTCAGACTAATAAAATTCATAAATAAATAAACATAAAAACAGTATTAATTGGTTAAAATAAGATATCACTCACTTGTAAGATGCTAACTCCAGTCCATAGTTCTGAATCTTCTTAGAAACTGATGCAGCCGAACCTTCAGCATTTAATCTTAACCCTTCTTGTGATTCCAGTTCCCTGAGATATCCATAAATGTGTTAAGACTTTTGAAGTAAGAAGTTAACAGTTATTATACTGACTGTCTCATCAAGTGTGTGCTTCAAGTCTTTAATTAATCTCAATATCTGTCTTAACCCATTCCTATGAAATTGAGAGCTGAAGCAACCTTCTGCCACACTTCATGGAAAAAAGTCTTTGTTCTATGCTACAGTTATTCTAGATATGCTTTGTCTTCACCTTACATTAACTTATTTTCACCTAGTGTTTTGAAATAAGTACATAACTATTGTAAAACCAAAATCAATTACAGGGGATTCCTGGGTTACGAACACATGCTACGTGCATACCGTACTTAAAGAACAAGGTTTAAATCCCACTATATCATAACCCAAGTCCTTATATACATCTAAAATCACTTAATTAAAGAGAATAGAAGAAATATAATGACAAAATACAGTAAATGAAAGTAAAAAAATAAGTTATCAGGTAATCAAATTACTGTAATTTCAAGTTTAACCTCATTCGCAAGTCGGACGTTTCTAAGTCGGGGACCCCCTGTACATGTAAAACACTGAATTACTGGGAAAAAACTCAATTGAATCAAATGCACCTCAAATCAACATCCTCATTTTACAGTCATTATCCACGTTTGTGAGAGTTGGCCACAGTTCTTCATGCTGCACAGTCTCTTGTCAAATGACCAACATAAACAAAAGACAGATCATAAAATACCACTTTAAGGCTGAGCCCAGAACTAAGCAACAGGTATATAATTTAATAAGTCAATGAAGTTGTGTAAACCTTCAACATTAGTGGCTGTATGTTCTCACTCTATCCACAATTCTAATAAGAGAGATATTAGAAACAATTCTCACCACTTAAGGTTGGATGCCTAACAAGTTAAAGCATCACACTAGCAAGGGCATTATCCAGGCATTATCATCATCAATGCCTCATGGCAATTGTCCATGTTTGCCTGGGTTAGCCATGATTATCTGATGACAACTCTCCTGGCTGGATGATCTCTCTAGTCAGGCACTTACCCCACAGATCATTGCTCATAACCTCTATAGTCAGGCACTTACCCCACAGATCATTGCTCATAACCTCTCTAGTCAGGCATTTACCCATCAGATCATTCCTCATAACCTCTCTAGTCAGGCACTTACCCATCAGATCATTCCTCATAACCTCTATAGTCAGGCACTTACCCATCAGATCATTCCTCATAACCTCTCTAGTCAGGCACTTACCCATGAGATCATTCCTCATAACCTCACCTCATATCATTCTTGGTTTATTTTCCCCCATTCATCTCTTGACCCTACAGTTCTCCATTCTCAAACCATCTTAGCCTGTCTCTATGCAAAACCTTAAGAATGCTTTCAATAACCAGTCACCCTCTCAACTCTACACAGGCTTCATCATCTGTCAACATCATATTGCACATCCACCTCAATATGTGCATTTACAGGGGCTCATCAGGTTTTATGCAGTGTGGCAGCCCTGTGTTTGTTTACATTCGACAGAAGGAAACTCGCAATAGTAAACATACTATGGAATCAAAGTAAAACAATTATCTCAATGTAATGATTTGTGGAATGTTTATATGATGAGCCCCTGTAAATGCACTAGTGAAGGGGACTGTACATGTTGGAGTCCAGGTATTTTAGAACATCAATGAATAAAAGATATGGTCCTGACTTTTTCCTCCTGAATTATCAACCTATGAACAGGAAACATTTGAGAGCTATTTTGTATATCTATATAAACTAATGTGATCTTCCAAGACCCATTCATAACTCTAATGATGCTGTTGCAATATATTCACTATTAGTATTTTAATTTTTTTCATCCATAACTTTCTGGAACTCACAAACAATTCACCATAATCCCATAAAAGTAAATACATTTCTGATAGCATTATACAACACAAATATTTAATTATTTACCCTTCTTAATTATTTATTTCATCCTGGAGCATCACATTAATTTTCACAATTCTGAACTAAGAATCAATCATGCAATAGCAAGGGAAAAATAGTCTATTATTTTTTCCACCATAAAAATTTCAATAAGACTAACTGTACATTCATTCATAAAACAATAATACAAGATAATGTTCCTTACTTGGTAAGTTGTGCTTCTTTCTCTTCAAAGTATTGTGATAAAACTGCTAATTTACTCAGTGCTTCTCGTTTCTCTTGTATGGCCAAGTCGTGGTGTGTTCGCAGTTCTGTCACCTCTGAACGAATGGATGACATTGCATCTTCCAAGTTTGTCTGTGCCATCTCAGCATCTGTAAGCTGTTCTGCCAGATCATTACGCTCATTGTTCACTCTCTGGAGCTCTGCCTTCACCTGTCACAAGAGTTAAAACAAATTATGGTTGACCTATATTTAACTAACAATAATTTAACACTACAGTATAATAATGAAAAACAGATCATTTTAATTGTAGAGGGTCCATAATCAATTCCTTTGTTTTTATTAAGCTTAGAGCAACATACAACACTGCTAGCATTATTAATAACTTTATAACAGATTTTTTTTACATGAGTGACAATCTGCACAACTTAAGATTTTCACCTCATTAAGCAGAGTTTTGTAATACACAGAAATTTCTACTTTTGTGTCTCCAATATACTGTATTATTATTCTTATATCACTAAATATCTCATTAATCACCAAAATATTGTCACAGCCCAATCCCCCATCACAAGTTTTAACATGTATTAACACTTAATACTTTCCTTAAGACTTAAGTGTAGGTTCTTGACTATTTTCCTAGCATGGCAGTCTCAAGCCCCCCTCCTATTGATGTATCTTACACTTGAAGTTACTCGTGATTCCTGCATTGAATTCTATGGTCATGATTCATCCAAATCCCCTAAGGTAATTTCTGATAGGAAGTTGACTGGACTGTCACAAATAAACCAACCTGCTTTGACTGCTGATACAGGTTGCACATTAGAGTAATATAAGTCTAACATTTACATTCTTTTGTTTTATATATATCTTCCTTCTGCTTCTTTTAATATTTCACAAACCAAAAATGTAGTTGTGTTCACTTTTATCTGAACACAAACTTACCCTAATCACATTAAACAGAGCCGAGAGCTTCTCCTCGTCTGGTGCAGCATGATCATCATCAGAAGTCAGCCGCAGTTGTTTCAGACATTCCTTAGCGACCTGGAAATGCAATTCATGTTTTATCTACCCACTCCAGCAGACCTCCAACTTAAAATATTATTGGCCCCCCCCTAAAAAAAAAATGTACTCTGGTCCAAATGACAAGGCTAAATTATGCCCCCTTGAGTATAATTAATGGTACAGTAAAAACCTTTAGGAGGAATGAGGACATGATGGTGGAGTAAAGCAGCACAGACTCAGGAGCTTGATACACCACCAACCTGAACTGTACCTTAACCACCGGTGTATTATAAGATAAATCACATGTACAGAATGAAGAAGTCGATGAATCTAAGTGAAAATATACAGAATTTATTTAGACCAAAACTTCTAGGGATTATTTTTTATTTAATAACAAAGGCTTTAAAGCTTTCACACTTAAAACAGCCATCCCTCTTGGTTCTTGTATTAATGCCACTGTTAACCAGATCTTCATTAATCTTACCTGTAGCTCTGATTCCTTGATCTCAACACTTTCTCTCAGCTGATGGATTGTGTCTTGTAGGGCCTTCAACTCACTGTTGAGGGATGACATCTTGGAGTCATAATCACAAGTCTGTTGCGAGAGGGCCTCATTCGCTTCCTTTAATTCCTTAACAAGTACTGTCTCTTTTTGAAGTCTGTGGTTTGCTTCTTCCTGTGACCCAGTCAGTTCTTGTAGAGATTGTGTCAACTGAAAATTGGGAGCCACTGTTAATTCACTGCAATGGCCGATGATTAAGGATCGCATTATACAGATATTTTTTGCAAAATAGAGATAACATTTTTACTGCTTCAACTTATTGGAAAGTATTTCACATGTAGTAAAAAATTAGTTTCATTTAAGACATCATTTACTATCATAATCAAACATACCCACATTAAGGTAGGTAAGGATAAGTTAAGTTATGGAAATATCTAGACAAGAATAATATAATTCCTAAATACATGTACTATATAAGACAAAAACAAATTTCAATAATTGGTAAAGAACAATAAAAACTACAACAGTACATATTGGATTAGAACTACCAGTAGCCATTAGGTGTGTGAGGTACTGTACTGAGGTTGTACGGTAACAACTGGACTAAGGTTGTACAGTAACACTCAATGAAAAATTATTTTAGTTCCTCTGGGTAACACAGAAAGCAGATAACTAATGCATCATGACTGAGGCCCCAGAGTGAACAGAGGCAGCAACCATCAGGGAAAAACCTTTTCACGGCATTGGCTTCACACTGCAGTGACTGTGTTCAGAGAGTGTACTGTACTTTAAATACTATTTTTTCTGTGGTACAAACTACCATATAAAGTCTTAACCCTCCAAACTCTGACTTAATGGTCATCCTTGTTGTGGTCTATGATCTATAACACATCACAGACCTAGTAGTAGCCACATTACAATAACTATGCAGAAGTTCCTGACCTAACTTTATACTTTTCCACATTTTCATTTTACTATAACAGTTAATGGTAAATTCAATCTTAGAAATAAAAGAAAACTGATGATAATTATAATACCAGGAGTGTAAATACTACAACAGCATTTACATACAATACAGTAGAGTACAGTACAGCTCTAAAACAAGAGAGGCAACACAACAACATACAGAGTTATACTGTACTGTATTAGTAACCAGAAACACTACAACTGTCCAAAATAAAACCGTCCATCACCTCAGCTTCATCCTTAATTTGCATAATATTACAAGAAGAATAAAAAAGAATTCATTAATAATTTACAATATTATTCTAACACTTCATTTCATTAAGAACAAAATCATCTAGAAAATAACTAAGAGAATCAGCAGCTCAAACTTTTATTATTGATGAGTCTAACACTTCATCTCATTAAGAAAAATTAACACAACTTCAAACATAAACGACAACACTCAAAGGCAAACAACTGTGACAAAATAGACATTGTTAAGCAGTCAAGTTTCAATCCTTTTTTGTTAACAACTTCCCAGATAAAGTAACCACTCTAAGTACTGACCTGCTGCACTTGGTAATCCAGTTTCTTTGTACGTTCCATCGATGCTGACAACTCGCTGTGTAGTTCTTCATTCTGTAAAGGAAACAAATATTCTCTAAGTCACTAATAATTGTGTGTTATGTTGTAAAAAAAAAAAAAAATCAACATATTTAATAATTTCTTAATTCTAACATAAGTTGAATTAGCCCAAAGCTCAATACTACAATATAAAATTAGTTAAAAGAAAATACCAAGCTTGCCAAACTTAACTCCTAAGACTTTAAATAAACAAAAACATGACCGACACAGAGTGACTGATGAGGCTAACCCACGCTAAACTGATACTTAATGGCAGCACAGTATATAAGCTAACATATGGTGAACCTTCTTCTTACAATTGTGTGAACTGCTTACAATCAGGCAACAGTATCACCGGCCCATACCATAAACAAGAAGGTTGTGACCAATCTTACATATGGGTGAGCAACATATCTAACACTGTCAATTATAACTTGTCACAATACACTTCTGCGTCACCATTAAAACCAACCCACTGAACATATGGGAAATTATTAAATAAAAACAGATACAATAAACGTATAAGTCACGGACAGCAACACTGTTTTATCACCTCAAACTTTTGCCCGGGGAAATAAAAACTGAAGGACACAGAATTCCCAATAATGAATCAATTTAATGAGTACAGGAATAAGAACAGAAGAAACATTTAAAGCAGCTGGTGGCTAGCTTGTGAGCCTTTTCCCGCAGCACAACGAGTCACCCCGCGCAGCATCTCATGTTGTACTCTCAAAACTTTAGTGTTTCTGTGTGAAATGGCCCCTCAAAGACTGCCTAGTGTCAGTGCTAGTGGAGTGAAATGTTCAAGGCAGAAGTCAGTGATGATCCTGACAAAAAAAGTTTTATTATTATATAAGTTAAAAGAGGGGATCAGTGCTGCTGCGGCTGGTCAATTGTTTGGTATAGGTATACTGTAGTACAAGTTGCTATTCGCGGTTTTGCCTATTCATGCCATTCCTTGGAACATATCCCTAGCAAATAACAAATACTGTACTTTGTTGTACTCGAGTATAAGTTTAAAGACACTCTACCCTATAATGCTGACCAAAGACACAACGGGGATCACAGCACCAAAATAAAGTACTGCACTATTGCAACCTACCAAACGAGTCTTCAGCGCTAAATCAGACGTCAAGGTCTCCACTTTCTCCCGCTGTCCATCAAGCATTGCCTGGAGGTGGTCGACTGATGCCTGAAATTTATATACAAAAAAGTTAAAACATAAGAAATGCAACAAATGAAAATAACGCTTAATTCTATATCTTAAAAAATAAATTATCCTTTATGTTGTTCACTATTAAAGCCTTAATATTATTTTAGGTGTGAACTGTTCAGACACTTACTATACTCCATTACTGTAGCTTACTAAGATAAAAGATCAAATATTCTGAAAAGACTTGGTGCTGATTTCAGTAAGATCAGCTGACACACGAGAGAAATAAGAGTTCTAGAAAAAAAAGAACATATTTATGCCCTTGAATTGGCCTTTAAATGAACTTCACCTTCACATGTCTGATATAGCAATTAAAAAAAATCACATCCCACTCGCAAAATTTTAACATGACGTCATACCTGGAACGTTGAGGTGTCTTTCTGGGCCGACAACATCTCGGACAACATCTTGTGCATCTCCAGACCGTTACTTGTCGTTTCCTCCAACTCGTGTTCTAGCTGCACTATTCTCTCCTCTAGCTGTGACCTCTCAATACCATACTCACTCTGATAACCAATTAGCTCATTACTACACAACACTACATCTTACTCTTCACTACATAACACCACATCTTTACCTTCAACTTTACCACATCAAATGCAGGGAAATTAATGGTATACAACTTTTGTCATCAAGGACTTTCAAATTCATGAATGCAAATATAAAGGTATAATGGTATATCCTGTACTGTACTGCACTACACTAGATATACCAGTAATTTAAGCAAAGCCTTTATGTACAACACAATATATAGTACAGGGAGTCTTTGTTATAAGTGTCTTCATTATAAGTGGCTTTGCACTTAAGTGGTCAAATAGTTGTGAACCTACACGTAAAAAGTCCCCACAGTTAAGAGGATTCTAAGGCTGAAATCCGTCAATCTTTGGGAGCACAAGTGTTTGAACAATTGAAATTCCCGCCTGTTTCCCATTCTCTTAAAGGTCTGTACCAGTCGCCTGTGTCCACAGGCATTATTCTGAAGTGCTCCGAGAGCTATAATTATCAACTTTGTTGAGTCTTTGGTGGACTATTTTTTTAGCCATCAGTTCCAAACCGAAGCAAGGTGGTGTAGTGGCTTAAAGGAAGTGTAGCTATGGGATGGAAGTGAAATTAGAAGTTACATGTCGTAAGAAAAGTGGTGAGCATGTCTCAATGAACCACTTTCACTGAAATTAGTATGTGGGTGCGTGGTTAGGTAGCTTGTGCAGCATCAACTCACCGAGCCCAAACAATTTTAAGTACCTTAAATAAGGTAAAGTTAAATAATGTGTAATCAAATGTTTAACAAATGTTTCTAAGGTATATACAGTATATAAAAGTTAAAAGATTAATCTTTATGACTGTCATTTACAATGTGATGGTCCCGATTAGACCCTATTCCTATTAATTCTTATGGGAATTAATTCACCTTATAAGCGGTTTCATTATCAGTGGCTTTTTTCTGGTCCCTATTAACCACTTATAATGAAGACTCACTGTACTGTACTATATAATGAGTGTCAGGGTCTTATGTACATATTGTCTCTTGAAGTATCAAAACTTAGCTAATACAGGGTGTAACAAAAGTCTGGAATCATAGGTTTATTTTATTAAATATTCAAATTGTAGTCAGTGGAGTGTCAAGCAAACACGCTGTTCTATACTTTCAGTGACAATGTATCCATATTGATTTTGCTACATTCCACTTGAATACGTTTTTTCAATGCCTCAATTGTTCGAGGACGGTCGGTGTACACAAATGATTTCAAATGATCCCATAAGAAAAAGACTAAAGGAGTCAGGTCTGGTGATCTGGGGGCCATTCCACTGGTCCATGTTGATTGATCCATTTTCCTGGTATCTCAGAATCTAACGACCCACAACCCACGTGTTATCAAAGCAAAATGTGCTTTGCTGAAACCAGAAATGCCGATGCATTGCAAGCGGCATATTACCTAAATACGGCTGCAAGACTTCATTCAACATTGCAAAATATGTTTCCCCAGACACAATAGCATCAACAAATTATGGTCCAAGCAATTCCATATCATGGATGCCACACCAGCCCATTCCCTTTGGATCATTTTGAACATATGATTCCAGACTTTTGCTACACCCTGTATAATAAGCAACAGAACTGAACCGTCTTATATCATACACTATTACATCATCTAAAAGTCCACACTGTTGTTTGCTTCCAGTAAACATGAGACTAATATTCAATCAATAGATACAACATTTATCAAACTAATCAGTAATAATATAATTTCCTGAATTCCATACAACTACTGTATTATGATAAGTTTTACCCATTACTGTATAATGTATTACAAGCACAAAGACTACAGGTACTGGAGAATGTAAACACCTATGACTGCTACTGTAGTGTTTTCAAGGGTGGTTTATGAGCCTCTAAAGATGAGCCAATAGTAAACCCTCGATAACTCAGAATTTCATATAACTCGGCACGGATATGGTCTCGGAATGTATTATAGTACAACTCTGGAAATGCCGAGATATATAAAAATATCTAGGAAAATCTCAGCATATTTAGCCACGTGGGTAACACTCGCCGCACTGCACTCCACGCTTGGTCAGTCTGGCGTTTGTTATTGTTGTGGTCGGGTGTGTGATGATTCACTCCACCCAGTACATGGACATAGGAAGGGAGGGTGCTGTAGTACCCCAATATTTTGGGTATAAAGTACTGTACTACACATTGCACCACAGAGTATCTAGGGCACCAGAATTAATATATAGCTCTCCCTGGTAAAATTTGGTTCCTGCGATACTAACCCGATAACACCTAGAACCTCCCCCATTCATGTCAGGCTATGCATAACGTCTACACTATTACGGTAAATACAATGTCGTAGATCTTATTTAATTTACAGTTCAATTCATTTTATCTAAATTTCAACGATCTGAATCTTCCAGGTGTCCCAACTTTGTCCCCTTTGGTAAAAATTCTAATTTAGTCCAACAATCTGAAAGCAACTTAAGTCATTTATTCACGTGCCTGACACCTGTAGCGCTAGAACCACTTTTTAAACAAAAATTGCTGTGATAAACAATTAAATTGATACATAGCATATCATAAAATACAATAGCACATAGTTTATGTACAAAAAAATAGCCGACTGATACATGTGTGTGCCCCGAGGTCAAATGGGAAGGAGGGAGGGGGGGGGCGCGAGTCAGCCACGCAGTAAGGTTCACCGAGTGGCCTTCACACACACCTATGATCTTCATTTTTCTTATTTTATAGTTTTATATTATATTTTCTTTATTTCTAAGCTACATTAGAGTATTTCAATATTTACTCTTTTGCTCTGTAGTTCAAGACAACGGGTTTACTAGGGTGGACTATAATATCCTCAGTGATATTAGTTACATGATTATTTACATACTCAGACTTTAATTATATGTAGAGAAAACTATTTTTGTTAAAATGTATTAATTATTTTGTATACGTTATCCAATTACAATAGTATACAAAAGTGCTGCAATGTTTACTGTTTATGTAGTGTTTCACCTACCATACCTCTGTGTCATCAACCATGCCTCTCACCTACTACAATGCTTCATTCTTCGCCTGCAGTGCTGGTAAGTATTACCGTTTGACATTTAGAAGTACACGTACACATACTGTATATGGGTCAATAATTTTTTATCGTTGTATTTTTGTAAGAGGGGGAAAGTGCCTCGATAAGTCTGAATCTGAGATAACTCGGAAAGGCCAGAGCCCCATATGTGCTGAGTTATTGAGGGTTTACTGTACTTAAAAATTAACTCCAAATTATAATTCACACATCATTCTACAGACTATAATGTTACATTATAACCAGATATAAACTAACTGGCATCAGAGATGTTTTTTCTGCCAGCAGTTCTTCTTCATGACCATTGAGCAGATGCTCTTCTGTTGTTACAGCTAAGTGGCTTGCCTGTGCTAGGCTCTCCTATATACAGTACAGTACCCACCAAAATCCAAACATTACAGATTGTGTTAAAGAAAGACAGAGAAAGAAAGACTTTACAAAATATAATGACAACAAATTATGTAGAAAGAATCGAAGGAAAAAAAATCTGATATGACAAACTCAATATTTTCAAGAAAATAAAAGTGTAAAAATTATGTTTAATAAAATTTGACATGAATATGAAGAAATAAAATACAGACAACAAATGAAATAATTTCTTCTAACCTTAATTATGTCAAGTTGAGAGTCAAGCTCAGTAATATCTCCACTTGATGCCATGAAACTGGATGACACAATCTCCAACTGAATATAAAACAATACAAAGTAGATACAATAATTGAAATTAAAGAATAATATATATACAGTATGCTACAAAGGATAACATAAATATAGTAGAGTAAGATCTTATATTTCGTACGATTTCATTTCGTGTTTTTTAATTTCGCGAGCACTACCTAATGTAACCAAGTCTTATATTTGGTGTAACATATCATGAATTTCGCGAGATCCAGTCAGCTGAATGCTGGCCACCGTCTTGAATGACATCACAGCTCTCATACCAGTTAATCATTTCTGCTACAGCGCGTTTCGTCAACGCAAATTGGTTATAACGCGATTGATGAATAGGGGAACGCGGTTTGTAAAACACAACTTTTGCATAGAAATGTTGGCTATAACATGATTCCATCCTCAACATTTTAAGCATGGCACGGGGTAATGCAATATTTACAGTTCACGTTCAACATCACATGTTCAATTGATTCGTTTCTTTTGTTTGTGAAGTGTTTTTTGAGAGATACTCTGTAAATATTTTTTTTTTTTTTTTTTTGAAAATTTAGCTGTTACTCATAAATACTGGATGAAAATAATGTGTCACAGTGAGGACTAATAACAGTTTACACCAGCAATCTCTGCTTACATCACGTGATCAGTTGAATCGCGCGGTTTTTGTCAATTGCTCCGTGATTTTCGTTGTTTTCTCCGATTTCGTGTGTTAGGATGAATATGGAAAGACAAGGTAAGAAAATGTTTCCATGAAGCGTTCTGGAGATCAAATTGCGGGCGGTGAACGTAAAAGAGGTTTACAAGAACGCAACTATCGCGTTGTAGCTCGCGCCATCCTAGCGACCGCCCGGGCTGCTATTGTGTGCCATTTAGGGTGGTGTTACCACCTGTCGAGTCAAGAAAATGGCCTCTACCTCTACTGGGGGTCCTACTGGTGCTGGTGTGGGTGGGAGTGGGACAGACCCACTTAAGCAGCCAAATAAGGAAAAGTTGAAGTGGGACTATCATAAGGGAGTTAAGTTTGCCAAGTAATCGATGCAGGATAAGCAGCGTGAGATTAAAGTTACTTGAGGAAGGCCTAAAAACTAGTTTCCAGAAAGCACAGTCAAGTCAATAAAGGCAGAATTTGTATTATTTGGAGGTTATAAATGGGAAAATCAGAGGTTGATGTAGAGTGGCCAGTCTATATTGCTATTTTTCCCATTAGTTTATGTATTTGCATTTGGCGCAATTTTTCCAGTCTATATTACTCGCGAAATACAAGATCTTACTGTACAGTAAAACAGTATAGTGAGGAAGGGGTGCATGATACACCCCACCCTTGGTATGAGGTGTCCCTAATAACTTCCACTGATGATGGCTGCCGTCCCTACAGCTAACTTCCACTGATGATGGCTGCCGTCCCTACAGCTAACTTCCACTGATGATGGCTGCCGTCCCTACAGCTAACTTCCACTGATGATGGCTGCCGTCCCTACAGTTAACTTCCACTGATGATGGCTGCCGTCCCTACAGCTAACTTCCACTGATGATGGCTGCTGTCCCTACAGTTACCACCCTAGCACTGACCTGACCTAACCTAACTTAACCCCCCAAGGTGGCATTAAGGTGTTTAATAATCAGGTGAAACAAGTTTGAGCTAATGTTTGGTTGATCCCATTTTTCTTAAGAGGGATTTAGTGTGTCTCAGTCACAGTGGTAGCAACACACATGTGCTCTCCTAGCCATGTTAAGTAACCCATTATATGTGTGTGTATTCTTCCCTGAGACCATTCCTGGATTTGTCTCTGATGAACATAAAATATTGGCAAATAGCTATCATATAAAATACCTTTTTCAAGAAAACATAAATAAGTTTAAAAATAAAGCAGTAAACCTGAAATATAAATATAATATATAAAATAATGAAGGGTTAAAAAATACTCAAACATAAAATCACGGATAAAAAGAGTGAGCACACTACGCACATACAAGACTCGCACACATAGAACAGTGTACATTATACATACAAACAGACAGAGTACAGTATAAAACTGCAATAAGGCAACAGGACCCACCTCAGCTCGAGCCTTACACAACTCCTCATGCAAGGTAGCATTTTCCTCGGCCTTCAGACGATTCTCATGCTCAGTGCGGCTCAGGGCTTCTAGCATAGGAGACTCACGAGAAAATTTCTGTAGAGTTAAATTGTTTTAGATTCCAGGTAAGGTAAAGGCATGCATAGAGACTTTCTGCATGATACAACATTATACAGTACAGTACAGTACAGTACACAGTTTACATCATGGGTGAAGAAAAATGATAAATACAATTCAAATAAGACACCAAAAATATCACCTGTTTACTGTGGAGCATCACCCACTATATACAGCAACACCCACTATATTTCTGCCTCATTCATACTAACATTCCCACAATGGCCCCAGATTGTACTCTCTCCTCAGTAAACTAGCTTAAGCCAATCCAATCACCTGAAGATCCTTCCTCAGCTTATTTCACCCTAAGATTAGCTACCTTAATGCTACCCTTTGTATTACGTTAAGCTAAATTAGGGTGGTTAATCTTTTGGTGAAATGAGCTGTGGGAGACAAACCTTCAGGTGATCGCTAAGCCAAATAGTAATGTCTTATACAATACAGTACAGTGCTTCTAAAATCTGTATAACTTATAAGACCTTATGAGATGGGGAGATGACAACCAAGAGCAACTTCCTCCATCGGTGGTGCTGTATGTACCAAATAATATAGCCCATGTACAGTACAGTTTGCCAAGTATAATGTGTACTGTTCTGTGTAGGAAACTTGAACCTTTACACTTGTAAAGAATCCCCACCAAGTTTTGTCATCATATAAACAAACCATCAGCTTCATATATTACACAATGCTTAATGCAACTATTACAACTTTACTGAGACTTGTGTTGGGTTAGTCATTTATTTTATCACATTTTTTTGTCCCTAAGTAATTGTGTTCATAAGCCTTTCAAAATGCTACGTTTTTTTTGAAAGACTGCTAAATAATATGGAACTCGTACAAAACCAATGATGTACTAATTTTGAAGTACAGTAGTACAGTAATCTATAGATGGGTGTACAGTACACTCCAAAAAGTGTCGAGACCCCAGGGTGTGGTCGAACAGAAAATGAGCGATAACCTCAGACACGTTCATGTGTTGGTCAAGTTGGGATGGTCTGTGCTCGATGTTCCTTCGGATGTCTGGGGTCTCCAGACTTCTTGCAGTACCTGCACGTCCATCAGTATTACCGGGAATATGTTTTGATGGCTTTAATATACTGTACTACAAATAATTAATTTGTATTTCAATAATGTCAGAGAATAATATAACATATCTATCCGTGTTAATATCTACAGGAAGTTCAATAAAAAAAAGTCATGAACTACATATGTGATTCAGCAGATAATAAATAATACTTGAAACTACTAAGTCCAGTCCAGTACAGTACAGTACAGTCCAGTCCAGTCCAGTCCAGCACAGCACAGTACAGTACAGTACAGTACAGTAGTCCAGTCCAGTACAGTACAGTATTCCTTTAGATAAAGAATACACTTAATCAATATGCCAATTAACTGAAGGTTTTTTACCAATCAACTATAATTTCTTATACAGTACAGTACATAGGTGTACAGTACTTTATGAAGGTGATTTACCCAACAACTTCTACATGTTTACCTCACCCGTTAGCATACACACAAATGGCTACACAACTTGTCTATCCTTTCCCAAAATAAGCTTGTCAACTTTATACAAAACACCTAATGACTATACTATTACTTTCTAAAATACCTCAGACCAAAACATCATAAGAATTTCCAGTTTCGTATTCTCCATAAAATCAGGTTAAAAATTCAGATTTAATTTCAAAATTATTTTTTTCCCTCTACTGTACTGTACAGTATATCAAGATATTTCTCACTAAGATGCAGGGTGGTCAGAACCAACAAGAGCAATTATGCCTTCACTCTCTCCCTTAACTCACGGTCACCTTCTCGTACAGTGACAGTTGTATTTTGTTTTGTTAAGACTCTTCAACAAGGTCCAAAACACCACTTTTCTCATCTACAGTACAGTACCCGTTGCTCCTCACACAACCTTCCTAACTTTACCCATCATTAGCGCATCCTTCCCTCAGCATTATGTCATTCACACGCGCTGTCCACATCATTTTTCACAGCCTCCACCTCATTTTTCCATCTTTTTTTTTTTTTTTACTAATTTTTCACTTTCCATTCTCTTGATACATTCAAACCAACTGTACATATCCTGATCTGCTTTCTGCTTGACACTTCCTTCACATCCTCATTTTTATTTCTGTCTGTCTTATTCTGTGTCCTCTTCACCCCAAATATGGCTCTCAACCATATCATTTCTCCAGGACTTCTACTTTGCTCTTTCCTCTTGCATTTTTTACAATTACAATTGTCTTGAATTATCTGTCTTCACTCCCTAAACCAACACTGACAGGAAACATCTTTCCTATCCATTGCAGCTGGAAAGGTTTTCATCTTTACTTTCATGAAATACTGTAATTTTTTAAAAAAAATTCCCCATTGTCAGTTAGTATTATACGTACAGTTTTCATATACAGTACGTAAAACTTGATCTCATCTATCACTTGTAGCTCCTCTCCAGTCAAACTATTATTATACACTATTACTGACCATTCTCTTACAGTCTCCTCTTGTATAAATATATCATTTAAATACAACAATGTATCAGACAACTGCAACTCTCCCCTTTCTCTGCCATCATGATTCACCTCCTTTACACTATGACACATCCTCATTCTTATCTAATATAATGTCCAGCCTATATATATCCGGTATATACGAGGTCTGACACAAAAATAACGAGGCTGACCCTATAACTAGGAAACCAAGAGTGGGAGGGGAGGGACAAACAGACGGTTATTGAACATGTTCCAACCTGTCACAGTGTGACAAGGCTCAACTCGATCGCTTCACTCAGTACAAGTGGACACGTGTTGAAGTATAGACTTGTTCTTACGCTCGGTCGGAAAATGTCGGACTGCAAAACCGAGCAGAGTTAACATCAAGTTTCTCATTAAACTTAAGAAATCTGCGACGGAAACTTTTCAATTATTGACCGAGGCTTACAGTGAAGATCGTGTCTCGTGCACGCATTTTTGAATGGCACAAATGACTTTCGGAAGGCAGAGAAACAGTGAAAGATAATGACTGACCAGGCAGTCCACGCACAGCAGTTACCGATGACAACATTGAAAAAGTGTGAGATGTGATTAGAAAAAAATGTAGGTTGAGTGTTCGAACAATAGCTGAGAAAGTTAATTCAGACAGGGAAAGTATTCAACGCATTCTAACAGAAGAATTGAAAATGACAAAGGTTTGTGCGGTTTGTGCAAAAATAGTTCAAAAAATGCTGTCAGATGAACAACGCATCAGCCCACAACGCTTAGTCAGTGAAGCACTTTTTAGTCAATAAAAACATCACTGTGCTTGAGCACCCACCCTATTCACCAGACCTGACTCCCTGCAACGTCTACCTCTTCCCAAAGATCAAGTCCGTGCTCAAAGGAACCAATTTTTTTTTTGGTAGAAGAGGTGAAGGAGCTCCTCAGCAGCCTTACAGAACATGATCTGCGGAATTGCTTTGAACTGTGGCAGCATCGTATACAGCTGTGTGTCAACTCAGAAGGAACTATTTTGAAGGTGATCACAGTTGATTTTCTTAAATTGGTAAATAAAGAGTTACAGCATCAGTCTCGTTTTTTTGTGTCGCACCACATATATATTATTTAATCCTGCTGTACTATCACATCTATTCCTGCTGCCACTCACCTTTACACACACACTCCCTGAACTTCAACACCCAGGCAGTGGCTGAAGGGACTTTGAGTGAGGCAGACACCATGCTTATATTATTAACAAGGCCACCATACAAATAAAAAGAGTATGATGGTATTCTTTGTTGGTTTAAGAAAAGGGAGAGAGCAAGACAATGACTGCTGAAAGGTACTGTACAATATGTTAAGGTTCATGAGAATAATGAAGGACCGATTCTAAGATGCCAGGTTGTAGCCTAACAGCTCAAGTACACACGCTGTGGAGGTTTCAGGATCCCCAACATGTGTGACTGATGCTAAATAACAAATCTAAAACAGCTAACTCATAAAATTGTCCAAAATTACTTAATATTCCTTAACCACAATCAAATGCCCTTGAAGGACAAACTTCTAATCCTGAGTTAACACTAAAGGTTGAAGGCTGACAAGTCTAACCACTTAGCTGATAATTATGTTCCATGACTGTGGCTGTAACCCAACTATCCTGGAACACCCCTCAGTCTCCAGCTTATTTAAAGGGAAGAAGGATGAAACTTGAGTCACATGCTTAGTTATAAAAGGGTTCATAGGATCTTTCCTTCATTTCCAGTTTATGTACAGTCAGCCAAAGATGCACCGACCCCACCCTGGGTCTCGTGCTCGCAATTTTACCTGATAATACTTGGTAAAGGAAGGCTGTATGTAAAGGTGACTGTAATTGGTGGATCTGTTTTTGGCTGTATCACTGTCAGGATAAATATTAAACAAACCAAAGGCAACATTTTCATAATAAACTATGCATTGTTGTTTAAGGTCATTAGAGGTTTCCAAAGGTTTGTATATTTGTTTAAATATTGAAAAAAATTACATTAATGAATTGGCAACTTAACTACAACCACAGCTGCCACAAGATTATCACATCAATTTTTTTTCAATATTTAAACAAATATACAAACCTTTGGAAACTTCTCATGACCTTAAACAACAATGCATAGTTTATTATGAAAATGTTACCTTTGGTTTGTTTAATATTTATCCTGACAGTGATACAGCCAAAAACAGATCCACCAATTACAGTCACCTTTACATACAGCCTTCCTTTACCAAGTATTATCAGGTAAAATTGCGAGCACGAGACCCAGGGTGGGGTCGGTGCATCTTTGGCTGACCGTACATCTTAGTGACTTACGTACCCAAACCAACCCTGCTAGAAATGGGAAGTGAGAGGTAATAATATTCTCTATGTGCTAGTACTGATTACACGCTCATTTGGGAGCTGTACTGTATTACCTAAAGAGTTTATGAAAAGATGATTCACCTTACATGCTCCCTTAAGCAAAGTGGTTGTGGTTAATTATTTGATCATTAAGATATCTGGTAATAAAAGCTGTTGCTTAAGCCCAGACCCCTGTACTGTACTGTACTCAGGAGAGATGTGAGGGACATGCCACAATGAAGGCCAGTCAGGATACTGTACTAACCTCTTGGCTAAATACCCAGAGGGAAATTAACAGCAAATCTGTTTGTCAGAGATCACATATGAGCACACTTATAAGTTGCCAACACATTAGCACCTCAGCCCTGAACATAACACACCAGGAACAACCATTTTGAGTATGTTAGCGACTCTTACAAACAGCTCGTACTGCCTCTTAATGTTCTTATTCAGGGAGTCTATTAATAAATGAGCAATAGTGGTGTCATAATTAATCATGGATAGGAGCTGCTTGTGCATCAAAGTAACACAGACAGCTGTTGATGTGTTGTCCAACTAATGCTAACAAAATAATAACTTGCATTGCAGTGTACAGTACAAATAACATTGGATGAAAATTAGATTGGTAGAATCCCCAAACCTGGAGCAAGAAGTCTATAATATATTGCACAATTGTGTGTGTGTGAGGGGGAGACCTCGGACAACAGGCAAACAACACAATTCTCCACAGACTTCAATGGCTGGTCCCCAAAGTCCTTATAATAAACACTTGAGAGCAGAAATTGACTCACAAAAGGGCATACTAACTGTAAGTCCACCCCCACCCCCTGAAGGTGAGCTTCCCCATATTCTCCCCAACCTTCAGTCAAAATGGTTCTTCCCATGAAGAGTTCCATCTGCATATTTACTTAAGGTCCCAGGTTAGACCCTAACCTGACCTGAGTGCTGAACTAAACTGTTGAGCCACATAACAAGAGACCAGTATATGAGGCCACAGTGACAGTCCATTCTACACACTGTACTGTACTGCACTGTACTGTACTGTACTGTACTGTACTTATCTTACTATGAACAGCTAAAGCAGGTGAGCAACTGTCCTGAAGCTCATGTGACTTACAAACTAAACTAGGTGATCCTGGATTGTTGGGTTATACCTTAAGTACTGTATAATGATCCCAACATGTACTTGTTAGCAATATGGTTAGTCCTCAGCCTTAAGTGGCAACGGATGGTTCGCAACACGACCCTCTGGAGCCAGTGCTTACGATCAACATCTGGGAATATTTTCAGAATGCTTAAGCTATTTAGGATTTGGTTTTATTTTAGCATCAGTCATCCTCTCTGAGGTTGTGACACCTGGGTGTTCAACCCTGTAGATTGCGGCCATACAGTACCGGAGTCACCTTAGCTGTATGTAGCTACAAACTGTATCACTTGGGAAACTGGAAATACATATACTTCTCTTTGGACATTATAACCAATACAACGACTTAAAACTTTAACGTAATTTATACGTACGGTGTACAACATCCGCCCAACCTAATAGTTAAAAAAATAAAATAATATGAATATCCATCTGCAAATAAAATTTATACTGATTTATTACCAAACTCATTCCAAATAATAATCTTGTGAAAAAAAAACTAAAAAAAAAACTAAAAAAGTAAATAAAATAAAAAATTCATAAAGTTTTTTCATTTTCACTTTTTAAGAAGTTACAAGAAATATAACATTTTCTTAAACAAGTTTCTCTCAACAGATATTTTCACCCTGACATCTATGATGCACAAGAACATAAATACCCGCGAGTCACTGGTGTACGGGACACACACATGGCTACACTACAGAGGAATTCATTAAGAGACTCACCATCATGATCAGGTGAACAAAGTAGATGGTGATGATAGTGAAGACCACAATACCCAGGAACACAAGCGACCCAGAAGTCATGTGTGGTTCAGCAACTTCTGCCTCAACTCCAAAAGCCAAACCTTCAGGTAGCTGAAAACAAAGAATTACACATTGCAGCTTAAATTATAAGTGAATCAATCCTTATAATAGAACTTTTATCACCAGCTACATAGATATCAATCTATTTATAATATATCTCTTGTTACCTTCTTCCCAGTGCTTCACTACCATGTAAGAGAAGCATTAATTCTTGCTTCACTTAGACACAACAAACTACAGTATACAAATTATTCAGGTTTCTTCCTCGGCCTAATAATTAAAAGAAAATGAAAAACAAGACTAAAATAAAGAAGCTCGGGTTATGAAGAAGGAAAAATAAAAACAAATTGGAAAATAATTCACTGACAGGACAAGGATTAATGCAAAGGTTTAAGGAACATTAGAAACTGTTGGTGTTGCAAAATACAGTGGTCCCTCGGTTAACGAACGGTTCGATTAACGAATTACCTCCCATAAGGATCTTCAATTCGGTTAACGAACAAAACTTCGATTAACGAAATCCTTTCGAACAACACTTTTGTTGTGAGCATCAGCTGATGGGCTAGTCTGCCAATACAGTAATCGGTTCTATGTTTACATTCATTTCCAGTGGAGTAAATATCAAGAAAGTTGTGCTTTAATATTTTTGCATTTTTTATATTAAAATTATTAGTAATTTTAAAATTTAGTTAACATATTGATAATATATGCAGTACAGGGAACTGGTTTTCTGTGCTCCCATCAGCCGCTTTACTCAGCCACAAGGCGTCAGTTTGGCTTTGTTGACAGTGGAGTGAACATCGATTTTGTTGGTGTCTTGAATATTTTTGCATTTTAACATTGAAATTATAGGCCATTCTGAAATTTAATTAACATATTGACAATACATAGTGCAGTGCAGTGTTGATTTAAATAAAATAATCTTGAATTACACCTAGTGAACTTAAAATTTTATTGGTGAAATTACTGCATCAAGCATGGGTCCCCTGAAAAGGTGATTTCTCCTCCATCCCCACTTCCTTCTCTTCTCCCTTCTCCTCCACCCCCACTTCTAATTCCCATCATCATCAACCAGGAACCTTCTACATACGCACCTCAAAGTAAGTGTACTTTACTGCATTTTTTTTTTACTTTGTATGTACTTTTCTGTGAGCTGGAACCAATTACCCAATATCCCATTGAACCAATGCATTCGGTTAACAAAATTTTTGGTTAACGAACGACTCTGTGGAACGAATTGTTTTTGTTAACCGAGGGACCACTGTACTGTATACGTAGTCAAAGAAATGAACCATCACCAGGAATAAAACAACACCAATAACAGAAGACAAGGTGTTGATGGAACAGATTATGGGATGTAATAAGTCTGATTGGTTGGCTCAAGAAGATGGATCAGAAACTGTGTTACACTCTCCTCAAGAGCCTGGCTTGTGATATAATACACAGTAACTGTACTCAACACACACCGTACCTCTGACCTAACAACCAAGAGCCTGGCTTGTGATATAGTACACAGTAACTGTACTCAACACACACCGTACCTCTGACCTAACAACCACATCATAATATTATAACACCCTGAGCTGTCTATAATTTCATCTGATCAAAATTTTACATAAAATAAAATATTTTATACAGAGGCAACAAGGGTTCAACAAAAGCAAACAAGATTTAATGAACAAAAACTGCAGTAAGTTATAAGTAAGCAGAATTAATGACCAACACTATAAGAACAAATAACATATAAAAGACTGAAGCAAAAGCAGGAAAAAGTTGCTACCTCTCTAACTAACAACCAAACATTCTTGGCTCCCTGTGAATGAGTGGCAAGTGAGTCAAATCTTACAACAAACTAAAATAAACTTATGTTGTCCTCAATGATTATGAGTGAAGCTAGATTTAAAATGATCACATTACAGTATATTTTCAAACTACTTTACCGTAATGTACTGTATTCACTTTGCTCCCTAAGTTAGTTTGCCAATGATGCTTCCATCTCTGCTCTACCTTGCAAATTCACATATAAATTTCCTCTACTGCCAAAGGTCCGTCACTAACTACTGTGGCACACTACTCAACAATAAAAAATTAATTAACAATACAAAATTAAGCCATCTCCTATGAGGTCTATCCCTCCCCTTCTACACCAACCACACATCAGCATGTAAACACTCAATCCACTTTCATCCACATTTCTTTGAGTTCAACTTCTTTGCCACACACACACATTTTTCATATGACTTTTTACTTTTTACTTTATCTATCTATCTATCTATCTTAAGATCTGTTACTCCTGAGAACTGCCCCTCACTAAAGGAGGCCCTCAACACTGCTCCCTCACCGAAGTAGGTAATCTTGCACAAGCATACTGGATACCTTGTGTTACAGGCATGCATCAATAAAACACAAACATCTTTGTACAGCCAATCAGTGACCTCACCCTGGCAATATTTGGTGATGTAAGGCTGTGCAGTATGTAATGGGGGTTACGATTGGTAGATCTATTTTTGGCTGTATCTGTCAGGATAAATATTAAACAGTCCAAATGTAGCTACTATATTATAATAATCGTTATTTAAGATCACGAGAAGTTTCCAAATGTTCGCATATTAGCTTAAATAATGAAGAAAATTTGACATATGAATCTTACGGCAGTCCTGGTTGTAGTTATTGCCCAATCAATAATAAAAATTTCATCATTTAAGGAAATATATGAACATTTGGAAAATTATCATGATCTTAAATAACGATGAATTGCATATTACTATAAAAATGCTAATTTTGGATTGTTTACTATTTATCTTGACAGCGATAGTCGAATATAGATCCAGCGATCACAATCCCAATAACATGCAGCCTTACTACATCAAGTATTGCCACGTAAAATTGCAAGTACAAGAGGTAGGGTGGGGTCAATACATCTTTGGTTGACTGTACATCAACAGTGAAGCCTTCCATCACCTTTGCTACCACCATTAACCCTCCGCCACTTACATGATAAACAACAAAATTTCTGAACTGGCAGTACAGTACAGTACAGTACAGTACAGTACAGTATAGTGCAGTGCAGTGCAATACAGTGCAGTGCAGTACAGTACTCCGAGAACACAAAGTGAGCAAGACAGAAAGCAAAAATATTTATTTGGAAAGCAGTGAAGTAGTGCATCAATTATAAGACAAAGGAAGCAAATTAAGTTGAAAATTTATCAAAATTTAAGGGACTGACAAGGAAATGCACAGTAATGTACTCTACAGTCTCAAGCATTTTCCTTTTATTAAATTGACAACCGAGAAGAACATTCTAAATTAAGCAAATTTGTGAATATGGAGTCTCTTAATCTTATAAATCATCTACAGTACTTAAATCAATATCAAAGTATGACAATAGTTTATCATATAGTGTACTGGATCTCTTCAGGGACACACCACTACAGTATACTGTACTGTATAGTATAACAATACTTTACATTACTACAATTTGACAAACCTCCAGGACCCATCAAATTACTCAAACAAGATGAAAGAAAAATAAACACAAAAGTTCACACACTTGATAAAGCAAAGATGTACTCTACTAAGTATTACCTGAAGAGCTGCAGCTAGAGACACCCACTGTGGGAGAGAAGTGACAACAATTCAATCTCTTAAAAACATGCAGTATGATATCCCATTTTTTGGCCTGCCTTGTCCAGGGTGGGATGTCTCTCTTCTGAGTCACTACCCCACCCTAACTTAACCTAACCTCATCCCCCAAATAGTGTTAGGATGGTTAATCTTTAGGTGGAATAAGCTGAGGTGCTACTCTCCCAGTTTTGGAGAAAAAAATTTCAATCCTGACTAGTGACTGCTTCATAAGTTATTGAGTAAACAGCTGGGATGAACCCCGAGCTGCTTCGCTTGACTTGAACCCCTCAGTCGTAAATTTGGGTCAGACACAAGAAGCTTCACATTTTCCCAACTGAGAAGGTAATCCACCCAAGGAAAAGGGAGGGGACAACAGATCACTTGTCTCTTCCACTCAGACATTAAATAGGAAATTAAGCTTCCATTCTGTTTTATGGTCTACTGTATAGAACCACTGACAAGAGAAATATTAAAAAGGTGAAGAAAATATTGGTGAGGTTAAATTGCCTTTGTTAGTGCCTGTAGCTACCTAAATATAGTACTGAATGTCATCAAGTGTGGTGGCCTTGTTTTCTGAAGTGAGAGCTTTGCTTCAACAGATACCTGAACAGCATCCCTGCCTCAGAATGTAGACAGTACCCTGAACAAGGTGACCTTACTTTGTGTAGGTAAACTCACAGGTCAGTTATCAACTTACCCATAGGCCATAAAGCAGTAATGTATATATGAAATTTATATTAATAAATAATAAATACAAAAATAAATATACACATTGTATTAGAAGCATTAGTTTACAAATTACTGTACAAAAAACTGGTGAGAACACTGGACTGATAAGCAATCAACAATGTGGGAGTTAATACATTAAAATAAGGAATGAGAGAACTAAGTGAAGTAATTTTTGATGAACAGTGTGTAAGAGAGAAACATCTTTACACTGTCTATAAGGCCCATAACACTTGTGGTGTAAAACAACACAGTTATGATGATGATTATATTCAATTGGCTGAAAACAGTGACACGGGCAGACCAATAGACACTGTAACACTACTGTGGCACCAAAACTCCGTAACTTATGCCAGGACCTGTTCACTTACCAAGCTGTGAGAAGTCTTCAAGAAATCCTCAGTCAAGGATCCTCCATCTTGGCCAGTGTCACCACTCTCCACTCTACCACTTTGTTCAGCTTCTGCACAAAAAAATTTAAGAAAATATATTGTCAATAACCATCAGTAACCAAAGATGCACATAAAGCCATAATTATGGTAATACTGTACTATTTTATCTGCATATTTGTCATTTGATTTTGTTTCACTGAAGTAGAGTTTGTTATAAATTCAACAACAATACTGTAATGTGCACTACTGTATCTTACAATGGAAATAGAATACTGTACAGTACAAAAAGATTATTACTGTACTACTCTTATATGATACTATACAACAGGTAAATTTATACAGTATATTTGTACCTGTAGACAGTACAGAATACCCAATTTGCAGTACAGTACAGCACAGAAGTAGTATGATATTGTATATACATACTGTATGGTACATATACTGTACAGCAGTGAAGGCAGGTGTGGTCTGACTATTACTGGAAATACTGTACTGTAGACACAAAAGAAGGTTGACAAGCACCATTATTCCATATTAAAAACTTAAATGAATGTTTCATTAAATTCTACTTATACCGTATACTACTCATTAATTTATTAACTTTTAATTTACTAAGGTTTAATTAATTTACAGTACTTACATCTAGGTCCTGTATAATACTGTACACAATCAGAGACACCAGAGCCGTGTTCAGCGATAACATCACTCTAGGACACTTCGCTCTTTGTCTTCTTAACGTAACCATCACCTTCAGGTTGGATGGGTAAATGTTGTTCTGAGGTACATTAATTCTTGATTGATATGGCAAATGGTCCTGTTTTGTCAATTAATCATGCTTCAAGTGCACCTTTGAGGAGCAAATAACAAATTTCTAAATTAAAAAAAAATATTAAAATATGAGACTATGTATCCTTCAGTCAATAAGACAAAGACGACACTGACGGACATAGGTTCGTGTACGCTGATGGAACTCCTCATCCTGTCTGTTGTTAATTTACTCCAGAAAATATCTTACAAAACACAATACTGTACTTGTAGAAATCCCTTTGCAGAACACACAGTAATAGCTGGCAAATATCACTTGTGGGTGCCATCCATTTACAGTACGGAACAGTACAGTATATGTAAATGTTCTTAAACTGTCCGTATTAGCCACCATTTTATGCGAGTTGAGTGTGGTGTAATGGTCATCATGCTCGCCTCGCAAGAGAGTGGACTTGGGTTCGATCCTCGGGCAGGGTGAAACCACGGACAAGTTTCTTTATGCCATTTGCCTCTGTCTACCCATCAGTAATTGGGAACTTGGATGTTAATCGATTTGCAGAGTGTGTTCCGAGATAATAGTTAGCCAGTGCAGTTGGCGAGTTGTCCGGTCTTCTCGGACTATTCCTTGACACTGGGTCATGCAGCTCGTTAACTTAGGGTGTGATTGTTGTGTTGGCGACAGCTTCTACACCTTAAACGAATTCACGCCTAAGGCCCTAGGTGGCCCTAGGGCCGGCCATCCTCGTTACATGAGGGGCAACCATTATTATTCATTAGTGTGACCAAAGTAACCTCAACTGGGGCTCCCTTGGCTGAATAATCTCTAAAGCTTTGTTAAAATGTGCAATTGTGAAACCCATTTTATGACGAGTACAAACTGGGAGAGTAACTTTGGATGCTCAGGAGCCCAAACAAGAAGTATTTATGTATCACTTAACACTTTTATACAAGTCTGTGTTACAAATCATAGTTGCTCTATCATTATTGCTTAACGTCGGGGTTACGTTCCTAGAAATGCGACGTTGTACGAAACAACGTTAAGCGGATCAATTTTCCCCATAAGAAATAGATAAAAGATGGGAGTTACGTTCCTGAGCCTCCCTTTGCCCCAAAATCCATTACATATACAGAAAATCATTGCCATTTCTATAGAAAATAATGCAGCATATATAACTACAGTGTTAAGTTTGTATTGGTATTCACCGATGGGCGGAGGTGGTAGAGCGAGTGTGTGGTGGGTTGTGGAGCAGAGGAGGCAGATGGCAGGAGCGGAGGAGGAGGGTGGGAGCGGAGGAGGAGGGTGGGAGCGATGGAGGGCCGTGGGAGCGAAGGAGGGCGGTGGGAGCGAAGGAGGGCGGTGGGAGCGAAGGAGGGCGGTGAATCACCGAGACTGGCTGAGCAGAGAGAGCGTAGCGGGGCCAGACAAGAGCGGGTGATGCACCGTAGAAAGTAGTCCGTGACCACGCAAAACGAATTAGTATCTAATCCCCGGGACGTTAAACGAATATTTGGTCTCTAAAGTTTAGTGACGTAGTACCAAAAGAACGTTAAGCACGGACTTACTGTACTGTATTCAAATAACTTATCAATCATAAAAGTGAAAAGTTTATTATTGTATTGTAAAGGGTTATTATTTTCAGTCAAAATTCTCCAATTATTGTCATACACTAGCTTATAATCAATGCCCACAGAAATACAGCACAGTACAGTGCCTGTATACAGTATGCTATTATTGGAGGTTTTGAGAACACACACCTCACTATTCAGACTAACCCGCGCAAGCCGGAAAATGGCCGTAAAACACCGACGACGAGACGAGTGTTGCCGAGATGCACTTCCGTGAATGGTACGGTATTTCTTTTAACTAGGGATAAGAAATCAACAATTTATTATACGGTAAAAAGAGAACACTGTACCACTGATAGGGTTCTGCTACTATGTATACACTTACAGGTTGTCTTACACTTGGTGACATATTACTGTACTGTACAACTAATGAATATGTTTATTCAGTACAGTTCAGTACCAGGGAATAAAATACATTTGATAATTGTACCTCAGATTATATTATATAATACTGTACTGGAGGCTACCAGGAGAATTTTACTTGTGAGACTGGTAACAGTTATGGCTGTACCTTCATCAAATTCTTCCACAGTAACATTAGTACAAGCCTCTGCATCCATCTGCTCAACCACCTCAGATTTCAAATGCATTAAAGTGACTGATGGAAGATTTTTGTCATCATTTGCTTCACTTTCAAGTACTACTGTTCCATGTTCTTCTGTTGTGTCAGGAGTTTGCTGGAATATTTCTGCATTACTAAGAATGTCTCCTCTTGTTGCCTCATACAGGGACGACCGTGGTTCCACTAATACTTCCTCACTCACGGCAGACTTAACTTGTGTGGCTTCTTCTTCATCCGCTTGTTGTGCTTCATCCAAGAGTACCTTCACAGTCATTGGTTCTCTCTCATCCACACAAGAATTTATCCTTGTTGGTTCTGCCTCACCCAAACAACCCAAATCTTCTGGTTCTAACTCCTCCATTGGGGAATTTACCATTACTGGTTCTACGTGCATCACTAGGGAGTCTACTTCTAAGCCCTCCATAGTTACTGTAGAATCAGCCTTTAAAGGATCTGTTTCACCTACAGAGGAGTCTTTTTTGTCAGCCTCATCACCACCTATCTGGGCTGCTGGGTCAACAACTACATAATGAGCTTCAACTTTCTCCGGTTCTACTTCACCCAAAATATATCTTTCATTTGTTGGTTCTACCTTAGTTGGTACTGCTACTGTGGAAGGTTCTAGCTTCCCTGGTTCAGCCACAGCCAAAGAAGGTTCTACTTCCACTGGTTCAGTCACAGCCAAAAAAGGTTCTACCTCCACTGGTTCAGCCACAGTCAAAGAAGGTTCTACCTTCCCAGGTCCTACTACAGTGGAAGGTTCTACCTCCACTGGTTCTACTAAAGTGGCAGGTTCTACCTCCAAAGGTTCTACTGCAGTGGAAGGTTCTACCTCCACTGGTTCTGCTACAGTGGAAGGTTCTACCTCCACTGGTTCTACTACAGTGGAAGGTTCTACCTCTACTACAGTGGAAGGTTCTACCTCCACTGGTTCTACTAAAGTGGAAGGTTCTACCTCCAAAGGTTCTACTACAGTGGAAGATTCTACCTCCAAAGGTTCTACTAAAGTGGAAGGTTCTACCTCCAAAGGTTCTGCTACAGTGGAAGGTTCTATCTCCACTGGTTCTACTGCAGTGGAAGGTTCTACCTCCACTGGTTCTACTAAAGTGGCAGGTTCTACCTCCATTGGTTCTACTACAGTGGAAGGTTCTACCTCCACTGGTTCTACTACAGTGGAAGGTTCTACCTCCACTGGTTCTACTACAGTGGAAGGTTCTACATCCATTGATTCTACTAAAGTGGAAGGTTCTACCTCCACTGGTTCTACTACAGTGAAAGGTTCTACCTCCACTGGTTCTACTACAGTGGAAGGTTCTACCTCCACTGGTTCTACTAAAGTGGAAGGTTCTACCTCCACTGGTTCTACTACAGTGGAAGGTTCTACCTCCACTGGTTCTACTAAAGTGGCAGATTCTACCTCCACTGGTTCTACTAAAGTGGAAGGTTCTACCTCCAAAGGTTCTACTACAGTGGAAAGTTCTAAGTTCTACCTCTACTACTAGTGGAAGGTTCTACCTCCACTGGTTCTACTATGGAAGGTTCTACCCCACTGTTCTACTACCGTGGAAGGTTCTACCTCCAAAGGTTCTAAGACAGTGGAAGGTTCTACCTCCACTGGTTCTCTCAGTGAAGGTTCTACTACGGTGGAAGGTTCTACCTCCAAAGGTTCTAAGACAGTGGAAGGTTCTACATCCACTGATTCTACTGAAGTGGAAGGTTCTACCTCCACTGGATTTCTACTAAAAGTGGAAGGTTCTACACCTCCACTGGTTCTACTAAAGTGGAAGGTTCTACCTCCAAAGGTTCTACTACAGTGGAAAGTTCTACCTCCACTGGTTCTACTAAAGTGGAAGGTTCTACCTCCAAAGGTTCTACTAAATTGGAAGGTTCTACCTCCAAAGGTTCTACTAAAGTGGAAGGTTCTACTTCCACTGGTTCTACTAAAGTGGAAGGTTCTACCTCCACTGGTTCTGCTACAGTGGAAGGTTCTACCTCCACTGGTTCTACTAAAGTGGAAGGTTCTACCTCCACTGGTTCTACTAAAGTGGAAGGTTCTACTACGGTGGAAAGTTCTAACTCCACTGGTTCTGCTATAGTGGAAGGTTCTGCCACAGTGAA